TTAAATTTGCCGCCATACGTTATGGTGGTAACTATTGTCTATGTTGGTTACACTGGATGGAGAGAAAGCTAAGATGACGTATAGCGTCCTTTAGTTGTTTGACGCCTTTTTGTTAGAAAGAATCATAGATAACACTGTGAAAGGAATTCTTTGTCTGTGCCGTGAATTCTTTTTCTGTGTCGTGAACCTGGTTTAAGGCCGTGAATCTCGTGTTCTCCAAGTGTGTTTGTTATAATATAATATTATTATAGTGTTGGATATTTCAACAACAATCAGAAAGTTCCAGTGCTTATTAATTGTTTATTTTTAAGTTTAGGGTAGTTGCTATAATAATTTTTTGTTCCATATTAAGTTGTCTTTTCATTTAATAAAATGTTATTTTTGTAATTACTTCAGAAACCTGATGTTCAATTGTTATTCTGTCTTAACCATTTTAATCAGAAGAAAAAATGCCACTAATTTGCTAATTTAACCGACTTTGTAGCTGCAATAATAATGGAGTTAAAATGGTGAGCAGATAACTTTGGACACTGTGTATATATAAATAATATAACTATTATATTTATTTAGAAATATTATTTATTTTACTTTTATAATAGGTGTTTATTTTTTATTTTATATAATTGGCTGTGTAAAATTATATATAGGTATGTATACAGAATTAAAATAATATATTTTATAAAGTAATAAAATGGCATTTGATTGTTTAAAATGTATCCCCAACAAATAACAAGGCCATTCAGAGGATGTCCTCAGGACATCCCATTCCTGGACCTACATATACCCATGGGACTTTCAGGGGACATCCTTAGGATGTCCTATTCCTAGACCTATATGGACCTAGGGATATCCCTAGGATATCCTAAAGGCCATTTGCGGGACGTCTGTAGGCTGGCCTTTTTTGCACCACTCGGCCATGGTTGGGATGTCCTGAGGAGGTCTGAGGACGTCCTAGGATATCCTTGGGATATCCCAATATCCTGTAAGGCTTTCCTTAGGACGTCCTTAGGACAGACTTGTGCTAGCTGGGATGTATGTATTGATACATATAACTTATGATATGATGGCGTAAGAATGGTTGTTACAGCGGACAAAATAAAAAAATTTGACATAAACAATATCGACTTCGACCACAACCGACCTACAAACATCCTTTGCAAGAAAGACAAAAAAATGATTATAACCGAGTAATTTTATTTATTTTTTGTAATAGTAATTACTATCATGCGGCGCCATACATACATATAGTATATTGGTTCATGGGCCTCACCTTCATGAATGGTCACGAGCCGCCACTGGTAGATTACAAATCCATGCTTGTTTTAGCTGTATCAGGTCAAAATTCAAAGATATTGGAAACACCCTGTATAAATTTAATCACCCTGTATACATTAAAAAAAAAATTTGGCTGGACCCAAACATTAGTTCCAAATTTAAAAAAAACATATTCTTGCAAAATTTGAAGTTAATTGACGAAAAGTAACACGTGTCCCTAAGGGTTCTTGATAGTTAATTTAGGAAATTCAAAATGTTTTTTTGCTATTTTTTTTTATTGAATATAATTGAGGATATTATATTAATTGAAATAAAAAGAATAAGAATGCTGGCACAAGAGATGAAATATATTAATTTACAAATTATAATATACCAGTATACAGTGTCCCCAGATCGGATTTCCGACAGGAAAAACTTTTTTAAACCTGATACAGCTAAACCGAGCACGGATTTGGAATCTAAGACCAAAAATTATGTTTACCTGTCCGAGCGTTTAGCTGTGATATTTTAAGAGTTGAAAATTTACCTACAGTGTTATAGTACCTACCTATTTATAATTTATACATTGAATTTTGACAAATAAAATCCATACAAGGATACCTATACATACATATGTACATATATATGTATACATTTTTATCAATTGTTTATTTATTTTAACCATATATGCAAATAAGTTATTTTCTTAAAAGACAGATATGTAAATAAGTAGGTATTACTTTTATAAAATATTATCAGATAAAAAATATGAATTGTTTGCTAATAATGTTGGCTTTAACTTATCTAAATGGATTACCCAAATCATCACAAAAACGATAACAAATATTGGAATTTCATTTTACAAAGTAAGCTGTTAATGTTAATTATAAAATATATCATACTATCGCTAACAAAAAAAACTCATACAGCTTAAAAATCTAGTGTTCCTGATTTTCTATCATTTCGTTGGAGTAATTATGGCTTTTAGCATGATACGTCACATTTAAAAGGTCTAAAATTAAATACAAAGTTAGGTTGAAGTTTGAAAAAAAAAATATTTCGTCATCCCTCTGTCAAACGGCAAAGCATGGAAGTCGCCGTCTTGCTTTATCTAGTTCCAAATGGCTTCAATGGCTTGCCAGAGTTCGTCTGCATTGTTTGGTTGAAAATGTTGTTAAAAAAGTCATAATGGATGTGACAAAGCTCGATGTCAGCTTGACATTGACGGAAAAGTTTTATTCACACAGCCACAATATAGCTGTATGAGTTTTTTTTGTTAGCGATAGTAAAAGTTATAAATTTAATTATCCTGATTCGCTAATTTACACTTCTTCAGAAAAGTCCATAAAAGAGAACGACAAATTAATTTGCTTTAAAAAGCTCAATGCAATTTTATATTGTTCTTGCCTAAAAAAGGATTGCGCAAAAAAGTCAGAAGAACGAGTAAACGTATCGATTTTTTTTAATTTACGACAAAGAACATTTTAATTTTGTCCTACAAACAAAAAAGTAATATGTCTTTAGGTGATGCGACGTTACTTTGAACCTTGGCATTAAGTAATTAACTTTCAATTTTCCACACAAGTATACTTTTTTTTATAAAAACCAGAGACTAAATAAAAACCCTCAGATTATTTCCAAGGGTTTTTAGAAAAAAATCTATTTAATTAACGTGTCTGAAAATACTACTAAATATTTACAAACATGGAACGTTTTTATCTTCTGCTGTTAAACTTTTCATTTTGGCAGTGATGGTCACTTTTTAAAATACAATTCTCACAACTGATACCAATAATTGGGTGAAAATAAATTTAATTTAGATATAATGTAATTATTGACAAAATGTTTAATACATATTTTAACAATTTAATAACAACTCAACAAATACAATGTATTTTTTAATAATAACAAAAAATTAAATCAAAATATCTACATATCTATCAAAAATAACTAAATTAAACACAAATATTCAAACATATGAATTAGTTAGAATTCCCCTACAATTCCTTAATTTTTTTCTCCTTACAATTTTTCTTAAACATTTTTACAATTTTAAGTTTTTTTCTCTAAATGTATGAACATTTTCCTCATTTTACCATCACTGCTTCTCTCATTTGATGCCCATATTAGGGTGATTTAAGAAATCTAGATTTCTTAAATCAGTAGCTACTATTCTTTTTTTGATTTCTGATATTGAAAAACTGGTTGCTGGACACCTCAAAAGAAGTATATCTACGCATGAGCTCTTAATATTAATAGTAAGATCCTCCTCATCGCAATTTCCTATTTTTACATAAGTCTATGAAATAAAAATTATAATATAAATCTAAGCCCAATAAACATTTTGATAGGGCCTTGGTAGATCTACACAAAATGTAACTTATTTAGAGCCTTGAATTCCCTATTAAAATATGTATTGGGCTTAGCTTTATATTTATTTAGTAGTGAAATAAAAAAGGTTTTTCACCGGACTAATGGAAAATGAGGACCTTACTTTTAATAGAAATAATATCAGATGTAAAAAAAAGGATAGTAATTTTTTTAATCATATATTATATCACGAGAACTATTAATTTAATCGGTTAAACTAGGCTCAGTAGTTTTTTGTTTGGTTTTTGTTGGAAAATGTTGAATGCAAAATAATTTAATAAAATCAATCAATCAATCCCCAGATCCCTCACGTGAGATTCTAGCCATGAAACTTTCTTTGCGGACAACATGATAAACCAAAAAAGTTTAAAAAAGGTGATTACATTTTTTTAACAAAATTGAAATATAATACAGTCTTTAAACTCAAAAGTTGATGTTAGTTTTTTAATGAATAAACATATTTTTGAAATTGAAATCGAAACAAAACACTATTCGATATTTTGTGACCATTTTTTTTGGGTTTTGTTCTTAAAAATATTACTTTTTTGTATTATTTGTTTATAATTTTTTTGTAGTTTTTTTAATGGAATAAATTCTCCATATTTTGTGTTAAACATAATGTAGATGATTTTTTTTTAAATATGTATACAAAAATATATGCATTTACTCACCTTGTTTAAACTTGTATTAATTGTTTCTTCTTTATAATGTCCCATTTCTCCGTCTTTCAGATAAAACTTGCCAAAAACTAAATCGTCAACTTAAAATAAAATAATTGTTTAGCATATTTCGGGTTAAAAAAGTACTTTAAAAAAGCAGGACGTTTAAAGGACTTTCCTTTTTGACTTTTAAGCTCTAAGGAGATTTATTTTGGTAATGAACCTATTTATTTAATACTTTTATTTCCTATTTGTTTATTATTTATCCAATAAAATTATGTATATTTAATCAATGAGCTTTAAATAATGGCAATATTACGTTAACATATTCAGAAAATAACCACTTTAAAATTTTAAATGATAACATAATTTAAGTATTTTTCCTTTATTTATAATATTAATTAATATATTATTAACTTATAAATATTTTATCTTATCACATTATTTAACTTACCCTTTATCGGATCTTCCATTTAATATTTTATAATTAAATACAATGGGGTATTTCTTATCTATATAAAGTTTTTAAATAACAAGTGTCAAATTTGAGTTATAAATAAAGCATTCTAGATATCGCAGACTATGATAATATGTAAAAATTGTAATTTAAACAAAATCTAAAAAATTAGTTGTTTTAAAACTATATAATTATGTAAAAATGTAGGTTTAACAGTATGAAATATGATTATAAAAAGGAATTTTAAATTTAATACCATAATTTTATTAAAACATGTATTCCTTAAAATCTTATATACACCTTAAATGTAACATTACTTGTAACATTTTATTAAATACTCCTTACACAATAAATAACAAACTACATATATATATACCTTATAATATTTCTAATACCACAGTTAAAAAATGAAATGCCACCACTAATACAAAGTAGTTATGATATTTTTTCCTGTAATATTTATTCGAAATTTAAAGGAACCGAGTTGAAGGGTAGTATGGGACTATTTTTTTCTTCCATTAGTGCAGTAGCCATTGCGTTACTTGCTTTTTCAAACTCGCCAAGAGCTTCCAAAACTTTCCCCAAGTTATACCTTAAAAATTAATACAAATATTAAAAAAATCATTTTAAGATAATAATAAGTATTTGTCGTAGAAAAAGTATATATAAACTTTTCTATATAATACTCATTAATTTAAGAACTCGCTCGCTCCCCAAGTTATACCTTAAAAATTAATACAAATATTAAAAAAATCATTTTAAGATAATAATAAGTATTTGTCGTAGAAAAAGTATATATAAACTTTTCTATATAATACTCATTAATTTAAGAACTCGCTCGCAAGCTCGCTCGTGCCTAAATTAAATTCGTGTATAAAATGGCGTTTATCAAACTTGATACATAATATACTATTATTGAGTAGGCAGTTTTTATTAGGAACATGAGAAATAAAATTTAGTTTAATAAATAAATAACAGTAGGCCATGACAGCGGTGCCAATGTAGTAAAAAATAAAACGTTGTATTTTAATTAACAAATTAATACTTTATTACAAATTTAAGTATCATTAAAAACTAAAAACAACATAAAAAGTAAGTAAGTAACAATATAAATTGTTAATTTGTTGACATAATGGCAAAATTAAGATTTAAAACTTTCATATTTTTGTATTTCTTAAGTTGGCAGTACAAAATTTAAAACGACAATTTTAAAAAGAGCCAGATATAAACGAAAACGAAAAGAGCTAAAACGAGTACAAGAATAGCTGGCCATACACAGACGTTATTTCGCGCGGTTTATCGTGGCGTGTTGGCATGTAGCGGTTTGCATGCACGAAAGAACGGCGTGGCAAAAAAAGCGTCATGTTCCATACACTTGATAAAGTATTCAAATGATTTAGCAAGTGATTGCCCGTGGTATATCAGTTTCAAAGGAAAAATCGTATGTGAGTGGGCAAAAAGTGTCATTTATCGAGTTGTTTGAAACTACATGTGCTCATGTACAAATTTTCAACGTGAAATTTTGCCAAGCAAAGGTAAACCGTGACGCGGAATGTGGCGTGTGGACACGCCACACTCCAGAGAAAAGCACGTCTGAAATCCCTTCCCGTTCTATCATTGCGCGCGGCGATACTCACTCACGTACATGATTTTCCATATGTTTTTGCAGATAACACGATAAACCGCGCGCAATAACGTCTGTGTATGGCCGGCTAATGCTTGGGCGGCCGTCCTACGACGCGAGTTCATCGTAACTAGGAAAAAGAAGAAGAAGTACAAGAATGCATTCTTTAATAATCTGTGAGTACATATCTAAAGGTGAATTTAGCCAGCATTAAATGTAATGTAATTTAACCAAACGTAATTTAATTTAAAAGATAAAACTAAAAAAAGGAGCCCGAACTTAATAGGCACAGTTAATATCGGAAATTGACAAAACCTGCCCTCCAAATCGCACAATATAAGTCTTTTTTTTACCACCAGCGGCGCTGATTGTCGATGCTGTTTTGGTAGCGTTTTGGTACAAATCAAGCAGTTTATTCGTGTAATTATCTAACCAAATTACACTCGTGCATAAAAATAATCAGATAATTTTGCATTCAAGCATATTGCCTTTGAAAAAATGCATTCGGTTATTTTCATATTTTGAGGAATAAAAATATATGAGGAATATAAAGTTTCAGCATGGCTATCTTAGTTTTTTGTTTTGTATCAATTATTTTTATAACGTGCTTAAATAAACTTGTCTGAAATAGTTATTAATAATAAATTTTTGATGAAATTAAGTTTGTACCCATTCTAGAGTATGCCGCGTTCAGTGGCGTACTTATTTTTCTTCTAAACCTCCTAAATGTGTTTTATTTTTCGTTATAAATATTTTTAAAAAAACTTGTCTAAAATAGTTAATTATAGTTCGTTTTTGATCAAATTTGGTTTCTACCCATTGTGAAGCATGCCGCATTCAGTGGCGTACTTACTTTTAGAAAAATGACCCTAATAATTTTTTCCGTATATTGTTCCGAAAATGTTATAGTAGGCATATGTCAAGTGATATTGAACATATTTTTATAGCTTAGATAGAGTTTTTTATTCTCTATATTTTGAGCCTTTGTTTATTCAAATCGAGTAACAAATAAAAAAGTTACGGGGCTGTTTTCATCTTAAATGGGCCACACTGTATATATAGAGAATAGATAATAAAAATAATAATTATAATACATATATAATATTATATTTACTTTGTCAGCCTTTTTGGTATGATTTAAAAATACTGTTTATAATATTTTAAAAACGTATTCTTTAATATCTAAAAAATGTTTAATATACTGAATGCCACAAAGCCTGCTATACTCTACTATTTTAATATAAAAACTAGTTATAATAAAAAAAAGAAAATTTGACAAACCATGTAATATAAAATAAAAACTAACTTACCATGTAATATGATTCTTGGGCTCAATTTTAGCAGCTTCTCTCAACGTAGTTTCAGCTAAACCCTGTAGTCCCAAGTAGTGATAAACAAGCCCTAACTGCTGCAAGGACTTGACATGCTGAGGATTTATAGCCACAGCATTTTGGAAACACAATTTCGCCTCAGGCCATTCTTGTTTGTGAACATGCAGCAGACCTTTCTACAAAAATAAAAAGCAAATTAACCCCAAACACCAACACCTTTAACTCCATACCATATGCATAATGTGATGACTTAACGGATAAATATGAGTGGCCTCTTGTATGCATTGCTGCACGTCGCCTTCTTGATCCATTGACAGGTAAAGTTCGGCCAATAGCAGCCACACTTCCACCTGCAACAGCCACGCCCTCTGAGGGCCCGGTCGCGGACTGAAACTGCTGAGAGAGCTGGCAACCTCGCTTAGAGCTTGTTCTACGCGCGACACCGCAGTGTTATGCAGCTGAAGAGAGCCTGAATAAAGAATTTTTTAAGTTTTACATGGTAAATTGGGATGTTGTTGTATTACTCGAGTCTTTATCTGACATTTCTGAAGTGTATAACTGGAAGACGGAACGAGTGTCACTTTTTCTGTCGCATTCAGGAACGTCGGAAATGGTTTGGCCTTCGTATAGGTTTTTCCACAGTTCTAGCATTTGTTTTGCTGTTACTAGGGCTTTCTAAAACAAGTTTATGGCACCCTTAAAATTTAATAATTAACATTAACATTTTCTCTTCCTTTTGACATTTTTAATAAATATAACTTAAACAATTGAAGACCCTAATGCAAGAAGGGAAAATGTATTATAATTTTAAAAATTGAGATAATTGAAAAAATACGGTTTGCTATAAAATTGAGATATTTGTATTTTTTAGTAAATGAACTATAAATAAAGATCTGCTGCAATAACAAGAAATGTTTTCTGCACCTTGCACCATATATATTTTGTTTATTATATTTGGATTTGAATCTAAAAATGTAAAGGACTCGAGGAAATACGTTAGATTAATTGTATAATTTTTCAAAATAAAAATCCCATAAATATTTATTTGACTTTTTATACACTTAAATTCGCGATAAAATAAATTTATCTCAAGATCAGTGGGGCACCTAGAACATTTTTTGCCTGGAAAAAGAATAATCCATTACACAAATTCCTTCAAAGGTAAAACTTTTCAAAAGTAAGGCTTAATTTCTAGAAAATCACTGGAAATTGTCTATTTATTGTATAGAAAATACATTCCAAAACAAATAAAATTAAAAAAAAAAAATGATTAAAATAATTAAATTTTTAATACTTATAACACTACAAGCAAAACAAAAGAAGTTAAAAAAAATATATACAGTGCTTGCAAATCCAAGTCCGACGGGTTTAGGAAGGACGCGTGAAAATAACAAGGATAGAACGAACGCCAAACAGAAGGCGCTTACAATACGCACGCCTGACGCTCTGACCAATCAAATTCTGTTTGGCATTCTATCCTTATTCTTTTCACGCGGGTATTGAACAATCATCCTTCCCAACACGGTCGGACTTGGATTTGCAATGTATAAATAAAAATGATTAAAAAACAATATGCCTTGCATTTACTACAAGAGTATCTTTTAATAATTCCAGATTTCCCAAAATAAATTAGTAAACTATTTTGTCTGCTATACTCAAATCGATAGAAAACTGACTAAACTTTAAAATAGAAACATATTCAAGTCTCATACATTAAATTATTACATACATTATGGCTTATTAGTCTAATCTTTATCATTGCCATCATTGTTGTGGTAAATTTTTATTATTTCTTTAACTTTTTCTGGATTTAGCCTGTTTCTAAGTTTTGACTAAATATGGCCAAAAGTTGAGAAGATTCTTAAAAGTTTCGAGAGAAAAACGCAAAGTTCTGAAATACAACTCGCAACTACAATAATAAGTATGCAGATTTCCTTTCCAAAATCAACAAAACCGGAAAAACCCTGTGGGCAGGGGTTCTTTTAATATTACCCGGGTTTTTTCCAATCCTGTCACCTGGTGCAAAGTCCAAAAATAAGTTTGTTTGTGCCATAAAAGATTAGGTTGCCAACTTTGGTTTAGTAAAATAAAGAACACCCGGCGCCACAGATTTTTTTTTGGGTGCACGCCCAAAAACATTCATTTTGGCCTCCAAATATCAATATCAATAAATATATAAAAATATCATGTACCAATATTAGATCAAATTTACATTTCTTTATTATTATTTACTCTTAACATAAATATACGGGAACGCAAAAATTAACAAAAACTAAACCGGATTGTTTTAAGGGTATTTTAAAATTACTGCCAATTTATAGGCACCACAGCTCAAACGATTAAACAAAAAAAAATTAAAAATCAATTAAAAACACTAAAATTGACTTAAATATGACATTTAAAAAAAAAAGTCCAAAATTTCAATGACAGATCACATATTCAAAAAGTCTTTTACAATCTATAGGCCTATAGGCCTAATAACCTTTCAACTAATACCCAAATAAAGCTTTATTTTGAATCAAATTGTAAGACCACACCGAAAATCTTGCGTTTTCTCCTGGATACAAAATTTGGCAAAAGTTTTTTTTTCGATAATAAAGCTTGAGAGTGGAGAGTTTAAGAGCATCAACAAAAACGTGTAGTTCAGTGTCTTGATATATATCTGGTGAAATATCCATGTGATATGTTAATTTTTGCTTTTACATGCGTTCACTAAATCATTATTTTTTTTTGTAAATTCGCAAAGAAATCCATAAAATTTAAATGGTATAAAACCTTGAACTTGCCTGCATCTGGCCCACTCATAGTTTCTGTCAAAAAGTTAATCCACCTTTAACTGTAATGTCTTAAATTTAAGCGATTTGTTTAAACAAAATAAACCAGACAATAAATATTAAATTTACTGACATTTGTCAAACCCGCGTGTGTCAACATAAAAACTCACGGACATATTTCTGGTGTTTTTGTAAGCTTAATGGTCTACTTGACCGTTTTTAGCATAAAAAAACTTGTTCCATCATTATTAAAAATTGACTTTTTCAATGTTTAGAGAATTTCTGGCCCACAGTGTGTCCGGTCTACGGGGATAACGTGTAACACCAAAATGTCTATCCCTCCCGTCCCACCTCCTTTATGATCCTACTGGGCGTATAGGAACGGCCCGGCAATCCATTGGCATTTCGCTCTCGAGCCCCAAATAGGGTACAGTACGTGACGCAATGGACATTCGCACCCAGCAAACACGGATGAAGCCGTGCCGTTGTTGGTGGCGAAAAAAGATCGGGGTAAGGAAACAGAGGCCTGTACTGGGCCTACTGAGTGATGAGGCAATGGGGCCGGTAATACGTCTCTTATACTCACACTCATAATTGTTTTTTCTGTTTTTTACATATGTAAAAACTGTATTAACTTTTTTACTCATTTATTATTATCATTATTAAATACAAAATAGAATGTGAAAGAGCAAAAATAAGCAACATTTTGCTCAGTAAAAAAGCTCATTTAATTACAGCTTTCTGAGATTTACTTATTTTAATTTTAGATTTAATAAATGTAAAATAAGATTTTTTTATAAAAAAATTAAAATTTTGTACAATCGAAAGAGTGAAAGTGAGTACATAAAACTTTATGTCCTTGATTGTAAGTTAAAAAAAACATGAGTTCAATAACTAAATTATTTTAAACTTTTGTATTTAATTTAACTTGTAATAATTAAAAGTGTAATATATTAACTATACCTATTTAGACTTAACAATTTTTACTAAAAATGAACCTTTTAAATCATAATATTGTAGCGAGTACCGCTCTGGATCTCGGAATTATGACTCATCGCCGGTGAGTCAGCGCTCTAATAATCGAGAGCGGTGTGGAGCTCGCTGGAATATTCGGGAGTGCACGTAGGCACTGAATATATAAGGAACGGCGCAGCATGGAGCATTCAGTCAAGTTTTGGTACTCGCGACGAAATAAATAAATATACGTGCAAATAAATAGACTCTTGAACAGTAGTGATATATAAATAATTAGTAGTTAAGTGTTTAGTTAGTTTTTATAGTTTCTTCCTATAAAATAAATAGTTTAGTTCGTTAATAAACCAGTGCGTGTTTTAATTCACACTACGAACAAGTAAAAACCTTACAATATTTTAAAATAATAAAACGATTATTATTTATGTAAAATATTTTTGTTATTTACTTCTATAATAAATCCTTTTAAATTTTATATTTGTGGGAAAATAAAAGGCAATTCTGCTTACATCTCCTCCTTTTTCGTGCAACTCCAGATGAGCCTTTAAGTACATGAGGTTCAAACAGTCGGGGTATTCTTCCAAAGCGTTTTCGACTATTTGCAGCGCCATCTTATGTTGCCTTTCGGCCGTCAAAATTAACACAAACAAATGCAACGTCGAGAAACTTTCCGGCTGCAGGTCCAAACCGATTCTGACGTGCTGCTGCGCCTTTGCAATGTCTCCTTTAATGGCCAATTGCAAGCCCAGGTAGTATCTGCATAGGTGGTCGTTTGGTTCCAACTCTACGGCACTAAAAAGAATTTTCGTTAAAAAACAAAATATCTAAAATATTACGTTCGCTCGACTCGGTGGTCAAAACTTAAGTATAGGACGAACAAAAATGCCAACCAAAACTGATAGCATATTTTGATTATAGACCCTTTTGGTAACACTAACATGTATTTATCAAAATCCCAGCTGATCCTATTTTAAAGTTTTGCAAACTTTTTTGTTTTTCTATATATTATTCTGCAATTATTGTACTAAAACTACCTGTACAATTTTAATAAAATTAAGCAAAATAATAAACTTTTTATCATTTAAATTACTTTACTCCCCAGTATTAATTTATTGAGTCACCTATTATTTTTTACCACTCAAAACAAAACATAACAAAAAAAATGAAGATTTATATCTTAAATATTTTTTATAACAAAAAATATTGGAAGTTTGTCTATGAAATAATTACAACTTGCAAATTTTGTAAAACAATAATTAAGGTGGTTATGAAAAAAATTGCTATACGTTATAACGCAAGTGACATTTTGCTTTAGTTGTTTATTAAATGTATACTTTATAAAGTTAAAAATAGTATTTTAAAATGAAAATTAAACCGAAATTTAAGTTAAGCCATGAACAAAATCGAAAGAAGGTATGTGCTGACTGTAGGGACAAAATTGTTTTTGGTAATCGAAAAATTCAGAGTTTAGGGTTTCTGAGAAAATATAAAAATTACTGCAGACTTTTTCAAACGAACACTTTAACTTAAGTGATTCAAAATTACCTACTTCAATATGGTAAAAACGGTATTTTTTCATAGCCACAATTGCCAAATTTTCAAAATTTAGAAATTGCTAGAGAATTTCGCGACAGCCAAGAATGTAAGTGCTTTATCTGCAAAATGGCAAGATATAAAGGGCATAAATAATTATTAAGGCAAGAGGACGGACGAACGAACTAAAGTTTTGATATGCTCTTCCTTTCTAGGGGATATCGCTAGATGTAAGAAGCATGTTTGTACAGAGACTGAAGAATTTAAAAATACTGTTTCCATGTTAAAAACAATTCCATGTAAAACCCAAGTTTTACTGAAAATTTAAGGCAAGCAGTAATCGATTTTGCTTTAAAGAATCTTTAGTTATTTATTAGTTTTGTATTAGGTACCTTAAAACAATAAATAAGATATTGCAAACTGTATTTTACATTATTTTGTATTTATAATGTAATTTATCCATATTTCAGTAATGTATCAGCCAAATTTTTAAAAACATTTGATAATGGTACTAGAGTATTTTATCGAAATGGCATAAACTATTTTAAAATACTAAGAAATGCAAAACTTTAATAAAGGATCAGCTGGGATTTTGATAAATACATTTTTGTGTTACCAAAAGAGTCTATAATCAGCTTATGCTATCAGTTTTGGTTGGCATTTTTGTTCGTCCTATACTTTAGTTTTGACCACCGTGTCGAGGGTTATTATATTATATCATTATATAAAATCTGTTACCTTTGAAAGTTGGTAATAGCATTCGTCCTAAGGTTCTCCTTCTCTTTTTTCAACTGACAAGCCTCCGATTGCAAGTGGTAACCGATACCGATAAACAAATGGCATCTGCCCAGAAGACCCGATGGCGACCTCGTTTCTTTCTCTTTGGCCTCGATGGCGAAATTGGTGCCCATTACGGCCGAGTTTAGGTGTTCGTAGCACAGTTTGGCGGCTATTAGACAGTTGCTGGAGTTGTTCGGCTCCAGTCTGATCACTTCTTTGAGAACGGAGAGCGCGTGATCGAAGAGGCCGATGGAAAGGAGCGAGAGGGCGTGTTGTTTCCATAAATGCGGTTCTTCAAACGAGAATTTCATGGAGCGTTCCAAGGACTGAAAGTTGTTTAGTTATATTTTTTGGAGAAATAAAATATTCGATTAACGATTGAATTTTATAAAGAAAATCTAAAATAATGACTATTACACAAATAATCTTTTCAGCTCTTGTAGGACTGTCAAACACAATTTTAGTGAATTTTATAATTTATTACTTTATTTATTCTTATTTTTTTAATTTAATATTTTGCATAAAATACAAGATAAAACAGCGCACTCAGGCGTGTAGTGAAGGTTCTCATTATGGGGGTGATTTCATTAAAATACTGACTTTTAAATATTAAAACGTAAAGAAATCCGTTAGGTTGATTGGATAATTTTTCAAAATACTGCTGCAAAATACTGCTCCCTCACGTGAGATTTTAGCCTTTTAGCCTTTGCGAACAACATGTAAAAAAAATGATTAATTTGAATTATAATACATATTTTTTACACTCAAAAGTTGACGTGAAATTTAAAATAACCCCCCTCCCTTAAAACGAAATTTGGTGAGATTTTGCTGGACCCCTCCCCCCATTTTTGTCTCAAGTAATTAATAGATGTCCCCTAGGGTGGCCCAAAAAAAAAGGAATATTTTTTTTCTCTTGTCTCTTGTGAAAATATGTTGGTTTGTCATGTTTTAAGAGCCCTGTCAAAAGATCAGCTCCATTAAAAAATTTTTAGGGGTCGCTCAAGATTTTTAAAAATTTCCAAAATCGTCAAAAATTGGATTTTTTTTTATTTTAATTTTTTTTCTCGTTCCGATATTATTTTTTAATTTAAAAATAATAATGATTCTAAAAATTTCAAATCGATATTTTGATTTCTAAAGGTCGCTCAAGATTTTTTTAACTTTCAAAGTAAAGTATTTTCAATGTTTTTGAGCGACCTCTGAATATAAATATCAACGAACTTTTAGCGACCTTTGGAAATCAAAATATTGATTTGAAATTTACAGAATTTTTATTATTTTCAACCAAAAAAATAATATCGAGACGGGAAAAAAAATTAAAATAAAACAAAAATTCAATTTTTGACGATTTTGAAAATTTTAAAAAATCTTGAGCGACCCCTAAAATTTTTTTAATCGAGCTGATATTTTGACAGGGCTCTTACAGCATGATAAACTAACATATTTTTACAAGAGACGAGTAAAAAAAAATATTTTTTTTTTGGGGCACCCTAATGTCCCCTTATAACATTTATACGAGGGGACACGAGTTTGCGAGCAAATTTATGACTTTTCAATAAAGATTTTACAGGGGTAAATCGCAAACAAATGGGTCACACTGTATGTCTATATTAGGGTGTCCGTTATTTACCAAGTTAATTTTTTTTCTTGCGACGCCCCCTAAATTTTTAGTTTATCGTCTTAAAAAAAAATTAAAACCAAAATAAACTCTTGTATTCATAATAAACCTTGCCCCAAAGACGATACATTTCCCATTCAAATTACATGGGACTTTGAGACTTTTTTCAATTAATTATTTTTTTCCCAGGCTAGATGACTTACAGCAATGAGACATATATATTCTTATAGTAAATTAAACGCTCTACAAAAAAAGTCTCTTATAATTTTTCGATTAAATCACTCGTTAAAAAGTTATTCGAGGTGAAAATTAAACTCTGTGTAAATTTTCAGATTTTTTTTACTTTTACGGCAAAGTTATTATTTCGATGAAAGTTATTAGTTTATTTCTGAAAATAGATAATTCTGGTGGTATTAGGGTATACAATTTTTAAACCTGGAAAATAATAGACTGCATAACAGGTAGCTGGTTCTAGTTTTAATCATTTTTGAGACTTTATTTATACCACACAGTCAACTATTTTTTATTGAATTTCAAGTTTTGTACACTTTTATTAAATTTCCTTCAATACAGTAAGTGACTCAAAATTACCCTTACAAGCATTCCCGCCAACACACGGAATTAAAGCGCATTTAGTACCTTGACGGCGCTTTAAGTCCTTTTAGTATTGTATACAAATATCTGTGCATATTGTTGTGAATGTTGTGTCGTACATTAACAGTAGTTATTTATATAATAAAACTTGTTTATTATACAAAAAACAAAATTTAGAATTAGTGCAATTTTTAACATATAGGTAAATAAAAACTTTAAAATTAAATTTATATTGAAAATCTCATTAGAATTAAAATTTCACAAATAGATCTAACCTATACAAATTTAGGTTCAATGGATCTAAAACAAAATATATTTTTGATTGGAAAAACAATACCCGACAAACAATCGTCCGTCGGCCGCTAAGCTGCAACCGATCATCGCTTTTTTACATCGCACAGTGTTTCAATTCTCGAAATTTTCGGCAAAATATCAAGGAGTAGTCGGTTTCTCAGAATTCCAAAATTCAAAATGGCGAACATATTTGTCAAAAAATTGACGGAATAAATTGAAAATCACCACACAGGGTTTTTGGGGTCGCTGATAACGAATCTGAAATCAGAATTCCAAAATCCAAAATTGTAGATCCAAAATGGTGAACATATTTGTAAAAAAATTGACGGAATTAATTGAAAATCACCATACAGGGGTTTTTGTGGTCTCTGATAATGAATCTGAAATCAGAATTCCAAAATTCAAAATGGTGGACCTCAAATGGCGGACATTTTTATCAAATATTGTCGAAATTAATTAAAACCCATAAGAGGTTCTTTTTAAAATGAAATAAAACATATTTTTTTAATCTCTTTTGAATAGCTTAATTTAGTTTATTATAATTACATTTATATGATATTATTTAATACCTACATATATATTAAACAATCTCCGTCACTGGATTCGCTCGTTGTCTTACCCAGATAGCACAAGAGGTACCCAGGACGTCCATTTCGGGTCCCACATAGGTCCGAACGTCCTAGACCTATATCGGAAGTTTTGGGTACGTCCAGTCTCTTACTTATTTGGGAAAATTATAGCGGATATACTGGGTACGTCCCAAGGACGTACTATCGCTAACAAAAAAAACTCATACAGCTTAAAAATCTAGTGTTCCTGATTTTCATCATTTCGTTGTAGTAATTATGGCTTTTAACATGATACGTCACATTTGAAAGGTCTAAAATTAAATACAAAGTTAGGTTGAAGTTTGAAAAAAAAATTAATATTTCGTCATCCCTCTGTTTTTGTCAATTACTGCCCGCAAACGGCAAAGCATGGAAGTCGCCGTCTTGCTTTATCTCGTTCCAAATGGCTTCAATGGCTTGCCAGAATTCGTATGCATTGTTTGGTTAAAAATGTTAAAAAAGGATGTGACAAAGCTCGATGTCAGCTTGACATTGACGGAAAAGTTTTATTCACACAGCCACAATATGAGTTTTTTTGTACATATTATTAACTTTTTAAGACGTCATCATGGAGACGTCACATTTATGACATTTTAATGCGATTCTTTCTTCTCACCGCTGTAACTGCTTGTGTTTGATATAAGAAGCGGCGAAGTAGAATTTAGAACGTGCTTCATACCAAACGGTCTTAGACCTAGGTAAACGGCTACCCGATACTGACGAGCTCCAAAAGAGGGTAACAGGCCGTCTATCGGTGCCGGTGAAGAGCACGCTTAAATTTAAACAAAAGTGGGACGAAGTAATCGCAATTCCTAAAATAAGCGAATACGAACAAATTATTAAAATGATTTTAATAAAATCCATTTAACAAATTAATAAAATAAGTCTTAATTAAGACGTCATATTGCTGTCTGGGCCTTTGGGAATACCACTCTTCAATTCTGTAAAGCTTGTCCATTAGTCCCCAATAAAGCATTTCAGGATGGCCAGAGGATGTCTTTCTTAGGACGTTCTGGGGACCGACGATTTGGTAACATCGGATGTCCCTGGAACGTCCTGGGGAAGGTTCAGGACCTGATTCGGACGTACTCGGAACTTACTAATGTCTGATACAAGATATACTCAGGACGTTTTTAGTACTTCTTTGTGCTATCTGGGTATTAGCAGAGCATGGGAAACCATCAGAAGATAGCAACAGTTTTATTGCTTCGCGGGACAAAGATTTGCTCTTTTTCGGAGCAAATTTTCTGAAGCTAGAAATATACGGATCGGAAGATGCCATAAGCCAATGGAAAACATTTTCCATCGTTTTCTCCCGAGAAACTTTCAAAATTTATTTATAAAATTTAAATATAACAGATTTTATACTAAGTATTTTAAATTTGGATTATTTCTTTTACTTAATATTTTAGCAACGATTTCTTAATTCGCTAAAAAAATTGTCAACACAAATAACCACAATTCAAATTTGACATTAACACACTACAATGCGCATGCGGAGTTGTTTTAACGCACCTACAAGAGGTGGGTTAAATATGTAAAATCGGTGTTAAATATCTTAGTAGTCACGAACGATTTACGCAAGTGAAAGTCTAAACACCGCTGTTGTAATAAACGTTTTGAGTTAAATCCGAGTGAATCGAGTAAATGTCATGAAGGCAACCCAGAAATAAAAAATCTTATATTTTGTAAAGCAAAAACACAGATACGCGCTCGACATAGGCTTAAAATCGCGAGGTTTTTTACCACAACCGTGCCTGAGCGCCCAAGAACATGTAGTTTTAAAGAGCCGGGGGCAAGTTGGGGCAGCTAATTTATTGATGGCTTGATAGACAAAACTCTAAGCTATTCAACGGATCTTGAATTGATGCCTTACAATTCATTACAATTTTTGTAGCTCCATTGTTCTAAAAGCTCGATTCAAAGTTTGCGATTTTAACGGACCGATCTTGTCGGTTACAATAACCCGTTGCACAAGCAAAATCTACGAAAAACAAATACATATCTGAATTTTAGATACCTTGAAGATCACCCTTCATCAAACCGCATAACAATCGGACACACCAAACACAAGTTATTCACTTTTAAACAATAAACAATTTTTAGCAGCGATCGCGTGTAAAGTACCTTCAACTAAAAGCGTCAAGTTTAAACTGATGTACAAGACAAAATATACGTATTTTATGTAATTTTTTTTTCAATACAGAATGGAGACAGGTATTAACTACCCATCTAACTCAAAATTTACCTGAAAAAAAATATCAATTTTTGAGGTTTTGCCGATATTTTCCAGAATTGAAACACTGTGCATCGAGTCGACGTCGGACCGACGTCGAAAAACGATAATCGATTTCCGACGTTAACCCAGCGTTGTACCGACGTCGGCAATACGAGCGGTAAATCATTTGTAAATGATAAGCGATTTTCGACGTCGGTCCATTGTCGGAAAACGATAATTAATTTCCGACGTCAACCGTACAATACTAAAAGGACTTAAAGCGCCGTCAAGGTACTACATGCGCTTTAGCGCGCTTGCGTCAATAAAAATTCCGTGTGTTGGAGGGAATGCTTGTAAGAGTAATTTTGAGTCACTTACTGTATTGAAGGAAAATTTCATAAAAGTGTACAAAACTTGAAATTCAATAAAAAATAGTTGACTGTGTGGTATAAATAAAGTCTCAAAAATGATTAAAACTAGAACCAGCTACCTGTTATGCAGTCTATTATTTTCCAGGTTTAAAAATTGTATACCCTTATACCACCAGAATTATCTATTTTCAAAAATAAACTAATAACTTTCATAGAAATAATAACTTTGCCGTAAAAGTAAAAAAAATCTTAAAATTTACACAGAGTTTAACTTTCACTTCGAATAACTTTTTAACGAGTGATTTAATCGAAAAATTATAAGAGACCTTTTTTGTAGAGCGTTCAATTTACTATAAGAATATATATGTCTCATTGCTGTAAGTCATCTAGCCTGGGAAAAAATAATTAATTGAAAAAAGTGTCAAAGTCCCATGTAATTTGAATGGGAAATGTATCGTCTTTGGGGCAAGGTTTATTATGAATATTAAGAGTTTATTTTGGTCTGAAAATTTTTTTTTAGACGATAAACTAAAAATTTAAGGGGCGTCGCAAGAAAAAAAAATAACTGACACCCTATAGTCTATATAGACAGGTAGAGATAGAGTAGTTTATGGGCCAGAGAGTAACTTAACTATAAGTAACTCTGTAATTGATCAGTTCACTGGCGGCTCGTGGGTGTACAGGAGGGTGAGGCTACATAAGGTTAATTTTGTCTAAATACGAATAAATTTCTTTAAAATGGAGGTCATCGCCTATAGCCCTACTAAACCATTATAAATAAAAAATAAACTCTAAAAAACAAAACAAACAAAATATCACATCAAAGACTAGTTTTAATCTTAAAACTTAAAAATATATTCTTAAAAAAGTTCAAAATAAATAAATTAATCAAAAAATAAAATTTAACTAAAAAGTCGACCCCTACCTAAGTATTAAAAAATATAAAATACTATAGCTACTTTTTGTAAATCTATACGTCTATCTTTTAAGTTTGCAAATTTATCTATTATTTGGTCGTAAAATTGTGGGCCTGCAGTGAGATTTGAAAGTAATTCTTGTTCTATTCGCTGCTAAGCTTGAAAGCTGTTCTTGTGTCATTGTGTTCCTAAGGTAGGTTTTAATTCATAAAAAGTTTTGTTCGGCAGATACACTTGTTGCAGGGATATATCCCTGTTATAGTTAAAACTAAATTAAAAAGCTTATATGCTTTCACAAAAATTGTCTTGAAATTTTTAAAATACATATCTAAACTTTTTTCAACACTTAAATTTAAAAATCTTTATCTTTATCAATTTTGAATTTGGATAACTTTTTAATAAACTCTTAAGTAAGTTAAGTCTGGAAAGTATTTTGCATATTCCGAATATTTTGTGATGTCAACTAAAGCAAGAAAACTTATATTATTTAAATTTTCAAACCGCGACTCTAATTAAAGAATTATGCAATCTATTATTTGAAAATATAAAATTTGCTTAATAAAAACTGCTAAATCAACCTTAGTGTGTTCCCCACAATAATTAAATAAGGAATTTTACTAATCGAGACAAAAACTATAAAAGATCAGCCAAAAGTTTTAAATAATTTAATCTGAATCAAAACAATAACGTGCTCTACAAACGCTAAGAGAACACTGGCCTCCCACCATAGACGGACCCCCACAAGCGATTATCATCGGTCATGAGATAAAACCACCAATCAGAACCAGCCAAGCTAACTCAATTTCGCCTCATCTTCGACTGAATCTACGGTATTTATTCGCGAACTTCCGGCGATATTTTTGTTGGTGAGTCATTTTCGCTTTCTAGAGGTAAATGGGAGCTTCCGAGGCTGTGAAAATTTCGCCTCTGTCCTAGCGACTCTCAACGATGCACGTTACCTTGACGCGCTTTGCGTCTGGATTTTTATTTACGCTTAGTATAGGCAAAAAGCTAAATACAAAAAGTCGTTCGTTACTTCATTTTAAGGGTGAGGCGCGGCCTCAGAGGCCTACCCTGACGAGCCGCCACTGGATCAGTTATTTTTCCTTAGAACTACGCGAGTGAAGCAGCTAGAAATAATAATATTATTTCTAATAATAATATTATTTCTAATAATAATATATATTTGATTATAATATTATATTATACAGGGCCCCTACGGTTAAATACAAATTTTATTTAGGAATTTAGGAGGTTTTTTTGAGAATTTTAGGAGAAAAAAGTATGCAAATGAATTTATTTAATTAAATAAAAACAACTCTACACTATACTTAAAAAATAAGAAAAAAAATAAGTAATTCTTTTTAAAAATATAAATATATAGTTATGTATCACTTCTTTTGTACAAATAGGTTATATTGACCAGTTTTTTAGCCAAATCGCTCGACGAGTTTTTTTTTTAATAAAATGAAAAGTGAGGTAAAATTACTACTTTTGTACAAGTAGAAATTTCACCACACTTTTAATTTTAATAAAGCGTCGATAGATATGGCTAAAAAAGTAGGCCAAAGTTTAATTATGTTATATTTATATTTTGAAAAAAAAAATAACAGTTTAGTTAATAACTAACAATAATTGTAATGTTATTGTTACTAAAACATCTCATAATAGAAAAAATATAAAGTGCATGATACAGCAAAACATTCTTTAGATTGTTTAGTATTTTAGCTATAATTTAAAAGAAAATTAAAAATCCTTTTGTTTGATATATAACACGGTATACTTTTGTCGAAAATTAACGAAATATGGCTAAAAATGACAATTTTGTAGAAGTCTAGAAGCTACTACAAGGATTTTGTTTTATGGTATATTTTGTTGTTTTTTAAGAAAATGTAGGTTGTGATACCTATACCATTAAAAAAAAAATTAATTAACTAGAACCCAAAATAATATATTTTTTAAATTACTTTTAAAAAATGAAATATTTTAGAACAACTACCTTAATTAAACGCAGTTGGCCTACTTATATTTAATTTTTAGGAGTTTTAGGAGATTGATGGCAATTTTAGGAGAATTTTAGGAGTTTTTAAGATTTAAGCCAAATTTTAGGAATTTTATGAATTTTAGGAGGTGTGGGAGCCCTGATTATATATATTAATGATGTTTTAAAAAAGATGTTTTGATAAAAAATAAATTTGTAACTTCAGAGTGGTATTATTGCTAGTATTATACGAAAACATTTACAAGTAGTTTTAATTTGAAATATATTTTCACAAACTTGAAAAGAGTTTACTAAAAATGTTCTTTATTAAATAATAAAAAATATTTTCTTTCTCTAATAATAAAAAAACATCAGTAAAATTCTTAAAATTACTGTTGTTGGGAAATTCCATAACACATACATAATAGTTCCAAAACATTGCACATACCTAAACTAAAAACACTACAAACAACAATATATCAAATCATTCATCAAAATAATATGCCAACAATTCTATAGAATTTCTTACCTCTTGTAATAAGGATATCTGGCCCCATCTAACGGTCGCGACCGTTAACAAATCGTACACAGCAACCGCGTCCTGATAAGCGCTTACTCTGTTATCTTTAAACTCAGGCGACTGAGACAATACTGCGTTTCTTACCGCCATGGATTCTGCTACAAGCAGTAGCAAAATTGTTTCTTCACATTCATTTCTCGGAATAAACTACAAAAAAGATTACAAGTTTCACACTGGAGTGGTGGATTTTTATAACATACACTTTATATGATTTAAACGTAGGTATTTAAAAGTATTAAATTTCAAAACTTTTATTGATTAAAATGTGCGCGACAAATATACAAAATTTAAAACCAATTATTATTTGACGGAATTGCAAAACCCATACAATAAAACCATATGTAAAAAGTATATGCTAACAGTTTCTATAGGTATTTATTATATGTACATATTATACAAAAATAGAGTTGAAAAATAAGCGCCAGATGGTTTAGTGATACAAAAAATTCATTTAAACACACAAATATAATGGTGGATTTAAACAACGTGTTTCTCATTTAGAACACCCAAATAATCACCACAAATTGCATAAAAACGGACACAATAAAAATATAAATGTAACGGCCAATTATAAACAAAAAACAGTTTTATAAAAGTGACCAACTACAAAATATACTACATACATATGGATGATTCTACAAAAGTTGAACAACTTGATGTCATCAGTCAATAGAGTAGGTATTTTAATATTTTTTGTAAATATTTTAGTATATTACAAAAGATCCAGGTTTTTGTAACTTGTCCATCCAATTTTAATGTATTTTTTCAAAAGCACGTTTGTAGAAAAACATAATAAATATTCAAATCATCAGTACCTTGGCGTGTCACAACTCCTTATTCAGGAGTTGAATCAGTTGTGAGTCCTGAATCAAATATTTGAGTGATTTTATTTTAAAATATATTCAATTTATCTTAAATTTTTTAATTTCACTACAAACTATAAAACATTAAATAATGTATTTTTCATATTTTATCATAGATTCGAATAATAGCAACTTTTTAAAAATTGATAATCTTTGTACTCACTTTTACCCGTCAGTTCTGTGTCCAATGTTAAAATTCAAAATTCCTGCAAAATATTGAAGTTTAAACGTCAAGTCCTCGTTTTAACTCAAGTGTTGGTAAAAAATTACCTACAGAGCCCGCCCTTTGCACGAAAACAATGCAAGTTCCAGTCAAAATTTCAGTACTGTGGTGACTAGTTATTTTCTTACGTTTATATATTTCATTGTAATTTATATAAGGCTATATGTGATTTGTTGATAAGTAGCATCCACTAATAAAAAATATCCGTAAAATACTTAATTCCGAATTATAAACTCAAATTTGTATCCCATTCATCAGTACTGTGTCGTCAGTTCCATGTTCGATGTTTCGGTTATCTTTTTTTCGCAAACTTCAATTTAAATTCTGCTTGCCCAGAACTTGTTAATTTAATGTCATTATAAACTCATAAAATTGTGATATCGATATACCCAAAATCCACCAGCCGCCACTGATGTGTGGTATTATTTGATTTTAAGATATTTAATGTATAATATGCTCAAAGTTGGATTTCCAATAAATTATGTATTTAGTTAGTACCCTGGTATACTCATCACTTCCCTTGCATTCAAATTTAGAAAACACAGATATTTCAAAAACTGTTTGAAAAAGTGACTGGCCCGGTCTGGAACAGTAGATTTATTATATTATCTATGTTCTCATAACAAAATACTGTTTAATTTTCTCCGAAAACTATATAAACAAAATAAGGTCAAAAGTTAACTTTTGTAGAATCACCCATATATTAATTATACACAACATTTTCTTTTTTATTATAATTATTTAGCAGCAACAATTAATGTGCTTGGTGTATTAACATATCATTTTGGTGCCAAACATTAAGTGAAAATAACTATTTGTTATACCATAAACTGGTTAAAGAATAAATAATCCCTTCTGTTAAAATGACTTTTATCTGTCGATGATATTCTTTGGAAAAATATACTTGTTAAATCCATAATGCCATAAAGAATCTTGCAGCAGAAAAAGTATATTATATTATATTATATTAAAAAAAAATTAAGCATTATAATTTATAAATTATATATAACAAACAATGCATACCTGATTCAGTGAAGTATAGTGCTTAGGTTTCCATATAGAAGTTTTAGCAATGGTATTTAACGGTGGTCTGTATTTTTCTCCTACTAAACCCTGCAAAAGCAGTTCGGCCATTTGACACATAAACTTAAGTCTAATAGAATTCACGCCCTGAGACTCTACTGCGCATAGAGAGGAACGGTATCGTTCCAAAGCGCCATCTGCCTTGCCTTGGTGAAGCAAAACCACAGGCGCTTCTTGTAAGGCTTGCTCTAATATTATCCCCAGGGACTTTTGAATCGGGGCTGATGGTTGGGGCGAATAGGTACCTAAATAAAATTTCATACTTATTAATTATGGGGTTTATGGGTTTTCAAAAAAACAATTTCGTTGAAGTTATACTTCTTTTAGCGCGTTGGCAGGATGAGTATAAAGTCGCAGAGGTAAGTTACGTTGATGTATCTAAAACGTAAGAGGTGTGTAGATGTGCGCCCTGCGTAAAATACCCCATAGAGACCCTGTTCCAACCGATAGATATTTGTATCGGAATGTATGGTGTTTCTATAGGGTGTATCGGTATGTATAGGACCCATAGATGCGATTTATGGTTGTTCTATAGGGATATCTACCATTGATTTATTTGCTATTGGTTTCAATGGGGTAAATACACATAAATGTTGAAATTAGTTTTTCCCCCATAGGACACCATAGGTTTTAATAAAATTTTGTCAAATGTTTTATGGTATCTCTATAGGGACATCCCTATATATCCTACTACCTACTACCTTCATTGAGTTATTTTCTATCGGTCTCAATAGGGAAAATGTAAAAGATATGGTGTGCCTATAGGTAATTTCCTATACATTTTCTATCGGGCCGTATCCGGAAAATACCATGGACAAATGCACATATTGAATCCGGTAGCGCCCGATAGATTATTTTGTATAGGTCTCTATGGGGTATTTTAAGCAGGGCGTGCGGCTTGAACATATTGGACAATAAAAAATGCCCCTATATTTAATTTATTTAAAACCGGGTAATTGAAAATTGCACAATAAAATTTTTATTTTGGGTAGGGTTTTAAAATTTCCTGAATAATTGAGCCGGCGGAAGAAAAAAGTTTTTTCGAAAAAAACGGTAAAATTGGTAATTTTCAGAAAAATTGACTTTTGCATTTTTTCATTTTATTCAAAGGGTAGGTAATACAAAAAAATGCAAAAGTAAATTTTTTTGAAAATATCCAAATTTTTACGGAAAATATCCGTACACTGATATCGAGAAAAAAGTGAATTTCCGACGTTGATCATATAATATTATGATTATAATAATTATTCCTTTTAGTTTAATTCAGTAAGAATATTCTACCTGGCCGCAAAAAATATTCGGTGATGTATTAACATAACTTTATTTGACAATTCAATTTAAAAAATTATAATTTTGTAATTGGATATTTTCAATGGACTCATTTTTGCAAAAAAAGACCCAACCGACAGTATATCTAACGTTTACTTTTAATTTTTTAAATTAATTTAATTCAATTTAGTTTTTTTACTACACTCACAGGCAAAATAATCGATCCACACAAATTTTCGATAAATTTCAATAGCAAATAACTTTTTTATTTGATTTCGGATTTAAACAAATATTAAAGAATATTGTAGATACATTAATGGAGAATCGCTCACATTTTAAAAATTACTAAAAAATACACGTACGTTTATAATATACAGGTTTAAACAAAAATATGTTTTTTACCATAAGTTTAAGACACTCTGTAGAGTGGCAAAAGAATTGCAATGTTTTTTTTTAAACTCCATATTTTCCACAAAAATAAATATACAATATAAATTTACAACAATATACGGTTTTGCCACTCTACAGAGTGTCTTAAACTTATGGTAAAAAAACATATTTTTGTTTAAACCTGTATATTATAAACGTACGTCTATTTTTTAGTAATTTTTTTAAATGTGAGCGATTGTGCATTAATTTAAATCGAAAACTGCCTATATACAAACAAAATTGGTAAGTAAATTAAAAACCTAAATTATGAATATTTTAAAATTTTCAAAAAAAACTATTTTTTTAAAATTTAGTCTTTAAATTTATTAAACCTTTATTAGTTGTATTTAATATCTTTTTTTACTCCTATTGCATAATATTGACATTTGTTTTTTCGTGTATAATGGTCATTATAACTGTCACGCCTGGCAATAATAATGAGCTCCTGTTGCCAATTGGGTTTTAATTGGGAGAAAGTAAGGTTTGATTTTTACCATATGAGTAAGATCACGTCAAGTGGACCCCCCATTTACCTCTTGATCGAGGAATTCAAATAAATATATTTTAATATAAAGTAGTAACCATCAATAATAAAACCCTAAAACAGTTTTTTGAAATTTTCATTTTAACACCAATTTTTTTTACAATGAAAATTTTGGAGACTTTTAATTAAAAAATAGATAACAGAAATAATAATAATAATAATAATAATAATAATAATAATAATATTTATTTCCAAAAACGACAATTCACAAAATTGTATATAAAAACCGTTAGAGATATTTAAATAAAATTTTCAGGATTTATTGTTTAATATTCACATTTTAAAAAACAATTAAAAATTTTAAATTATTTATTTATTATCATATTTTTAATTAACTTTTAAATAAACAAATAAAAATTTTAATGACTTCTCCCTCAAATTATAAATTTGTTTTATTTCAGTTACATGCATTGTACACTTTAGTTAAATATTCTGCAATAAAATTTCACTGCCCGCTATTAGTTTAAACAATATGAATTTATTTATTCCCGAGCGCGAGCCATTTCGGTAAAGCGCGCTACCGTGCACCGTAGACTCGGATCCGCTCCAATCAGTATTAATAAATAATAAACTGTAGTTGACAATAGAAAACCATATTATTTAACAAATTTAATTTTTTTAATTTAATAATTATAACAAATAAATATTATATCTACTGTTTTTATAGTTTTTTTAATTATCTTTATTTCTTTTTTTATATATAAACAATAATAACAAATTAAGCCATTCAAAATTTTCAACAATTTTTTTACAATGAAAATTTTGGACTTTTAATTAAAAAATAGATGAGAAAAACCATTGGAGACATTTTAATGAAATTTTTAGGATTGAAAAATAATTCAAAATTTAAAATTATTTATTTTTATTTTTAATTAACTTTTAAAAAAACAAATAAAAAAATGCCGCGCGCCGTAGACTCGACCTGCGTTCCAATTAGTATTTATAGAAAATAAACTGTCTTTTACAATAAGAAACAATGTTATTTAAAAAAAATATTTTTTTAAAATGTAATTTATAACAAATAGATATAATATTTGTTTGTATTTATAAATAAAGACTATAAACATTAACAAATAATTAAATGAAACATACATTTCCCCTCAGCATGTTACTTTTTTATATTTTTTCTTAAAAATTTTAATAGTTTTAATATTTTTATCTTTTGAAAAAAGCTTACACTGAAGTGATACACCGTCTATATTTTTATAATGGTGAAACTGGCGGGTAATTTGTATAGTAACAGATTGTTGAAAACGTAGTTTGTATTTTTGTTCATGAGAATCATGTTCCTTTTGAGAGCAGAAGCAATTTTTTTAAATGAATTTTTGGCCCATTTAAATATTGACTCTGCAGTAGTAATGTGCTTATCATTGTCGCGACGTAGACTAGCACGATAAGCTTGTCTTTTCACGCTTCCTCATAAGCCATCACATGTTCCTTTACTGTGTGATGTGACATCACAGCAGGTTCTCAGTATAAAATAAATATAATTTTGAGAACCTGCTCCGTCAAAAAAGTTGGACATTTTTTAAATATTATTAGCTCCGAATTTATTTTTCAATTAACTTTAAATTAAAAAATAAACTGAGCTTGTGTCATAAGTAATTTTTTCTGAAATTATCACGTAATTTAAAAAAAGATTAGAGCATTTATTCACTCGCCCCATAATATACTAAATATTAATAAACATTATAAAGTTAATTAATTAATAAAGTAGTTAAACGCAAATCTAAAAATTAGAATTCTTGTGTTTAGTATTAATTAACTTATTTAACAAATGGCTTGTAAAATTCATTTGTTATTTACGTTTATATATATATATATATATATATATATATATATAAAACAAATGGAGATAATTAAAAAAAAACAATAAAAAAGTAACCCGGGAAATTTATAAATGTTTCATTTAATTATTTGTTAATTTTTACAGTCTTTATTTATATTTAAAAAACAAATATAATATCTATTTGTTTTAAATATTACATTAAAAAAATTAAATTTGTTAAATAATATGGTTTTCTATTGTCAACAGTTGTTGTTGACAGTTTATTATTTATTAATACTGATTGGAGCGGATCCGAGTCTACGGTGCACGGTAGCGCGCTTTACCGAAATGGCTCGCGCTCGGGAATAAATAAATTCATATTGTTTAAACTAATAGCGGGCAGTGAAATTTTATTGCAGAATATTTAACTAAAGTGTACAATGCATGTAACTGAAATAAAACAAATTTATAATTTGAGGGAGAAGTCATTAAAATTTTTATTTGTTTATTTAAAAGTTAATTAAAAATATAATAAATAAATAATTTAAAATTTTTAATTGTTTTTGAAAATGTGAATATTAAACAATAAATCCTGAAAATTTTATTAAAATATCTCTAACGGTTTTTCTGTTATCTATTTTTTAATTAAAAGTCTCCAAAATTTTCATTGTAAAAAAAATTGGTGTTAAAATGAAAATTTCAAAAAACTGTTTTAGGGTTTTATTATTGATGGTATATTTATTTGAATTCCACGATCAAGTGAGAAATGGAGGGTCCACTTGAGGTGATCTTACTCATATACAAGAGACGACTGTAATAATCTTTAAAATCGGGAGAAAGATTGGTAAGAACTAGCTTACAGATGTATTTAATAAATATATCTGTCAGCTAGTTCCAACCACAAATACTATTTATAAATTTTTTTAGTGTTGATAATTACATAATTAATTAAAATTAAAATTACACTCAAGATAATGCAATTCACTTTCTAAATAACTAATTCACTTCTTAAATTTTTGCACAATATTAATAAATAAAAGTTAAAAACTTTAGCAATAGTTACGACAAAAAAATTATAAGAATTTTAAATTTAATTCAGTTTTGCCCTTTAAATAATCCTGTGAAAACAATTATTTTTGTATAACTACCTGAACCTGTGGTAGAGACAGTGGAAAGTTCTTTCTCCAATTTCTGCATGTATAAAAGACTTAAATCTGAAGCCAAATCAAAGCATTTTGAGAGTTCTTCATCTCTGCTGGCTTTTTTAAATTTACTGGAAGTAGTACCCTCTTTTTGAAGACATAGACCTTTTATAGCATACGATTCAGCTACAATTCTAAGACTTCGTCTAAAAATTAAAAGTTATTTTGAAAATAAATTATTTAAAAATGCAATGACTTACAGAGGTAACTTTTTCTCTGACAAATTTTGTAAATCTGCCTTTTTAAAGCTACTTAGACCATCTGAATATAAACCACAGGCAAAATGTAACTTCCCAAGTAGAAGATATGCATCCATAGCTACACCAGCCTTAAAATTTTAAATTAATAAAGTATTGCTTGAAAATACCCCAAAATTATATCCTATAATCATTTTTAATGTTTCAATGTTTTTATAAAAATATTATATGTTATAGTATTGTAGCATCTTCAGTTGGCACAAAAAAGTTTAAACAAAAAATTGGCATTTCTTTGTCCTAGAAGGGCCCATGATTGCCCATTAATAATATTGTTTGCATATTATCCATTACAAAGGACTTACTCACTCATTTTGGTGCTATTTTCATTAAGTTTTGTCCAACATTTGTGAATTTTAATATTTTTTTAAGAAAAATATTTAAAAGAAAGCTTAAAATAAAACTTGGATGTAAAATTTTTAATGTTATTAATTAAAATATGGGCACTGAGTTAAAATCTAAATTTTTCACTTGTAGGTACTGTTGACTGTCACTTCCCAGTATTGTTAATAATGATATTTAGTAAGTATACAATAGTAAATAAAAGATCAGACTCGCTTAAATTAAGAAACACTATATGGTCAATAAATACCTTAATTCCGGCCTCAGTGACAGCCAGGTTTAAGTACCTCTTAGCTTCAATTAAACCATGTTGTGCTTTTTTGATGTTTGCTTCAATAGGGGGACATTCCTCCAAATAGTTTTCCAATTTTCCTTCACCAATTAAAAAATCGGCCAGGCAAACTACACAAAAAGTTTAAAAATATAAAAAAATAAAACAGAAATATGTACCAACATACCTGTTTCAGGCTGTTTTTCCTTCAAATTTTCTGCTAACTCAATAACCTTGGACCAATTTCCTTCCTCCCTATTTCTTTCAATTTCGATCTCAATACGCGCATTTACTGATTTCACACGTCCTGTCATTTTCGTATGTAAAAATTTATCCTTTTTAAATGCAAAACTTGTGTTTTTTTCCAAATATTTGTACTTAACCTAAAATCGATTTTGACACTTTCGTATTGAATCGTATAACAAAAATTCATTGAATCAAATTTTCACTAAAAAAATTGGACTTTAGACAAGAGTAGTTCAAATAACATTTTATGATAGTTATGCAACCCAGTTTGCATGGAGATACGTGTATAGGCCTCATGGTATTTGGGTTGCATATATTCAAATGTTTAATAATTACATGAACATGATATTTGTGCATGAAGCCGAGGGGTAAACCACTGATTTTTTAAAATTAAAAATCGCTTACGAATTAACGGCTAAGGATAACAATAACAAGGGTAGTCATGCACAATGCGTCGCTAAGCACTGATTAAGCAAGTTTTCCTTATTTATAACGACTAGTCAGTTGATCAGAAAAAAAATCTCAACACAACGTCCACTAACATTGAACGTTGGTCTCTAATATTTTAAAGTGATTTACCCCTCGCATGAACCATACTATACTCTATGGCATGAACACATTTCCATTCCTAATATGAATTTCCTGTTTATTATGATTACCTAGAGGCAACTGCTGTTAAAATTCTTCTTTAATTTGTGTTTTATAATCCATAAAACTCGCAGTCTTGATAGATGTGCATATAAAAACAATTTATACATTATTAATATTTATTTAAGATTTTATTAAAAGGTATGTTGATTAGCATGCATTGCATTTGGATTTAAAGCCAATGGACGGATTCGATAAGGCTTTTATCTTATTTTATTTATTTATCCTAATTACCTATTAATATAAAAATGTTGGTGCTTTAACATAATTTTATTTTTCTTTGGTGTCCCTAAAATATTAACAGAAAATATTTTAACAGAAAAAAATTAGACTATGGATGTTTACATACCTTAAATAATTCTAAATTAAAGCTTACTAAAAACAATAAAAGAAAATGTTCTATGCTCTACATTTTACTGTATCATTAAATAAATTTTATTGATATAATTTATGTTACCATAGAAACCTTAAAATACAAACAATTCTCTTTTAGGCACTTAAGGGAGAATTCTCGTTGAATTTAGTTGTCTTAAAACTTTTTAACTTAATATAAATTAAACAAAAACTCAAATTATTTTTTTATTTATTATTAGGTAAAAATTTAACAATTTGCATTGTTCTTAACTACATATTAAATAGATATCTATTTATATTTTTTACAAAAAATCATTAAATAAAGTTATTTGTACAAATCATAGTGATGTGTTAAATTAAAAAAATAACATTATTTTAGGAATATTAATTGTGGCCCCTAGAAGCTAGCCAGCAATACAAGTGACATTTAAAAAAATGGGATAAGCACATATGTGCTTAAGGAATTCCTGCAGGCTGCAGCAACAAATCGTAAATTTTACTTGGTAGCCAAGCCAGCATAACTGAAGTTTGTAAAGCTTAAAAAACAAAGTCAAACTATTTTGACACCAAATTAAAAAAAACTAAATTAAACATGATTAGGTATCTCAAAATGTACTTGTACCCGGACAACATTCGTGATAATCATACGAACATCACGTCGTGATTTTCACAAATTTTATTCATACTGATATCATACGGAAGTCACCGCGTGATAAATGAAAATCATACGAACGTCACGACGTGATTTTCACAAATTTTATTCATACGGACATCATCCGGATGTCACTGCGTGAGAAATAAAAATCATGTCGTGATTTTTTATGCCATCGCTGTTTGCGATTGACCGATGGCACAAAAAATCATGTCGTGATTTTTTATGCCAACAGTGTTTGGATAATCATTTTTGCGCCACGTTCGTACACTAAGAGAAAAATTATGTTGAATCAACAGTTTTTGCGGTTAAATACATTTAATATTTTCTTGGATTTAAATTAACTAAATATATTTAATTTAAATCCAAGAAAATATTGAATGTTAAACTGTTAATTTAATTGTTAACATACTTTTTCTTTCAATGTACGAATGTGTCGCAAAAATGATTATAATATATATCCAAACACCGATGGCATAAAAAATCATGTTGTGATTTTTTATGACCAAACACCGATGGCATAAAAATACATGTCGTGATTTTTTATGCCATCGGTGTTTGGACATTTATTTTTGCGCCACATTCGTACATTGAGAGAAAAAGAATACCTACATATATATTGAATCAACAGTTTTTGTGGTTAAATAAAAACATTCAATATTTTTTTGGATTTAAATTAATAGTTAATTTACATTCAAAAAAATATTAAATGTATTTAACCGCAAAAACTGTTAATTCAATTGTTAACATACTTTTTCCCACACTGTACGAATGTGGCGCAAAAATAAATATCCAAAGATGTCCGATGGCATAAAAAATCATGTTGTGATTTTTTATGCCCAAACACCGATAGCATAAAAAATCATGTCGTGGTTTTTTATGCCATCGGTGTTTGGATATTTATTTTTGCGCCACATTCGTACATTCAGAGAAAAAGAAAACCTACATATATATTGAATCAACAGTTTTTGTGGTTAAATAAAAATATTCAATATTTTTTTGGATTTAAATTAATAGTTAATTTACATTCAAAAAAATATTAAATGTATTTAACCGCAAAAACTGTTAATTCAATTGTTAACATACTTTTTCTCACACTGTACGAATGTGGCGCAAAAATAAATATCCAAAGATGTCCGATGCCATAAAAAATCATGTCGTGATTTTTTATGCCATCGGTGTTTGGATATTTATTTTTGCACCACATTCGTACATTAGGGGAAAAAGTATACTTACATATAATATATATTCAATATATTATATTGAATCAACAGTTTTTGTGGTTAAATACATTCAATATATTTTTGGAATTAAATTAATAGTTAATTTACATCCAAGAAAATATTAAATGTATTTAACCGCAAAAACTGTTAATTCAATTGTTAACATACTTTTTCTCACAATGTACGAATGTGGCACAAAAATAAATATCCTAACATGTCCGATGGCATAAAAAATCATGTCGTGATTTTTTATGCCCAAACACTGATAGCATAAAAAATCATGTCGTGATTTTTTATGCCAACGGTGTTTTGATAATTATTTTTGCGCCACGTTCGTACACTAAGAGAAAAGTTATGTTGAATCAACAGGTAACAAACTAGGTTTTAAATTCGCAGTTCGCAGGGCTATAACGCATGCGCAAATTTTGCAAAAATCACACCGTGAGTTCTACATGATATCACTGTGATGAAGCATGTGTATGCACTCAGGATATCACGGCGTGACAAAAAAAAATCACGTTGTGATATCATCATGATTTCACCAGGAAATCCCGATTGTTGTCCGGGTAGTTTTTGGCTTCCAGGGTTGAGGCCCCAACAAATTGAATGTAATGTAATTATGTAGGTAACTATCCATATAATATAATAATACTGTTAAATTCAACTAAAAATGTAAAAGCTCGAGCTTTAATTTAACAAACTGATCAGTTTGTTAAATTAAATACATATTGGTTTAGATTAGGGATGCATCCGATACCGATACCGGTACCGATATATCGGCGATATTTTAATTTTTCTGATACTTTGACTAGCCCTGTATCGGCGATACCTTTGTATAAATATCGGTATCGTATCGGCAAAAAACCTATCGTGGCATCCCTAGTTAAAATATACAAAGTAATTTTTGACCTAGGTTTTTTCTGAAATTATACAAAATTTATAGTTATAAGTAATAGTATAGGTAATATTTGTAAATAAAAATTTATAATCTACAATTTTTAAGTTATTATTGAAGGTATTAACTCGATATTTTTTTCACTTCCTTGAGTTATTCAATCTGTTGTTTCAAATTATTTTGTTAATCAAATTATTTAAACGTCTAAAATTTGTAATTGTATGAGAAAAAATCATCTTATAAGATGCCATAGGTTACTTAAAGTATATATATTAGGGTGTTTCTATTTCCCATTTAAATAACATGGGATTTTTTTTTAACTTTGAAATTTTATACGTCTGAATCGAATCAACTTATGTCAAGGATCATCTTAGATTTTCATAGTAAATTTAACGCTCTACAAAAAAGGTCTCCTATCATTTTTCTATAAATTGATTCCTTCCAGAGTTATTCGAGGCCAAAGTTTGATTTCCATCGAATATTAGCGTTTTTTTAACATTTATGGTACAATTTTCATTATACGGGTGTCCCGAAATCAGGGGGCCAAACTTAAATAGTGCATTATTCGTATAAAAATAACACTTTTTTTGTTTAATAAAAATGTATCAAAAAATGCTAAAGGAGCTACGGCCCCCTGAATAGGAGCCTAAGAGGATAATTTTTTTTTAAACTATTCCTAGAGGGTTGAACATGAACAAATTAATTTTCGGTATTTTGGTAATTTTGACATGCTGAATCTAGATCTATGATCAAAACTGTTAAAATTTAATCATAGGCGTAACATTTGGAGGGGGCAAAGTTACAAAAATAGCCCCAACTTTTTTCTGGGTTAATAATTTAATTTTTTTTATGAAATTATGAGAATTTATAGTTTTTTACGAAAAATAGGTACTCTTGATTTGAATTGCTCAGATGCACCATTTTCGAGAAGAATGCATTTATAAATAAATTACTCTGCATATTATACACATCTCATATTTTCATTAAAACTTTGTAGTAGGCTTTGGAAAAAAGTGACGTTTTTTTGTTTTTTTGTTTTTTTTTACAACACTTCCTATGTTTCAGATATAAATATGTGATTTTTTTACTACATGATGCTAAAAGTTGAAAAAACGAGAAAATTCGATGGAAATAAAACTTTGGCCTCGAATAACTCTGGAAGAAATCAATTTATAGAAAAATTATAAGAGACATTTTTTATAGAGCGTTAAATTTATTATAAAAATCTAAGATGTTCCTTGCCATAAGTTGATTCGATATAGACGTATAAAATTCCAAAGTAAAAAAAAAAATTCCTATGTTATTTAAATGGGAAATAGAAAATTGCGATCCGCGACCTCTAAATCTTCAAATTAAAAGCTCAAATTTTAACGAGGTCTTTGTTTTGACATCCTCTGAAAGAATTTGCTGACCATTTGAAGAAAAATAAAAAGTCGATTTTTTTGAAACACCCTAATATATATATAACCAATGTATGTGTGTATAATTTTTAAGTGAGCCTTTCATTAAAAACTATCATTTTGGCCAAGCTTCACAGTTACACCCTGCATAGTTATTACAAATCCACATCCTAAAATATATTTATTTGTTAAAAATGCATACATTTTAACAAAAATATTAACAAATACCTTAATATATAGTCCTAAGTAAGATCCTGTCTGTTCTCTTCTTTTAAGCAAAATAATTCCCAATATTGCACCACCTAAAAAAATTATGACTGCCAATATTCCTCCAATTATTCCTACAAATAAAACGGAAAACCGTAAGGTTTAAAGGATATTAGTTTTAAACGATATTTCAAGAATATTATGGCACATAAATACTTAAAATAGCTAATTTATGTAAGCTTAATATTAATTGTATTTAGAGATGCGACTTGAAAAAAACGGTCCGTTTTTTTTTCATTGTTTTTTTTTCAAGTGGGTTTTTTTCATATTTTAGGTTTTTTTCAAGATTAGTCCCATTTATCTAATTTTTTATGTTTCCAGTCCAGTTCGTGGACGAAAATTAGCCACTACATGACATTTAGTAAATGTAAATACAGTCTCGCGCTTTGCACGCGCCACCACCACCAAAAAAAAGTAACTACCTCTAATATTTTTGATTCAGCGCTTGATTTTTCAAAAAGCTACCAAAAGCACTTTTTCATGATTTTTCAAATTAATGTAAAGTATGAATTTTTTTTTTTTAAACAATAACAAATTCTTGTAGAAGATTTATTCATTGGTGGTTAAGTGGACCAAAAAAAAAAAAGCCAAAAAAATTTCAATTTTTTTTATTACGGCATTCGTTAGGATTGAGCGTTGCACGTTTTTCAACTAAAAATCTCAAAACTAGAAACTTCAAATTGCTTTTTTTACGGCTCCAATACGACCATTTTTAACGAAGATACAGCTATCCGAAAAATCGCAAAAAATTTTGAATTTTTTTTATTCTTTAATTTTTTCTATTAGTGTAGAAGTTTAACATTGCTGTTGGTTTCTTATGTGGAAACTACCAAATAATAAAAAATCAGATTTTTTTGTCTCAGTCAAAATTTTCAATAATGGAAAATGTAATATATTCTACATTTCACTTTATTATTACATTTTACTCAAAATTTCATTTTGAAAAATTACTCTATTTTTTAAGATTGATGTTATTTATTGACAAAATATGCTTTATTGCAACGGATTTGAAAAAAAAAAACAAAAAACCCGTTTTTTTCTAGTTTTTTTCACATCTAAAAAAACCTTTTTTTTCTCTAATTGTATTAAATAAATTACATATGCAATTTATGCACAGGGTGCTGCAGACTAGATCAGTGTTTTTTTTAATGTGAAGCATTTTGCCAATAAACATATACCAAGTAAGCTTTTATTATATAATTCTTCGAATTCCATCCAAAAATTTTAAGTTCCTAAAAATGTGGGGTCAAATGCTTCCAATAATGAGAATTGAAGATGGAATATAGAGTTTTTTTTACTTTAAAATAGCTAAATAAAATTCATTTCAAAAACACCCATCCATTCTGCCAAACCCTGTATAGTTGAGACAAATCTTAACTCAATGCCTGCAAATTTAATATAAAAAACTTTTTACCTGCAACAGGGATATGGGATTTTGTGTTTTCAAAGGGAAAAAACAATTTACAAGCTTCAGTACTTTTAACTTCAGAAGTGTCTAAACAAACTTGGCTTGACTGAAATATGAAATATAGAAAATATTTTTAAATTAAAGAGGAGATTTTCTCCTAACTGAATAATTATAAAATCAAATGATTTAACTTACTTTAAAAACAGTCTCTGTCTCATTGAAACATTTTACTACTATGGTATAGTTAACATGACCTAAAATAAAAAAATGTAATATTAATAAAGAAAAAAACTAAAAAAAGGACTTACGGGGTTTTTTATTCAGAATACACGCTATATCTGTTTTATAAATTAATTGAAGTGATTTACTTGTATGATTTATATTAATCAATGGACATTTTTTTAGTTGAAGAACCTAAAATGTAATAACCAAATAATTTCAATATTTTATTGTCTAGTTTAGAAAACTTACTTCGATACCATTTAAACTATTTATATCTAATATATATCCAGTTTCATTGCTAGATACATTACATTTTTTTTCGATTTTCATATTGTCATATTGTTTTGCTTTTAGAATCTGTAAAACAATCATTATTTAAACATTGATAAATCGAATATATGGGGTGTTAAAGAATCGTCACCTCATTAAATTTGCAGACATAATTTGATGTTAAAGAAACATAAACATTGCAATTTTTCTTATATTTAAAATCATACAAATCATTATAGGCTTTCATATCACAATATAAATTAAGTATGATTTTATTAAAATCGTCTGAAAATGTGCAATTTCTATTTAAATGGAATAAAATATAGTTTGGAGAGGTACTGGTTATATAAGTCCTTGATAAAACGCTTGAATTACAGTTGCCTAAAATTAAAAAATATAAATAAATTTATTCAGGATATAAATAAAAAATATAAACCTTTTAAACATGTTGTATAGTTATCCTCACAATAATTAATTTGGTATGTTTTATTGTTGTTGTTTATTTCAAAGTTTTTTAAAGGAAAAAAATCCAATGAAAGTCTAAAACAATAATGATGAAATAAATTAATAAATAATTAGCCTAATTATTTATTAAATTAGGTATAATAAAACTTACGTTTCGCCTATGTCTGCTGTTATTTCACATTTTGTTTTATTCTCAGAGGCATCACAAACATAAGGGGTATTCCAAAGGAACTCTTTAGTACAATTATTATCATTTATCAAATTCAGTGAGTTCTAAAATCATTATTAATTTAGTTTTGTATACGAGATTTTTCCTTAAAATGTATTTAAAAAATTCTAAACATGTGTCTGATTACGGTGTGTTTTTGAGATTCAGGGTGGTCAGTTGAAAATTACAGTTATAGACATATAAAAAACAGTAGGAAAAATTATAAAAATTTCTAAAATTGTCTTTAAAATTTCCAAAGCGGAAAATCTTTAAAGTTCCAAAGCTTCAAAACTCAAAAGCATGAATGCCCCTTCAAACTTCGATCTTTTTTATCTGTGTGTATCGCCACGATTAGGAAAGCTCAAAAAAGCCCAAAAACTTCAAAACTTAAAAGCTCAAACCCATACAATGTTTTGTGTAAATATTGGTTGAATTCTTTTTTATTAAAAATAACAGTTAAAATTGATCTTTTGCATGGTTTATGGGCTGAAGAGATAGAGAGGTTATAGGAAAAGAGTAACACAACTAATTCTGTCATTTGTCCATTTGTTCATTTTATTTCAAAACAACTGTAATTTATATATTTTTTGACTATTTTAACTAATATACATTTTTTTTATGCACGTTTCAAATGTTTATAAAAAGTTTTGTAGAATATTTTCATTAATTTACCTTATCTGAACATTTGATATGTACCATAGTTTGCATAGGATCAAAATCACATAAATCCCCATCAGTGAATTTTACCAGAAGTCCATTTTGGTCTTCAGAAATAGTTTTCTTCCTCCCCAAAGAAACGGTCCTAAAAATATCACCTATTTACAAAACACCAAACATAAAATTGATAAAAATACATACTGATATTTAATGTTGGGTTCATTTTTATCTGCTAATAAGACATAAGAGGTTTCCAAACATTTTGTACTGTCTACTAATAATTCACAAACGTTAAAAAAATAATCTTTGTTGCTTTTGGCATTATAAACCATCTTTACACCTTTTAGGTTTATAAGATTATAAACTTTTTTACCAATTTTATTGGTACACTCACTTTCTTGCACAACAGTACCTAATTTGCAAGTTTCCTAAATAAAAATTAAAAGTAATACACATACAAGATATTGAAAATTTCTTCTAACATGCTAAATGTCCTTTTAGTTATATTTCGTTCATGCATAAGAAAAGTACGACTCAACAAATTCCTTTCTGGGATAAATTTATGCAAAGGAATAATTATTGCAATTATTGCAAAACATGTCTAGTTTTTAACAGTGCCATATAAATAGTTTATAAAATGACCGTTAGGGGTAATAAGTAAAGAAAATATTAAAATCCTTGAGTTAGTTTTCTTGTACAAAAACATTTTTAGTTTAATACAGATTAAAAAAATAAAATGTTTCAACAAAATTTAATTTTGTAATTAATAAATTTTTTTATGGGAAACTTACATTTAGTTTTGGGCATGCTCTAGGTGTGTGCCAGATGATATAATTAGTACATTCACTGGTGCTATATTTCTCAAAAAGAGGACCTTTTTCTTTAAAGGAGCAATAAAAATTAATAATTGTACTATACTTTTTAAGAGTTTTCCAATTGCAAACATTTCCATCTAAAATTTAAAGAATTGTTACAACACCCAAAATTAATTTAAGAATTCTTTACATTATTTAATAAAGTATTATTGATTTATAAAATTGAATTTTATAATTATATATTTATATTTATTAGGAGCCAAGTATTAAAAACAAACTTGTAAAATATTTTACAAAATTATTTTTTTTAGTGCATTTTTTTATTATTATTGAACTAGGTAGGTACCTACTTATAACAAACAATTTTTACAATCTTACCATAAATTTTTAATTTAATAGCATTATCTTCTATTTCAAAAGGAGAAAATATGCTTCCCATATTTAAGTCTTTGGAAATATCACATGCTTGAGACTCTGATTCTAAAAATAAATGTTATATAAATTAATAAATGATAATTTATTAGTAATTTAAATTATCTTACTGTTACATTTTAAATTTATTTGAGGCCCCTGTAATGGTCCGCATACATTTATGGACAAATTAACATTACCACTTACATCCCACCCTTCAGGTTTGTTTAAAAGTGTAAAATCATATTTATATTTACCATCATAAAACTAAAATTTAAAATGTTAAAAAATAATGTAATGTTATGTTTCTGTATGCTGAAAAAAGATTTCATTATGCCTCTTTAAAAAAACTTAGTTTACTTAATTAATATAAAGTTGATCATTGCTGTCCCTATTCATAGCATAGCAAAGAGTTTTCCTGTTTATGTAAACACAATAGTCATCAAGTTGCATGAAAAATGGCATAATTTAAATTAATATTTCACCATACAGCCAATCCACCTTACTCGGGAATTTTTGTAGCGTCCGTTACAATAAAAAATTGTGAGTAAAACTACCGTAATTATTATGCTTATAAGCTTAAGCCTAATTATTACAAGCATAATAAACATGTTTGCACTAGTAATTATTGTAATAGTATTTAATTTAATTACGGTAGCTTTTACTCACAATTTTTTATATAGTATAGTGTAATATATATATATATATATATACATATATACACTATAGTGTATGTATATTAGGGTGCTTCTAAAAAATATTTTTTTTTCGCTCTTACCCTCTCAAATGTTTCTATTTAATATAAAAAAAATCCTCACCAAATATGGGCCTTCCAGCTCAACTCTAAGAGGTTGCTGTTTTTATTTTAGTTTCCCATTTAATTAACATGGAAAAAAATAATTTTATGTTTGGAATTTTATACCTCTGTATCAAAGTAACTTATGGCAATGATCATTGCAGTTTCTTATATAAAATGTAATGCTTTACAAAGAAGGTCTCCTATTATTTTTCGATAAATTGATTTCTTCTAGAGTTATTTGAGGTCAAAGTTAGATTAACATAAAATTTACTGTTTTTTTTATTTTTATGGTACAATTAGCAGACGGGAGGTGAAAGGGGGCAAAACAAGGCAGCGGGGAGGGAATGAGGTACCCAAAAAAGGAGCATATGAAAAGTTTTACAAATTTGTACCTTCATTTTTCTCGCTCTACAGGCTCAGAATAATTATTTTCGATTAAACTACTACTACTTGCGAGTAAATATATTTTCAAATAATTTAAAAACCGAAAAAAACAATCTAAAAAAAAATTTTTTTTACGAAATTTTTTAGGTACCAGTTTTGCCCCCCGCTGCTTTGTTTTGCCCCCTTTCACCTCCCGTCTGCTAATTGTACCATAAAATTAAAAAAAAAAACAGAAAATTTGATGTTAATCATACTTTGACCTCAAATAACTTTTTTGTAGAGTGTTAGCATTTTATATAAGAAACTGCAATGATCATTGCCATAAGTTACTTTGATACAGAGGTATAAAATTCCAAACATAAAATTATTTTTTCCCATGTTAATTAAATGGGAAACTAAAATAAAAACAGCGACTTCTTAGAGTTCAACTGGAACGCCCATATTTGGTGAGGATTTTTTTTATATTAAATAGAAACATTTGAAAGGGTAAGAGCGAAAAAAAAAAATTTTTTTTAAGCACCCTAATCTATATATACATACCTTAGGGTGGTCCTTATAATTGGGTTTTTTATTTTAAATGTTGCCTTCAATGTGGTGTAAATAATTCAAATTTTTTTAAATGGGGCATTTAACTTTGAGGAGCAACAAATAAATTAAAGTTGTTTAAATATGGGTGATCTAAGCTTCTGTGTTGATATAAGCCTTATAAAAACACAGAATAAATATTTATAAATATTTTTCTTTGTGTTTTCTTTTACAATACCTATCCAAATACAAAATCTCTGATGAATTTCGAATATTTATTTTTATCGCTAAGCCAATTCTCTGCTGAAAGTTTTATTAAATCTGGGTAACTCTTGCTAAAGACTCCCAAATCTTGCTAATAGTCTGACCTAATAAGTCTTATTCTTGGCTTTTAAGAAAAAATAACACTTTCAAAACAATTTTTACTTATTCTAAATTTCCAGAAGGGTTTACAATAGGTATTAGTAATAATTATTATTATTTAAATATTTACAGTGACATATGTTGGGAGAAATCATTGGTAAATAATAGTTTTAAATAGTTTTTTGAAAGAAATTGTATTTTTTTCATCAATCGTTTTGGACTCATAAGAAGGGTTAAGGTGAAATCTCAAATATTTTTGTTGTAATTTATTTTTTTTGAAAACGGTGAGTTTATAAAAGAAATTTTTTTTTATCAAAAAATGTGGGAATTGATATCAATTTTTAATTAACACTTTAATGCGCATAGGTACATCTCAATTAAGCTTTGTTCAATTTTAATAAATTACTCGAAATTCCGCACGATATAATTCCTATAGTCTAATGGCCTATTGTAGGGAAAAAACTTATTATGAATTTTATAGTTTTTTTCAATACAAACAAATTTCTTAATTAGTGTTGCAGGACAATGCCTCCTACAATTTTGTTTTCATTTTTTTTCTAAAAAACAGTTTTCAAGAGAAATAAAATACAAAAAAACAACAAAAATTGTTTGTAATCTAAGTTGGGGTTGGGCTTCTCTTATGAGTCCCAAACATATGTTTGCATTTATGGAAAAAAAGACCATTGCCAAGACAGATATACTGTCAATATTGACAGTAAGGAAAACATTTGGTTTGCAAACACTTAAAATAAAAAATATACTTCATTACTATAACATAATATGTTAGTTATAGTTGCTCCTACTGTAAGAGTGGACACTAAATGTACACTATTATACTACTATAATAGTATACTAACGTATACATTAGGTACACACCTAATAGAAGGTAAGTAAATATATTTATTGAAAAATCCAAAAGGCTGCAGCGCTGTCGACTGAGGTTTAGTAATAGGCAAAAAGACATGTCTATGTCATATGCATATATGTTAAATTAATAACTATTCTAGGGCAGGAAGACGAAAGTCGTTAGCCTTTTGGATTTCCAATAAAGTTTATTATTATTATTATTAACTATTCTAATAATTTACTTACCAAACAAGATGGAATGTTTTTAACACAACCAATGTTTGATTCCATTTGAAATAAATAAGTTTTACCCTGTTTTGAGACTTCATGGTATGTTACATTAGAAATATCAGTCTCCCAATTACAATTAATATTCATAATAAATTTTTTTGGTTTATCTAAAAATTTTATTTTAATAACTACCTACAACATTTTTATGTATATAACATGTGTTTACCTTTCTTTTTAAAGCTACCATGTATTACAACTTTGTTACCATTGATTAAAACTTTTTGAGATTCTTTGGTTGATATAGGCAAAATTGAATCTGTAACTTCACAAGCAGTAATATTCTCTCCACATACATTGTTATCTCCACAAAGTTGTATGTTAAATTTTGTTGATCTAGAAAAAATAGGCAAATTTTTATCCAACCGTCGATAATTAATAATTTTTCCATTAACATTTTCCACACAATCTGTTTTATTATCCAGCGCCGTAATAGTATGCAAAAGTATACAAATCAACTTTAATATCCTCCAGTGTGTTGAACTCATTTTTAATATTTCTGTATTTTTGTAGATAATTGCAAGCTTTGCAACGGATTTTAAGAATTTTCTCCAATTTGTTAAAAAGTTTCATATCAGATTATTATTTGTATGTTCAGCAGAAACACACACAATTGGGTGAATCACCTACAGTCTGTAGGCTACAGAATACCGCATACTTTGCGGCGCATAAAAAACCAAAAAAACCCAGAAAACCCTAAAGGGAACACCTTCTTCTTCTTCTTTCTTGGTGGCAAAAAGCCTTAATGGTCTCGATTTCAATGTACCATTTTAACCAGAAACAAGTTTTAACGTCCATGCGCTTCACGAAGCCATCCACCAACAGACATGTGAATTTTCCAATCTGGAATCATCCATTAATTCTTGTGTACAAATCACAAAATACCTCGCTAAAAGGTCAAAGCGTGCGATATTGTCCAAAGATACAGGAATTCTTGTTCAAAAAGTTTTGGCCCTTAGCGAATTCCAGCTATTTGGCCTGCTAATTATGTGTAGTTTGTCTTATATAAACTTGAAAAACACCGATAGAATTTAGTTAGGTTAGAAATTTTCTAATAGAAAATAAAAATGTTAATCTGTACTTATGCAACTAAGTTACCACTAACAATTTGGTTGTCTATCTACAAAGTCTGTTATCTATCGTTGTCTTGTTCAATTAATTGTAATAGTTTAACTGTTTTTGGATAGATGGCGAAGCTTTTTCAGTGTTAAACTGAGTTGCCTACATAAGTATCCCGCCATTTGACGTTTGTCATGACGTTGCTGTCAAAAGTAAACTAAAAACCCTAGGAGGAACGCTGCAGTTAAACAAAAAACGTTTTTTAAAAGCATTAACATTTTGGTTCATAAGATATTAAATAAGTAAGTAATTTTTAATTTACTTGGGTGTGTATTTTATGATAAGTTTTGTGTTAAAGCCCAGATAACAACAATGATGGCCGAATCGGATGCAACTGTTGAAGCCACTAGAAGATTAAATGTAAAAAAACAAACCTTGGATGATGCATACGCAGCCCCAGCAAATTTTTTAGAAATCGATGTCGTTAATCCAGTTACCACAATAGGTGTTGGAAAAAAGAGGTTTACAGATTATGAAGTTAAAATGAGAGTAAGCATGTAAACCTTAAATACAGGGTTCCTATAGGAATTTATAAATTATCTGCTTATACCAATTTGTAAACAAAATTTACACGGTGGTAGAACTTTTTAAAATAATAATAAATGTTATAACCACAGACCTATAACCATAGTGTGAGAAACAACTCCTAAGTGAGGTAGAGTCTATGAAAAGGGCTTTTTCTAAATATTTAAAAGATTTAGAGATAATAGAGTGAAATTTGCTACACTTACCTACAATTTTGGTCACGTGTGTCCCTAGGGTTGCTACCTGACACTTCTTGGTTTAAGGGGTAAGAGCATGAAAAATATGCATTTTAGATTGATTTACGCCAAAATCCTTCTTCTAAAATTTATATTTATTGTGCCATGAAACACCTTTGAAGCTCTCCATTATGTAAGGAAAATGCATAAAAACTGTTTGTTTACCTCATATTTTATTTTGCTAATTACAGGTTCTTATGTTTTAATTACTTGAAAAACTGGAGTAACCTGTAAAATATGGGTCATCTAGCAACCCTAGACATCCCAAACAGGGTGGGACTAAAAAATGTAAACCTAACTTTTTTGTGTACTAAATTTTTGCCATTTTGGACCAATAGTATTACAGGGTGTCCGGTAAAAGGATGTCAATCCGTTAACCATATATTCCTTGAGTTAAAACAATAAGACTTTCATAATACCATTTTTCAATTTAGAGCTTCATGTTCGATATACAGGGCGACAAAGTTTGAAATTAAAAACTGATTTTTTTTAATAATTCAAGTAATTGATAAGATATTAAGTTTAAATTCGGTACACTACTTCAAAATAAATAGTTACATTTTTTGAGACCAACAAAACAAAAAACAATTGTTAAATAATCAAAATAGGTCCCTTTGGTTAATCCAATAAAGCCTTTTTTTTTTTTTTTAATCAAAATAGGGGGGTCCAGTACTCACTGATTCCCCCTATTTTTTAGTACGTGCGCCATTGACTTCCAAACGGTATTTTTTCAGGTAATCATTTATTGTTAAAAAAAATTTGTCTCATAAAATTTTGATAAAATGATTTGTTTTAGAGATAATTTGTAAAGTATGGGTCAGTCCATATCAAATCAACCAAAGGTTCTTCCCCCACCATCTCCGATTTTGATCATTTTTGGTAAAAAACTCAAAAATCCCAAATATGAATTTTTTTCGTTTATTTTTGTTTTATTGATTTTTGAAAATCAAAAAATTCCGATAAATTTGGGTCTTGCAAGTACTTACAAAAATAGCGATATCTCGTAAACTATTAAAAGTAGAAAGGTGAGTGATGGCTTATTTTAAAGGCCTATTAGAGAACTTTTTTATGATATATCACATGACCTACATTTTTTCAAAAAAAAATTAAATTTTAAAAATTTGATATGGACTGACCCATACTTTACAAATTATCTCTAAAACAAATCATTTTATCAAAATTTTATAAGAGACAAAACATTTTCAAGAATAAATGATTACCTGAAAAAATTCTGTTTGGAAGTCATTGGCGCACGTACTAAAAAATAGGGGGAGTCAGTGAGTACTGGACCCCCTTATTTTGATTATTTGACAATTGTTTTTTGTTTTGTTGGTCTCAAAAAATGTAACTATTTATGTTGAAGTAGTGTACCGAATTTAAACTTAGTATCTTATCAATTACTCGAATTATTAAAAAAAATCAGTTTTTAATTTCAAACTTTGTCGCCCTGTATATCGAACATGAAGGCCTAAATTGAAAAATGGTATTATGAAAGTCTTATTGTTTTAACTCAAGGAATATATGGTTAACGGATTGACCTCCTTTTCCCGGACACCCTGTATAAGGAATACAGTTTTTTTATAAATAAATTCATCTTGTATAAGCCAATTGGTAAAATTGATCTAAATATTTATATATCATTTCTTGCTGTTTATATTTATAACTTTTTTTAAATATTTAAAGAAGTTTGACAACTTGAGTTACAAGGGGTATGGAGTGTTTAATTTTTTAGTTTAAATTTCTCTATGAAACAATTACAAAAACAAGTGACAAAACTGGGTACCCATTGATTTCTTTGGGTTTGTCTCAGTGTTTTATAATTTTAGTTGTTTTTTCACTTATATTCAGTTTAAAAAAAAATGTTTAAATACCAAATACCAAAAAGTTTATACCAAAATTGAATTATTAATGGATAAAATTAAAAACAATTTAACATTCAATATTTTAAAAATAAAAATCACTTCTAGTAGCTTGTAATTAATTACAACATGTATTTCAGACCAATTTGCCTGTTTTTAAAGTCAAAGAATCCAGTGTTAGAAGAAGGTATAGTGATTTTGAATGGCTCAGAAACGAATTAGAAAGGGATAGCAAAATTGTGGTGCCTCCTCTTCCTGGCAAAGCATGGAAAAAACAGCTACCATTCCGTGGAGATGATGGTATTTTCGAGGAAAATTTTATCGAAGAAAGGCGAAAAGGATTAGAAGTTTTTATTAATAAGTAAGTTTATTTCATTTGTACTTATTTATTTGCAAAAAATCTATTAAGTAATTTGCAAGAAAGTCATTAATAATGTTTTTGATAAACTATGTATGTTTCTTGTTTGTTAAAATGATTCACTCGTTGAATCACCAAATTATATTTTTTACCAGTTGTTTAAACATGATTTTTCTATACAACTATTTTTCCCCACTATATGCATTAGTGAACATTGACCCCAATATAATTAAGTGAGTATTGTTTTAGGAATATGATTTAACTTTAAAATGTATTTATTTTTATTTAAAGACTTCCTAATTCTAAATTAAATTGATACTTATTAAAATAACTAAAAAGGGGCGTTTGACAATTTTTATTATACACAGATTAGGTTACATATAACTCATAATTTAATAAGGAAATCATATACAAAATTAAATTATCTTTTACTATTTCAATGATAATAAGATAATAGAATAATTGGGAAACCATATCACAGTATTTAAAAAAAAATACTTACCAATTTTGATCTGAATATGGGCCAGGGATTTTTTTAATTAAAAAGAAAGCAAATTTTATTCTAATTATTATTTTATTTTGCATATCCTGTGCATACCTACCATATAAGAAATACATTAGGGTGTTTAATAGTATATTATGTATCAATTTTTATGCAGTTTTATTAGGCACGAGCGAAGCTTGCGAGCGAGTGTTTAATAAAAACGAGTGCCTAGAGATGTTTATAAAACGAGTTGCATACCATACTTTATCTACGACGAACAGAAATGAGAATTTAAAGCCAATTTAAATTTATAAATATTTGACAAATTTAACCTCACTTTTTTGCAATTTATAATAACGCTAACTTCAGCCCGTGACTAAAATGCCCAAAAGCCACTGTTGTTAACTTCAGCCCGTGACTAAAACACCATAAAGTCACAGCTCTTCAATGTAGGAGTAGATAATAGTATATTATGTATCAAGTTTTGTAAACGCCATTTTATGCACGAGTTTAATTAAGAACGAGCGAAGCTTGCGAGCGAGTTTTTAATAAAAACGAGTGTCTAAAGAAGTTTATAAAACGAATGGCATACTATAGTTTATCTACGACGAAGATAAATAAGATTTTAAAGCCAATTTTATTTGTTAAACATTTGACATCCGTCAACTGTCAACGGATTTAACCTCACTTTTTCCCAATTAATATTAAAGCTAACTTCAGCCCGTGACTAAAATGACCAAAAGCCACTGTTGCTAGCTTCAGCCCGTGACTAAAACGCCATAAAGTCACAGCTTATCAATGGTGGAGTAGATAAAAGATATTGTTTGTATCCAACAAGAGTTGTACCTACAAGGTTGTCCATTTTCATTAGTAGACAAAAATACTATTGTTCTTGAGCAATAAATTGAATATAAATTGATAAAAAGGATCTGAAGAAATATTTTTAATTTATTGATCTCTTGTGTCTGATATTTGTTGGATTATTTGCCTAAAGAATACACCCAAATGTCAAAAAAATAATTTATTATTTTCCACTATATTTATGTTTTGATTAGTTAAAACATACACATGAATAAAATTAAATGTTTATATTGGTTTTTAGATCTAAAAACCAATATAAACATTTAATTTTATTCATGTGTACGTTTCGAAACGTCAAAAAATAAAAACGCCCTTTATCGTACATGTTTCCATTACACTAAGTGACCTTTTAAATACACATTGACAAGTTGTGGCTTTACGGCGCTTTAGTCACGGGCTGAAGTTAGCAACAGGTTTTTACTCACGGGCTGAAGTTAGTTTTAAGTTAGTTGATAGTTGTCAAATGTCATACAATCGTTAAAATAAAGTGCCTTTCTTGTAAAATAATACTAAATGTGAAAATTATTTTATTATCTCAATACAAAATACAAAAATATTAAATAGTTTCTCAACGCCAATATTTGAAAAGTTTATATGAACATTGTACGCCGGCAGTAAACTATAACTTAAATTCGGGCACGGACTCTACTGTAAAGTCCTCATAAAACATTTCCCTTACTTTCACTGTGAAAAACTGTCAATTTTCAATATACATTTCGATTTATAACCTTTATAATTGTGTTGTTGTTTCATAGATGGCGCTCTATACAAATTTTTGATTTAAATCATTTTAAGATAATAATAAGTATTTGTCGTAGAAAAAGTATAGTATGCACCTCGTTTATAAACTTTTCTATACACTTATTAATTTAAGAACTCGCTCGCAAGCTCGCTCGTGCCTAAATTAAATTCGTGTATAAAATGGCGTTTATCAAACTTGATACATAATATACTATTTTGTCATTATTTCTTCCTGCAGCAATTTTTTTATATAACTGATTGATGATCAGAAATATAAAGAATTAAATGAACTTCTCTACAAAAAAATCTATAAAATCAAGTTTCTATTGCTATTGGTTTATTTTTTAAATACGCGTTTTTAGGTCTAAATTATAAATAGATATTAAATACTACCAGTTTTAAAATTTAAAAGTGCCTTCAAAAGAGTTGACTATCCCATCTCCTTTATCCCCAGTAAACATTTGTGATTGCGTATTGAAATCACTCCGAAATCTCGTCGTGACATCGTGATATCACTGGCGCATTCATATGTTTCTACAATACACAATCAATGGGATATCAAGTCGTGACATTCAAGCGCAATACGCACTCAATGGGATATCACTCCATGACATTGTTAGCGCGCATGCGCGAGCGAAAGTGCAGGGGAATATTTAAAACATGTTGGAGCTGTGAACGAAAAAAGCGTCATCGCTATCGTTAATTGCGATGCAACGTCTTTTAAAACACGTTGCATCGCTAGTAACAATAGCAACGACCCTCTTATCGTATATCACAGCTTCAACATACTTGTGGCCTTGGGTGAAACAAAATTATGGGCTAAAATATTAACAGTCAACGTTTATTTAAATAAAATAATAATAAGACAAGTTTTGCACACTACCTTTATACAGGGTGCATCAAGTATCCTATAAGTATAATACCTACATGTATACAGGGTGTCACATATTTATTTTTTGGGCAAATTTGATAAAACCTTTTAGGTTTTTAGAAGTAGGCAAAGGGCTTAATTTAATGTAAATTAAATTTAGTTAATCCAGAGGCGGCGCTGGAACATCCCAAATAGATATTTAAAATAAAATTTGGGTATGATACTGCTTTTTTAAGTTTATTATTATTTATAGATTACAAATCAAACGGAAACGAATTTAATTTTTTTCTTCGTTTGCAAAATCACAAACAAATATAAAGTGAAGTTATATATTTTTGGGGAAATAATTGTTTAAAATCATTAATCTATAACGTGTATTAAAGAAAATAGTCTTTGTCTAACAATAATAACATAATACGTAATTAACGTATTATGAACAAATTAAAGTAATGTCATTTAAATGAAAAGTTTCGTCCCTGCGGGGTCACGTCGTGACATAAAAAGATCACGCGCGTGTCACTGCTTGACATAAAACGACAAACTTAATCACTGTGCCAGCAATTGGATATCAAGTTGTGACATGTCACGTCGTGACTTTTTTGTGATATCACAAATGTTTACTGGGTCCTTGGTAATATGATATCAAAAGTTAGTTTTTTATCTTGTGTAATTTTTTATGTATTCTTTTTATTCTATTTTTAGCCTTTACAATTTAAATGAAATTGAAAGTGAATGGTGTAATATTAAGTTTGATTTTAATCTTTGTAAAATTTTTTCTGGTAATCTTTATGAATATCTTTTTTTATTTAAAGAGCTATAAGGTCCATTAAATTATAGAAAAATTACAAGTACATTAAAATGGCATTTAAAAATTGAAAAAAAGCAGTGCACCCTGTAAACCAAAACAAAATTATTTTTTTGTTACAGAATTGCCGGACATCCATTGGCTCAGAATGAAAGGTGCTTGCATATGTTTCTGCAGGAGCCCCAAATCGACAAAAATTACGTTCCAGGTAAAATTCGTAACACGTAAAATGACAGATTTGTGTACGTTTAATACTTCATTTTTGATCTTTTAATTTTAAAATATATATATTCCTATGAAACAACAAACTTTAAGTATATGTAAACTATTCTATAATCTAGTTAGTATTGTTTTATTGATATTTTTTAAATGCCCACCCAAGTTCTCTCTTAAATTAAAATGAAAGTAAATGAACTGAGTAAAAAGATGTTTCCAAATTATTTTATTACGTTTGGATTTTGTTTACTTCTTTGCTTTATTGTTTGTATAATAATATTTTAGGCGATAATGTATTATAGTATGTCAGTTATATATTTACTCAAATAAATTTATTTATATGCGTCTATTTTTTTTACTTAATCTCTATAAATTTCCTTTATTTTTAACGATTAATAATTTGGTAATTTGATAATTTTTGTGGGTATCAAAGGTTATCAGTTTGTCAAGATTCAAGTTAAGTTATTCTGAAATTAAATGAGTGAATGAGCTGAACAATTTAAAGGAAATATTTTAGTTACATAACATAAGTTAATATATTGTCTAAATTATTTTCATTAAATAAAAACCACAAATAAAACACAAAACTCAACTTTTTTATTAAAATAAAAAAAAACAAAACATGCTAAATAAGTTAATATGCTTATCTAATAATGTTACTTAAGTGTATATCTTAAAACAACAAAGGAATAAAAAGTAACAAAACAATTTAAAATTCACTTAATAATAATTGCCTGGCAAAAGAAGATTGTTGGAGATCACGGCCAGTTTGAACTCTTCTATAATATATTGGGCAGTCCAAGGACGCACAGCTTATATCTACTACCGATTTTGTGCACGATTGGCATATCTGGAAAAAAGTTGTATTAGTTTTATTAGCTAGTGTGAGTTGTATTTAGGGGAAAATAAATATTACCAATTTTATTCCTGTTGAGGGATACGTTTTTAGCGAATTATACAATGATTGATAACACTGTTACAGTAGGGATGTAAAAATATCACAGCTAAATGTTTGGACACGTAAACTTAATTTTTGGTCGTAGATTACAAATCCATGCTTGGTTTACCTGTATTACATCAAAATTCAAAGATATTGGAAACACCCTGTACAAATTTAAACACACTATATAAATTAAAAAAAAAACAATTTGGCTAGACCCACACATCAGTTTCAAATTAAAAAAAAAAACAAATTCTTGCAAAAAAGAAGTTAATTGATCAAAAGGAACACGTGTCCCTGAAGGTTTTTTATAGATAATTTAGGAAATTCAAAATATTTTTTTGCAATTTTTTTTTATTGAGTATAATTGAGGATATTAATTAAATAAAATAAAAATATATTATTTTACAAATTATAATATACCAGTATACAGTGTGTCCCCAGATCGGATTTCCGACAGGAAAAACTTGTTTAGACCTGATACAGCTAAACCGAGCATGGATTTGGAATCTACGACCAAAAATTATGTTTACGTGTTCGAGCGTTTAGCTGTGAAAAAAAAGAAAAAAGTACAGTAATAGGTAGTAAAAGGAACATTTTACTTGGTAGCCAAGAGATATAACCAGTGTTGCCAGTCGTACCATTATAATGGTCTTTATACCATTTTTTTGTACTTCATACCATCGTCAATTTAGGTTTCATTTTATACGATATACCAATATTTTTAGACGGCATTGTTTTCGTATAATATAATGCATTAATGCTAATTTGGTAACTTTGTGGCCACCATTATGGGAAAAAAAATTGTCTTGCCTACCTATACATACTAGACAAATTACATTTTCCTGCGCTCTCTATTAAATTTTTGTGATATTAAACTAGAGAAGCGCGAATTTCTGAATAATGTACCTAGACAAAACCTCAAGTATTATTCTAGTCGGCTTATGTATTTTTTATATTGAACATACAGAAACCTCAAAATTTAAATAAAATGGAACAACATTAAATGCCTCATTTTTAAAAACATGCTTGGTGGCAACCCTTAGGTATTAAGGATTAACAATTTGTTACTTATTTGTGTTGAGCATGCAAGCCAATATATATATATACAGTGTGACCCATTTGTTCGCGACTCACTCCTGAAAAATCTTTATTTATTGTGCGATTTTAACCGGATTTGTTTTAAAGTGTAGATCTTGATAAACTGTATTTTTGGAACAAAAAACGCCATATTAGTACAAAATACAAGGCCTACCATGTCAGTTTTTAAGAGTAAATTTTTAAGAATTCATATTAGCGATTTTTTAAAACAAAATCTAAGCACGGCACTGGATTCACCAACCTTCAAAACGACCCTTTTAATGAAAAATCGTAAGTAGAAAAATTCATAATAATAACTACAAAAAATGTATTCTGTCAAGTTATCCATAAACAAAACATTAAAATAAAATTAAACTTAAAGTAATAGTACCATGTTACTATAATACTGTAATTTTATTTCATTCATTCATGGATAACTTGACAGAATAAATTTTTATAGTTATTATTGTGCATTTATATACTTAAAATTTTTCAATAAAATTTAGTAAACGGTCGTTTTGAGGGGTGGTGAATCCAGTGCCGTGCTTAGATTTTGTTTAAAAAAATCGCTAATATTCTAATTCTTAAAAATTTACTCTTAAAAACTGACATAGTAGGCCTTGTATTTGTTATACCAATATGGCGTTTTTTGCTACAAAAAACAGTTTATTAAGATCTACACTTTAAATCAAATCCGGTTAAAATAAATAAAGATTTTACAGGGGTAAGTCGCAAACAAATGGGTCCTACACTGTATACAGACTGTATAGAATCAAGTAAGTAAGGCTGGAGACAAGGATGACAAATTATATTCTGATCAGAGAAAAAGAAACAAACTTTAATTGGGCGTGGTTTAAACCAAGCCATTCGTAATTACGAACCATAGTTGCCAGGTTGTTTTAAATCAGAAGAGAACGATTATAATTATTTAATAAATAGTTAGTTAATTTTCTTACTTTTAATATTAAAAAATAAGAAAAACAACCCTTTTAGGAAACATGCAGCCAGATACAAGGACATGCAGTAGCTCCGACGCTGTCGAAGGGAAATGTGTATATTTTTTAAGAAATACATTTTCGCCATTAACTGGAATTTAATGGATTTTAAACAATACTTAGTTTTTATTTGCAGAAATGCATTAAAACAAAACAATAAAACACGATAAAAATAAAACCTATAAATTCTTAAACAAAAATAATTCTAAAATAACGAAAATACCTTTTTTTCTGAATTAAATGTTCAAATAGACCACCAGCAGCAGTTAAACAATACCCTAGCCTATCATAAAAATTCCTGCGCACGTTAAACAGCCCTACCACAGTGGGCGGGGTTTGGCACTTGTTTTATTTAAGTGTATCTATTCTTTTTAATACACACTGTATATATATTTAGCGCTTGGTTCCTTTTAAATAAACATACAATTAATAAGTTATTTTTCTAAAATAAGCAAAACTAGATATTTTTGGCTTATACAGATAAGTTATACTATAATACTATTAATAATTATTAACTTTAAGCTATATCAAAAGTTGCTTTCGTTGATCATTAGGAAAAATGCAAAATCACGAAAATCTTTAAGGACCTCTAGCACCTGAATGAAGCAAAAATTATAAATTAAGGTACTTAAAAAAATGTATTAATAGAATATAAAAAGAGTAAGAGAGAGAGTATAAGAGACGTATAATCAGCCCCATTTCCTCTTGACTCTCGAACCCCGTATGTTGAATTACGCCGATTTTTGTTCTTCCCCAGCAACTGCACGGCTTCACCCGTGTTTGCTGGGTGCGAATGTCCATTAATACGCAATTGCGTTCCGTACTGTCCCCTATTTGGGGCTCGAGAGCGAGAGGCGAATAGTTTTAATAGCCATTCTCGGGTTCGCCGAGCCTATGCTATACGTTCAGTGGGGTATGGAGGAGGGACGGGAGGTGGTTTTTGGGGGACAATTACGCCGACTTAAAACTAAGTACGACGCGGAATCCCCCTAGACCAGTCGATTAGTATTACTCCAAACATTTGGGATTACTATTTGGAGTTGGGGAGTTGTTATTTCGCTGCAGGGGTGTAGTTTCCTAGTCGAGGTCTTTGTCTTGTTCGTTATGTCATTGTCCGTGTCCTGGTCAGATAGTTCCTGCACTTGGTAAAGTGTGTCAGTTGTATTTAATAAATTTTGTCCCAAGCACGTTTTGTGGTAGAGTTTTGTCTTTTTTTCTTAAATTCCAAAATTAAGCATTGCATTTATTTATTAGTTAAACAAATGACAAGCGCAATTATTCTGTTGTCTAATGTTTGCAAATCTAGTAGAGTTTGACTATTAGGCTTTTTTTTTGCTGTGTTAGGATTATAATGAATAATGTGTTAGTTTATTCTGTGAGTCTAGTGTTTATTTTCGGTTTTGTTTGGGATTGCATTACGCATTTTAAAGATATCTGCCGTATTTAAATTGCAGATTTTGTATTAGGTCATGCATATTCTTAAGGTAACTTATCAATTTTTTTTGCGGATGGCCACCTCCCCTCTTGTTTGACCTCCTTTGTTTGTCCAGTGAAAAGCGTCCAATGACAGGTGGCACTTGACTCATTCATATCATTTAACACTTCACTCCTCAATGACCGTTACACCATTTTAGTTTGCACTCTATGAAAATTGTTTGTTTCACTTTATTAGTTTGCACTTTTTTAAAAATTATTGTTGGTTTTAATCTTTAAACTTTTACGTTTTAAGAGCTTTCCCACACGCGTCGTGCCTTCTCAAGCGCCGGAACCTGACTGATGTTAATAGAATATAAAAATATACAAAAACCCTTTTTATAATAAAAACAATTATTTAATAGAAGCATGGGCAATTAAGGTCAAAAACTAAATATTAAATACGTAAATCTGATACTAGATACAGGGACCCGGACCCAAATGAAATAACGGTTTCTGTCCGGTTCGGAGCAATTTTTTCGGTCCATACGGTTTTTTTCTGTTCCAATTTTTTACCATGTATAAATAAGTGCCTACTTATAAAATTCCGGTCCGGTTTTCTGTTCAAAAACGGTCCGGTCTGGGTCCCTGACTAGATACCAAATCTTATGCTTTCAGGACTAAACTCAGCAGTGGTCAATGTAAAAATTATAATGATCACTATATATAGGTATAACTTACAAGGTTAACTTCATAGTTGTTTTGTTCCCATTTTTTGATTTTTTGCGTTAAATTAACCACGGTCGTTTGCGCGTTCAAACAGCAATCGTTGCACAAACCCGTTTTAGTTTGCTCTCCGCAGGAAGCGCAACTTGTGGTGGAAAAATACTGGGAAATGGTGCTTTTCTTTCCGGGCGACGATGTTGGCAGAACTTGGATGTGTTTTCTGGGCATTTGGTTAAACCTACAGAAAAATTGTTTCATAGATTTTGTATTTTTTGATTATAACATTGAATTTATACAAATAAAATCCTACCATATGTGTAAATCAGCTCCTATAAGTGTAAGACATCGATTTATGGGAGGTATGATAACTCTGGTTATGTAATACAAGGCGTTTGGTCTTAGGGAAGGATCTGCTAATAATTCTCTGGGACTGCGGACTAGTTTTATGATTGGTAACCCTGGAGGTCCATTTACAATAACATAAGGGACCCTTTCACCACGTCTTGGTTCACTTCTTTTATCTTCGGCTTTCCATTTTCTAATAGAAAATTTATTTATTTATTATGGACAAGGCATACCTTAAAATTTGTGAAAATATAGACCCTTGTAAACGGGCCAGAGAGGAATATTTTTAATATAAATAATAGCTATTTACATACCATGGGAGGAAAATAGTGCTTTTCCTCCCGCTAATAGTTTGATGCCCGACGCGAAGCGAAGGGCATTCAATATTCAAGGGAGGAAACGCATTTTTCTCCTGAGGTATGTATATAGTTTTTTTATATTACCTTTTAACGGTTTTAAGACATTTTAAGCGTTCCGGTTCCTTTTACTAACCCGGTATGGGGCTATAAAATTATGACAAAATATTAAGTAGGTGTTGCGTCGCCGACGTTATGTTGACATCGCTTTGTTGCTAAGGTATTTTTGGTAATACAATCATAACAGTTTTTATAAGCTTTCAGAATGTTTATCATAAATTTGAAATTCTTCCTACGTTTTGAAAATGAGCTCTAGCGAAGAAGACCTGCCGCAAGATCTTGCTAAAGGGGCAAGAATAGTTGCAATTAATTTCCTTCCTTAAAAATCGAAAGAGCGATATGAAAATGAATACCTATAGTTTGTTAAAAAAATGGTTGGACAAGCGCGAAGTAAATCTTTTTCCTACAAAATCAAATAGGGCTAAACAAGGAACAAAAACTCTTGCTAATGTAAAATTGTTAAAAAAAAAGAGGGAGGTGGAAGTTTTTTAGTAAGGTAGTAGAAAAAATGTATTTAAAAACAGTCTTTAAACTTTATATACAATTAAAAAAATGTAGATATGTATGTTATTTTTTGTTCTTATAGAGATCATTATCCCTATAAATTTACAATGCATCAAATTATAATTTGATGCATTATTTTGCATAATTATTGTAGGATAAACGGTTTTTATATAAAACACTTGAGGGACCGTCACGATTTATTACACCTGAGGTGAGGGTTTTTAAAAAGTCACGTGACAAAGTTAATAAAATTAATAAAACTGCTTATTTGTTTCATTTTTAGTTAGTTTATTACAAAGGGGGGAGTCAATTTTGACCATTTTTGAACATAACGAGATATATTGACCATTTTTGTAAAGCGTAAAATTTTCTACAAAAATATGTCATGTGTATTGTTGCATGTCTTGTAATTAGGAAGTCGTCACCCTAATATAACAAGGTTGTATGTTAAAAAAACGAAAAAATTAAGTCTATGTTTCTACAGGATTATACGTGGCCTACGCTTCACATACCACTTAAAAATAATTCTATAGAATGTATATTCTATGTATACATAAATACTACCTTACTAGAAAACTTAATTTTCCACCCCCGAGTGAGGGAGGAAATTGCCACTTTTCCTCCCCGGGAGGAAAAAATTTTCCACCCTCTTTTTTTTTAACAATTTTACATTAACTACCTTGTCTAGCCCTATTTGATTTTGTAGGAAAAATATTTACTCCGCGCTTGTCCAACCATTCTTTTAACAAACTATAGGTATTCATTTTCATATCGCTCTTTCGATTTTTAAGGAAGGAAATTAATTGCAACTATTCTTGCCTCTTTAGCAAGATCTTGTGGCAGGTCTTCTTCGCTAGAACTCATTTTTAAAACGTAGGAAGAATTTCAAATTTATGATAAACATTCTGACAGCTTATAAAAACTGTTATGTTTGTATTACCAAAATACCATAGCAACAAAGCGTTGTCAACATAACGTCGGCGACGCAACACCTATTTAATATTTTGTCATAATTTTATAGCCCCATACCGGGATAATAAAAGGAACCGGAACGCTTAAAATGTCTTAAAACCGTTAAAAGGTAATGGAAAAAACTATATACATACCTCAGGAGGAAAATGCGTTTCCTCCCTTGAATATTTAATGCCCTTCGCTTCGCGTCGGGCATCAAACTATTCGCGGGAGGAAAAGCACTATTTTCCTCCCATGGTATGTAAATAGCAATTACTTTCAAAATTACTTTTACTGACTGTAAACAAATAATTTAGATAATACCCAAATGCAAAAAGCTAACTTGGGAAATAACGGACACCCTAGTATATCTACAGTAGGGTGGAACTTAAAAACATAGGTAGAATTTTGCTTTATATATATTGAAGTGTAATAGTGAAAAGTATTTTCCTTTTTACTTTCTTAAGCATATATTATCAGAAAATTAAATCTACAACATGATTTTCCGGTGCCGCTGAGACACCAAAAATAAAACATTTTTTTTACTTATTGGTTTTATAGTCTTTCTTTGTATTAAACACTGGCATTATATTACGCGACACTAATTTTGCCAAAATGAAACCATCTCTAGCTTCTGCTCCTGACACAGCTGCAGCAGCTTCAGTGACAATTTTCACACATCGTTCCACTGACTGAGAATGACAAGGGAAACGTGGGAAATCAATAACAGGTGTCTCTCCTGTTTTAACCATGTTGTTTATTTCCTCGTTTGTCAAATTAGACAACACAGGAGGTTCCGTTAGTTGACAATAGCTCCAATCAATCAATTCTACGTAGTCAGCTGCTTTAAAGTTGATTGTAGGAACTTCGAACTGTCGAACAGTTTTGGTTTGTGGTTTGGACCTTGCCTTCATAATTCGTCTAAGACCAAGTTCTCGAATATGTCTGCGAGGGTCGGTAAGCATGGCCAGGAGGATATTTTCATGGTGCCCAAAAAATGAATTCCGCTGAAGAACTGGATCAATGATCTTTAGATGCTCCTCCTCGAGATATCTAGAATAACTTATTAACTGCCACAAGTGTTTAGATCCATCCTTGCAAGAGGGTTTCATTTTTATGTTAAACCACATGGGAGCATAAACTTTAGCAACATAATTTGCAACAACTTTTAAATTATTGCAGGGATTTTCACAAGACACATAAAAACACAAAAAAAATGGGAGCTCATTGGCATGAAGTAAGCAAATTAGCCATTGTAAAGGTTTTCTTAGCCGGGATTCAAGTATTCTAATGATTCCACCTTTGCGTCCTGTGTTAACTGCAGTTCCGTCGCTTCCAATTGCCTTTAAATTTAGAGTAGCAATGTTATTGCTTCGTAGATACTCTAAAATTGTACTTGCAGTACAGTCAGCAGACGAAGACTTTGGGGATATATGGCCAATATACTTTGTACCTGGTTCCTGTACTAATACGACATGTTCCTCTTTGATTATTTTTCGATAGTTTTTCTTCCCCTTCTTTTGGTGACTCATTGTTTGGTCTTTTCGTCCGTCGAAATACAATCCTTCCAAAATTAAACTTTGTCTTCTTTCACCATCTTTCAGCTTATTTCGTCTCTTTTGTCTTTGCCTTCTGAGAGTCATCCTGTCAATAACATTTTCTTTGTTTTCATTAGAAATAAGGCCCATGTCTTCTAATGTAGCACTCGCTATGATGGCTGCCGCTCTGTCAGATACACCCGTTCTTTCACATGCCAACGCAAGTGAAGGTAGATGATACCTTTTTGTTCGAGTTTTTCTTGAATCATTTGTAGCTGATGTCGGCGGTTGGTTGTTATAATCGAAATCATACTCTGAACTTAAATCATGTTCCTGGAAATACACACTTTGGTCATCATTTTCATCGCATGATGTTTCTTCTGACATCTTTTCTTCTTCACAACTTTTTACAAGACTCTTTTGTTTTCTTAAAGTTTCCTTCTCTATTCTTTGGGCTATTCGCTCATTTTTTCTTGTTCTTTCCTTATCTATTCCACTCATTGCCATCCTTCTTTCATTTCTCTGATCCATAAGAAATTCTCGTTCTTCTTTTGGAACTCGGATCGTTCTAATGCAATGACATAAGACAAAATCCTTACATTTGCAGGCACTTATGTCGAAAATTCTTTTCGCAGACTCCCGAAATTTGTTTAATTTAATTTTAAAAGCAGTATTACCCTTTTTAGACTTGATACACTTCTTCAAATTTCTACATTTACCGTGGTAGTCCTTAAGCATTTTCATAATACGGTTGTGGGAAACTACTGGAATAGAGGTTTGTTACCAAATTTTTCTTAAAGTTTCCACAATTACTGGTGAAATTTCTGCAACAGTAGGATTACGATTCCAATTTGATGATTTCAAGTCAATCTGAATCCACAAGTAATACTTAATTACATCCTCATAGGTAGGTAAAACACGATGGTCTTTTTTTAATGACTTTGGCTCACCAAATACAGGACATTTCACCGCACTTCTTGTTTTTGGCACTTTGGCAGCCATTATTTATGGTTATAAGTTATAAGATATAACTTATAACCATATACACAATCACAATAGGTATAAAACTGCTTAACTTGATCAATACGTGACAGATTTAAACTGTCAGTGACAGTCTGCCACATTTGTATTATTGTCATTTTATTGTCTGGAATGCATTATTATTCAAAAAGTTATGTATTGTGTGTCTTAAAAATTATTCTCCCCATTGACAATATTTTAAATTTCAGGAGCCTAGCGGCACCGGTAAATGTTAATAAAAAAACTAAAAAAAAATATTGTTGGCATTAAGTTTAAAAAAGGAAAATAAATTTTGCTATTACGACAAAAATTTCAAAATTTGGGTTTTAAGTTCCACCCTAATCTACAGGCCTAGTATAGGGTGTCCCGAATATACACGATATGCTGTAGTGAAATATTTTCAGCATAAAAAAATTACACATTTTTTTTTAACGGTAGTTTAGCTTTTAAGTTTAAAATCTCGGCAAGGCTGTGTTTTCCTAAGCCGATTTATGAAACACAGAGAGATAAAATTTACATGTCGGAAAAAAGACATTTGTGTCAAAATATTTAAAAGTTTATCTACTCCTATTGCATAATATTGGTTTTTTTTCGGTGAATAATATTATAAATTCCCTGCCTAACAACGTGAGTATTGAATTCATTATTCACGTTGTTATGCATCAGTGATTGGCCGACTTCAATATTCACTGTGATTTGAACCAGTCGGGTTTTAAATTGTCAAAAGGCGACTATAATAACATTTAAAATTGGTAAAAAGTGAGGTTAACCATTTGACAGATGGCAGATTTATTTATTTTTTAAAATCATTTAATTCAGTACTTATTGGAGTAGATAAAGTATATTATTACACTCAAGATAACGCGAATTATTCACCCGGACGATTTAAGTCTCTCGTCTGGAGACTTGAGACGCAAACCTCATCCTCCTGAATTATGCATTATCTCTCGTATAATAATATACTATTAAATTATCATATTATTAACAAATTTTAACTTTTATTTTTGAAGGTGTCTAAAAAAGTACTTTTCTATCCTTTTATATAAATAAATAATCTCAAAACATTAAAATAAAATTAAAATGGAAATTTTAAAGTTTATATGCTTCGAATAAGGAATAAATGTTCAGAGCACAGCGTCTATTTAAAGCTGAACGTTGTCTCGCTGATTTTAGAGTGGTTTCTCCCTACAGCGTGGTATTCTGTTGGTGCGAAATTTTCGAAACAAAAACCCAAATATTTAAAAGTTATAACAAAATTTTTGACTGATATTTCAAAAGGTAATGACATAAACTGAATAAAAGATAACAGTTTAATACCAATAATTTTTTTACTTACTGCCTGATTTCTCAGGTAAAATAAACTTATTTTAATAGTTATAACTATAGTTTAATCATTTATACTTTCGGAATTTCGAAAAAGCCAAGTTTGCAAAAAAACATGAATTTTACCTAGTTTTTATCCTTTAATTAATATTTAATTGAAAATACAAACAGGGCCAGAATTCCTAAAATCATACAAAAAAGTCTGGCCAAAAATTTTCTTCCGTAATTTAATTCGCGGATGTCTAATATAAATATTTGATTTGTTTGCAATTTTTAAAAGCGGTTCGTTATTTCATTGGTTAAAACAATGAATTAATAATACCTACTAAAGCGATTTTAATGTAATTTTCAGATTTAATTTATATTCCTAAATGATAGTAGTTTTAAGGAATAATGTTGGTTCAAAAATGTTAATTTATTGCTTATACACTGTAGGTAAATTTTCAACTCTTGAAATGTCACAGCTAAACGCTCGGACACGTAAACATAATTTTTGGTCTTAGATTCCAAATCGGTGCTCGGTTTAGCTGTATCAGGTCTTAAAAAGTTTTTCCAAAGCGGAGACACACTGTATACTACTATATTATAATTTTTAAAATAATATATTTCACCTCTTGTGTCAATATTCCAATGCTTTTTATTTCGTTTAATATAATATCCTCACTTATGCTCAGTAAAAAAATCAGCAAAAAACTGTTTGAATTTCCTCCGGTACATGTTCCTTTTGATCAATTTACTTCAAATTTTGCAAGACTTTGTTTTTTTTTAAATTGGAACTGATGTGAGGGTCCAGCCAAATTAATTTTTTTTTAAATTTATACAGGGTGTTTACAATATCTTTGAATTTTGACCTGATACAGCTAAACCAAGCACGGATTTGTAATCTACAACAAAAAATTAAGTTTACGTGTCCGAGCGTTTAGCTGTGATATTTTCACCTCCCTACAGTGTTATTAATAATTCAGTAACTGTTGTATTAAAAAATCTGTTATAAATTTCTTGATTTCTTTTGGGTTAATAAATAAAAAAAAATAAAGAATTAAAAGTAAATCTTTCAACTAACTAAGGTTACTTAGTCTCTGTCAGTGATGTAACCGATACATTTTTTTTAGTATCTAGGTACCGATACAGATACTCTCTGGTAGATGTATCTGGGTACAGATACCGATACATTTTCCCAAAAATATCTGGGTACAGATACAGATACATTCAAAAACTATCTAAGTTACTTCCAGATACTATGTTAAAAAAACTTAAAAATTAAATGACAAAAAAGAATTTTTTGGACCTTATAAACAAGCGTGTTAACTATAAAATAAAACTGTTTTGATAAAATTGACGAAATATCCATGAAAAACGGAAATAATTTTTATATTTACGCGCCATATGAAAGCTTACTACAAAATTTGTAGTACAAATTTAAAATTATCAGAACGAAGAAAAATGCCTTCAAAGCCAACTATAGGTAGCCTACAGCGCTTTTGTTTAACTTTACTCACTAGTGCCTAAGAGTTACTTTATGCACTTCGCACTCCAAAGTGGGTTGAAGGGAAAAATAAATAAAATATATTTTTATTATTTGTATTGTTCATCTCTTACGGGAGATATCGAGAATATCCAATGTATATATCCTGGATATCCATAGAGTATATCCATTGGATGTTCATTTTCCGTGTGGCCCACACGGTGTGGAGTTGCAATCAGGTTGGGTAAAATAAAATGTATCTTGTATCTAAGGATCTAGATACTTTCAAAAGGATCTAGATACTAAAGTAGATCCTTATTTTTTTAAGTATCTCGATACGTATCTAGGTACATAAAATGTATCTAGATCCAGTATCTAGATACATGTATCTCGATACATTACATCACTGGTCTCTGTTACTATTATATTGTATTTTATAGCAGTCAGTACTCTGAGATTTATAATTTAACGAGGATTGCATGTAGATTTAAAAAAAATATTTTTAATTAATATTACCTGGCTAATTCCAAAGAGGGAACGCAAGCCCCAGGGCGATAACTTGATGCTCCACGATATTCTTTAGCAAAAGTGAAATCTTGAATACTGATTCTTCCAGCAATAATCTTGTTAAACTGCCTTAAAATATACTTTTTGATAATACTGACATCTTTGGTTTCAAATACCAATCTGAGACACTTTTCCAGCATCTACAAAAATAAATATTATATTATTATTTCGTTAATTTAAGCTAGGATAAGAATCCTTACTTTTGATACTGCTGGACACCCATCCCTTCTAACAGTCTCAATCCCTTTGGCCTCATAAATCGGTTCCTTCTGATCCGGGCTCTCATACATATACCCAACATACCTCTTTTTAGTTTGAAGTATACACGGTTGGTAAACCTTCTCGAACTTGAGTTTAACCGGATCCGGATTGTCCTCGGTGACAACATCGGCAATTTTTTTGCCCACATCGAAAGCCCACTCCTTGGATCTGCCCGGAAAAAGTATAAACAACGAATCCGTGTCGCCGTAAACGACCTTGGCGCCCCACTCGGGTGTGTTGTCAACCAAAGCGATGGCACGTTGCAGGGTTTCCCTTCCTTTGCTCACCACGCTGTCGCCTACTTCGATCGCGGGCATGCGGCCGCTGAAATTTGCGGAAGTGTAACCGTAGGTCACGTTCGCTATGAGCTTCAGTCCCAGCTGGCGATTGTGGAGGACCCTTTTGAGAACTGCGTCTTCTTTATTTTGTTTCATGGAGTTCTTGACCATCAGCCGGGTTTCCAGAATTTCTTTTAACATACGCGGAACAATGCCTTCGCGTATTTTTGACTTAACAAACCCCACACCGCACGGAGAAAAGTTAATCATGTCGGCCTTTACCAATTTTTCCACCCTTTTTTTGGATATTTTCAGTTGAGTAGCGCCGAATTCGAATGGCGTATTTTTACCGAGTCGCTCCACTTTACCGATGCAAGTGGAGAAACAATAATTATAGGCAATCATTATCGAAGGGTATAAACTTTGAAAGTCTAAAACAACCACCGGATCGACGTACAATTTCGATTCCGGTTCTAAAACTAAAGGAGTATACTCTGGAGCCTTCATTTTGGCCCGTTGCTGCACGCTCGGCGATACAGGAATAAAGTTAAGAGGCTTCGCCAGCCTCAACATCATCGATTCCACTCGGAACTGCGAGCCTCTGGACAATACTTCGTAGAATTGGATACCGAACAGGCGCGCCAACTCGCTCGTGCGGCCCACGAGATCGAGCTTATCGAACAACTCCAAAATCTGATCGACTCTGAATAAATAGTGGTGTACCGTTCGGTGACGGTACAGATGCGAAAGATGATCCCACCAAAACGTCAACTTTTTGAACGTGTACGAAGGCACTCTTTTGTGCAGTATGTGATATGCGATGGACTCGAAGGTGTAGCTTTGCAGGGAGATTTCATGCCGCATAAGACGCCAAACGTCCAGCGTTATACGTCCGGTTATCTTTAATTCTCCCTGTGGACCATCCCTAATATATTTATCGCTGCTTTCCTTTATTCTTCCCAATAGAGGAATCAAGTTGTATCCTAATATAGATGCTCTATCGATTAAGTAGCCCCAGGATAACATCTCAATTTCATAGCCCGCTAAAATATCAGGATCCCAATACTGAATTAACTCTAAAAACCTATCTATTAACTCTGTCTCGGTATTTACATATGTAATATCACAGTCAATGATGCCGTCCAATAAAGGCATCATACTTTCAGGCTTGAGAGGTAATGTATTTAAAACAATTGCGCCTCTACTTTTCAGTGCTTTTTTATCGTTTTCCGGAAAATCGTTGAGGATGGAATAAAATATTGCACAAGTATTATCATATTCTGGATTTGGTTTTAAGTCGCCTCTAGTTCTAACGTGAATCTCCATTATTAAGACAGTGAGAAAATGGTGCTCCAAAAGGGCTCTAGCGTTTTGAAGATTCTTTACTGATAAATTGAAGCCAAAAGTGTTGTTCATGGATACACCAGTAAGATCACAAGAATTATTAGATTTTTCTTGTGACCCCAACAATGACTTTCCAAGTTTTATGGTGTTAGCTTGGCTAGACTTTAAGATCCGTTTTTTGCTTCTGGCGTTACTAATACTTGGACTGGATCTCTCTATAGATAATTTTGGCGTTCCAGGTTCACTATTTCGTGAGTGTGTAGTTTGTGAACTTGGTGTGCATGGTGTCAGAGTTAGTGAAAGATCCGTATCGTCATCGCTACCAGTAGGACTCTGAGGGATAAAAATTTTCGTCCTCTCAAACTTTTTCTCCGGTGTTTTTTCTTTTTGTGTCCTAAAAAGCAGCCAGTTTTTCACGGAATCTTTTAAAGGGGGCCTTCTTACAGGTGCCAATATTACCTCCCTGGTTTTAGAACAGGACAAAATAATCTGATTTATATTACTTCTATTAATTTTAATGTTTTTGGCAACGCTATTCATGTACATTTTTCGTATAGTGTTAAAAGTGTCCAGCGTAGTTTCAAACTCCAGTAAATGCAAGGTTGTTTTGCTTAACACTTTAAGAAGACTCAATCCGACTTCAATACCACCAGTTACATCTTCAACATTGCTGAAGAAAGGTGGCGGATTTATAACGTGGGGCAATTTATAAAAATCCAATGATAGAAGCACATCACTTTTTGTTGGAGCCTTCCTTTTGGGTTTTAAAATTCTGTCTACCAATAATAACTCGCTGTTTAATGACTCTATGGACTGCTTATTTTCTTCGCTAGAGTGATTTGATGGGAACATGTTTTTTTCAGAAACCTGCGATAATATTCTGATTGTAATATTATTCATCTCATTGTGATCAGGCGCTTCAAAAGGATCTTCTTCTGATGATTGCGATGTTATATTTCTTAAAGTATTAGTTATTTCTTTTTGACCAGGTTGACACAATTCCGATGATTCGTTTGAAGAAGATATAACATTTTTTTGAGAATCATTGAAAGATTTTTGCAAACAATCAGAACTGATTTTAGAAGATCCTTCAACTGGCACAAAGTGGGCTTCTGCATCGTACTTTTCGGATTTCGACAGAAGTTTTAAATTTCTTTCAAAATATGATTTATTCAATGGAGATTCGTTTTCAGAACTGGACGATGATTCTAAAGGAGATTCGGAAGATTCAATAACTTGACTAGTGGTTTCTAAAGAACCAAATTCAGAAGATTCAATAATAGTTTGGCTCGTAGGTTCAAAATTTGTTTGGTTGTTTACATCTATATGACTGGACTTAAGATTACATAATATTTGTTCTTCAACTAAAGTAGTATCACAGAAGTTTAGTTGACGCTTTACTCTATCAAAGAGTAAGCTTTCTTTGGAATGAATTTGTTTGATTAGTTTTGGTTCGGTTTTGCTGAAAATAAACGTTACTTTAAAATGAATAGCAAAATCTATGAGATTCGTTATACACTCACAGGCAAAATAATCGATCCACACAAATTTTCGATGAATTTCAATCGCAAATAACTTTTTTATTTGATGTCGGATTTAAACGAACATTAAAAAATAATTTAGATAAATTAATGGACAATCGCTCACAATTTAAAAAAATTACTAAAAAATAGACGTTTATAATATACAGGTTTAAACAAAAATATGTTTTTTACCATAAGTTTAAGACACTCTGTAGAGTGGCAAAACCGTATATTGTTCTAAATTAAGTTTTATTTATCAAGTCACATCTATTCTTAACAGTTTTGTTTTTGGTTCACCTCGATATATTTATTATTGTGAAAAATATGCAATTGCAATTTCCAATATATTTCTGTACTAAGGTTGCTATGGTCCATCCAGGCTATGGAGAATGACAGTGACAGTTTTGTTGAATCATCCCATACTTGGATATGTCATACACGGCTTTCAAAAGCTATCAAATTGTTTTTTGCAAATTAATGTTTAAATTTTGAGGTCTTTTTACTTTAAAAAATGGATATGTCTCCGAATGATGTAGCCAGAGCCATTAATTTAATCCAGGATGGACGGTCACAGTATTACGTGGCAAGTTTTTAAACGTCACAAGAAGTAAAATACAAAGGGCAACATCAGTCATTTTACATTAATATACAAAAAACAATTTGATAGCTTTTGAAAGCTGTATATAACATGTCCAAGTATGGGATGATTCAACAAAACTGTCACTGTCATCCTCCATAGGCTATGGATGGACCATAGCAACCTTAGTTCTTCATACAGGAAAAATATTGGAAATTGCAATGTTTTTTTTTTAAATCCATATTTTCCACAAATTAAATATATCAAGGTGAACCAAAAACAAAACTGTTAAAAATAGATGTGACTTAATAATTAAAACTTAATTTAGAACAATATACGGTTTTGCCACTCTACAGAGTGTCTTAAACTTATGGTAAAAAACATTTTTTTGTTTAAACCTGTATATTATAAATGTACGTGTATTTTTTAGTAATTTTTAAAATGTGAGCGATTCTCCATTAATGTATCTACGATATTCTTTAATATTTGTTTAAATCCGAAAACAAATAAAAAAGTTATTTGCGATTGAAATTCATCGAAAATTTGTTTGGATTGATTATTTTGCCTGTGAGTGTATTACATGTTTTACCATGTCGTTAGGGAAGTTATCGGCCTGAAATAGATATGTCCCCAGTATAAACAAAGCGCTATCATAATTTTGATGAGAACCACGAACTTTCACACAGTATTTGAAAGTATGTGCGTTTTCATACTAGCGACAGTTCTGTTTCAGACTGTGCCTCATATTGGTATTATTTCTTAAAAAAAACTGTATTACTAAAATTATTATAAGCAATAACCCCTTCTAAAATCTAATATATTTAAGCTATTTTAACTCACTTGTTTTCTTTTGAAAAAGGACTTTCCCTTGTAGCGCCTGGCAAAAAATATTGTTTTTTACTTATATTTGGCTTGGCTAGTAATAATTTAGCTTTTATGGATTTTAAATAATATTACCTTTCTCTGACGAAGAAATCAAAACAGGTAGAGTGCTGTATCTGGGGGAATCGCTATTTTGGCTTAATTTTCTTTTTTTAAGCGTAATTGTCTCTTCTTCAGATGAAGATGAATCACAATTTCCATCCAAAAAGATTTTGTATGTTTTTGTTGCATTTTTATCAGTGGCTTTCTTAAGTTTGTTTCTGGTAACCATTGTGTGTTCTTGGACTAAAATTAGTATTTAATTTAATTAAATAAAAATAAAATAAACATAAATACATATTGAGGCATGATAAAAAAATGTTTTGGTTAAAGTACTAGATAGGGCAAAAGTCATATTTAAATAAAAACTCGTTTTACGGAATATACAGGAAAAAGGGGAAATTAACTCCATACCACGTGATAAAAAAATTAACATTTTCTTTATCGCATAATATGGAACGAATAAATTAGACTTTTGCGCCACCTGGTATTACCGGGGCGAATCTTATTCTTGCTTCTCCTTCTTCTAACGTGTTTTTCGTTTTCATTTTTAATTTGTACTACTTTCTTGATCTTTCTTTTTCTACCACGCTTTTTGGGTTCGGTTTTAATTTCAACCACTTGATCATTGTTGGGTTCAGGAAAATAATAAATTTCACTTGTACTTGGTTCCAAATAGTTGTTATTATTTAAACTTGCTAATTCAGGTTCTAATTTAATTTTTTTAGGGCTTGAAATTTCTGGTTTTGAGTTAACACCTGCAGCAGGGCATGTGATTTCATAAAAATCTTTCTTTAATTCGCTCATGTGGTTCTCAAATTTGCGTTTTAAAAAGTTTATGGCTTGACATATGTGTTGCGGATTTGCGCTTTCTATTAATTTAGACATACTTTCATCTGATATGTTTTTTGGAGAATTTTCAGATATGTTTAAAGCTTTAGATTGTTCGTTAAAATTACTTGACTTTGACTGCTTCCGATTTGCCACTTTTTTCTTTTTTATAATACGTATTTTACGTACTACTGGATACAAATCAACTTTGTTGTACGAAAACAAAAAAGTTTCACCGTTTGGATAACGAATTTTTACATCAAATAGCGAACTTTCTTTAAATTTTGCTCTAAACTCTTGCAATGTGTCTGAAAAAGTGCAAAGTATAATTTTTTTAAAGGAAAATATTTTGGAAAAAATGTGTTTTTTTAATTTGGACATATTTGGTGAAGCTGATAATATTTGTTATCAATTATATAGGTTGTCCCGAAAATGGCCCATACCATGCGAAGTATAAAAACACTTTTTTTATGAATACCTAAGAATTTAAGACTAAAACGTGACAACTTGACTATGTATGTTTAATCATATAGGTATCTATTAGCGATATTATCTAATATATTATACGGTGCAAAAATATAGGTATACGGGTCATTATACTTTTTAGCCCCTACCACCTCTAAAAAATAAATATTTCACATTTTTATAACCATTGTCACTATTATTTAGGCAAACTAAAGTTAATGTTACTCTCAGCAGCAGCTTAAAGAGACCCTTATTTTTAGCAGTACAGTGTGATAAAAGAGACATGTGACGAAGGAGACATTTTTCACAATAGAAAAATCTACTATCCAAGTGCCACAATAAATGCACATAAAACATTGCATTGAATAAAAAGAAAGAAATTGGTTCACTTTAATTGAAAAATACTGCAAATACTTACGGAGTTTTTATTTAGGCAGTTTGTGACGAAGTAGACATTAAAGGTTTGGTCACGCTTAAAAAGATATTCACAGATATTTTATTACATTTTTTATTAGCCTGAGAAGCTACTTATTTGTTATTTCATTTTAGTTTTATACAAAACCTATGTAATATATCCAAGTTTTAACTATTGCAATATAATGGGGAGATGTGGTTATAGAGTGTGATTCTAACTTTCAACCTTAATTAAGACATTAAAAATACTTTTACATTTAATTGTAAAAAAGTTTTATTTATGAATCTAGTTCTAGATTCATAAATAAGAGCAATGTTAGGGACAACTGACAAATGGCAGAGAGCCTTAATAGTATAATGACCCATACATCTGTCTCTTTCTCACGGTGTACCTGAAACATTGAGTAAAGTAAACATCTTACTCAATGCCTGAAAGAAGTTTGTCACATAAAAATGCCGCCAAAAACTGATTGCAGTTTCTTGTTCGGGACCCTTTGGTGACTTAAAAATGATATTTACCAAAATCCTAGCTGCTCCTATTTTCGAAATTTTTTGAAAATTCATGATTTTTTTTTAATTTTTGGTTTATCTTAAAGTCTACCTTTGACAGAGTACACATTTGTACACCGATTTGTATAATATTGGAGTATATTGTTAAGGAGATTTGGAGAATACTTTTTTATACTGTGCACATCATTTAATATATACAGGGTTAGCCAAAAATCGCTTCTTTTAATAAAGCAAAATCTTAACTTCATGATTTTGGCATGACACGCAAAAAATATATATACCCACCCATGTTTTTTTAGATATTTTTATGTTTATCAGGCTACAAAATGGGATTCTTATTAAGACTTTATAAGAAAAATTGATTTTGAATAAAATTAAATAAAATATTTTTTTTTAGAGATAAATCTTTTTTGTGCATTATACTTTTTCCTATATAAAAAGTGATTTTTGGCTAGCCCTGTATAAATCTAATGCTGTGCTCAGTATGAAAACCGAATTCTTCAAGTCTCTTTAACAATATACCCCAATATTATAAAAATTGGTGTACAAATGTGTACTCTGTCAAAGGTAGGATAGACAAAAATTAAAAAAAAAATTAAGAATTTTCAAAAAAATTCGAAAAGAGGAGCAGCTAGGATTTTGGTAAATATCATTTTAAAGTTACCAAAGGGCCCCGAACAAGAAACTGCAATCAATAATGGGTGTACTCTGGCAAAGGTAGACTTTGCGATAAACAAATAATTTAAAAAAAATTATTTATTGGCAAATTTAAAAAAAAGCAGTTAGAATTTTGATAAATATGGTTTTTAAATCTCCAAAGAGTGCCGATCAAAAAACTTTAACCAGTTTTTCGTTAAAAATTGAAAACTACTAAAAAGACCAAATTAAACAACATTTTAAATATTCTCTAAGCGTTATTTTATTTAATTTTAATAAAAATCTATTTTTTTATAAAAGGATATTAAAAATTCCATTTTGTAACCTGGTAAACGTAGAAATATCTAAAAAAAATGGGGATAAATCTTTTTTGCGTGTTATGCCAAAACCATGAATTTACGCTTTTGCTTTATTAAAAATAAGCGACTTTGGCTCACCCTGTATATATCAAATGATGTGAACAGTATTAAAAACTATTCTTTAAGTCTACTCAATAATATACTCTAATTTTATAAAAATCGGTGTACAAATGTGTACTATAGTAATATATATAGTAATTATAATAATAATAATATTTATTTAGCAAAAGCTACATACGAAACACAAAGTAAATTAAGATTAAAATTATTAAAATAGACAAATGGGTAATTTTACATTTTTAAAAAACATAACAACATGAGAAATTTTAAAAATATATATATAAATGTAAAAAGTACAATAACAAACATTAAAACATTATTAACACATATGTTCTAAGTAACATCTTAAATTTTTTAATATTATCACAGACTTTAATATCATTGGGCAATAGGGTGATTCAAAAAAAGCCTTTTTTTAAAAATGAACCCGCACTGGCCTAAATTATGAAGATTACATTAAAACTAAAAGATTGATACCAAAAAATCCAAATTCGATGAATATTTAGAGGTCGCTCAAATCGATTTTCGTATTTTTGCACATTCGAGCCGCGAAATTATTACTGCGCAAAATAGTAAATAACTCCGTTAGTTTTTATTCGATATTATTAAAAATTTAAGGGTTACCTAGTTTTTTAATCCCCTCTGAGACAGTGAATTGAACTTTACGGAAAAAAATTTTTTTTCCTGAAAAAAAAATAATTTGTTAATAAAAACGTATCACCTTATAAAATAAGCAACAATTGGAATCGCATTATGATGGTACCGTAAAAAAACTAAGAAAATAACACTTAAATTATTTAGCATACATAAAACCTGCCGAAAGAAATATTTTATTTGATTTATATAAAACATAACCTAATAATAATTAAGTTATTCAAATTTTTCCCATTTTCATACGATTTTCTAAATAATTTATATCCGTTTTATTAATTATGACCTATTTTTATAAAATTTCTTTATTTTTGATACCATATTTAATTAATTACACTAAGTAGTTATTAATTTATGTCCTTTTTATAATTAAAATAAAAAAAATCCACTGCTCTACATCTTTTTCTTTGCAATGATTGTTTCTAATGTTAATTTTTTCAACCATTTTTTCTTTTGTTACAGTGGGTACTCTTTTATCAAAAAATGCCAAACAAATTCGCTCTTCTATTTGCAAATCTATATTTTTGTAAACATGAAGTTCATGAAGTGTTTTCAAATCATTTTTGGGCGCGCAAGTTGCATTTGGAGCTTGGAACCAGGCAAATATGTTATATTATATGTAAACGAAATAATAAAAATACAAATTCTACGCAATGACTTATTTTCATTGTTGAGTTTAAATTGATCCCGAAATAAGAAAATCTTTAGAGAGTATATAGCTTTGTTCATCCATCTGGTACTTAGACGCTTTTGAATTAAGTAAATAATATTTATATATATATATATATATATATATAATATATAATATATAATATATAATATATAATATATAATATATAATATATAATATATAATATATATTATATATATATATATATATATATTTATATTTATATAATTTATCAACTACCTGGTAGTAGGTTCTACTAACAAAATTTAAGAATAATAATTATTATTGTGGTATGTCAATTTAGCAACATCTATAGACAGAATCAAATAATTTTGGTATCAAAATTTTTGAATTGTTGTATGTCAATAATTTTAATAAAATTTAAATTTCTGCTTAAGCCATATCAATGCAGTGAATAATTTTGTAGTTAACGTTATTTTATTTTAGTTGTAAAAAGGACCTAATTTAATAACTACCTAGTTTAATTAATTAAATATGGTATTAAAAATAAAGAAATATTATAAAAATACGTCATAATTAATAAAACGGATATAAATTATTTATAAAATCGTTTGAAAATGGGAAAAATCTAAATTACTTAATTATTTTTAGGTTATATTTTATATAAATCAAATAAAATATTTCTTTCGGCAGGTTTTCTGTATACTAAATAATTTAAGTGTTATTTTCTTAGTTTTTTTACGGTACCATCATAGTGCGATTCCAATTGTTGCTTATTTTATAAGATGATACGTTTTTATTAACAAATTATTTTTTTTCATGTAAAGTTCAATACATTATCTCAAAGGGTATTAAAAAACTAGGTAACCCTTAAATTTTTAATAATATCGATTAAAAACTAACGAAGTTATTTACTATTTTGTGCAGTAATAATTTCGCGGCTCGAATGTGCAAAAATACGAAAATTGATTTGAGCGACCTCTAAATATTCATTGAATTTGGATTTTTTGGTATCAATATTTTAGTTTTAATGTAATCTTTATAATTTAGGCCAGTGCGGGTTCATTTTTAAAAAAAGGCTTTTTTTGAATCACCCTATTGGGCAATTTATTGAATTCTAAAAGACCTTTATACATAATAGAGTTTAGCATTTGGCTGGTGTCTGTCAAAGGTCGACTTTGAAATAAACAAAAATTAAAAAAAAATCATAAATTTTCAAAAAATTTCGAAAAGAGTACCAGCTAGGATTTTGGCAAATAACATTTTTAAGTCACCAAAGGGTCCCGAACAAGAAACTGCAATCAGTTTTTGGCGGCATTTTTATGCGACTTAAACTTCGTTCAGGCACACCGTCTTATGTCTTATGCGAATGTCGGAGAATTGAATTGAATTGAACGAATAGCAGAACGTCGCTTAGAATAAGGAAAGTCGGCCAGTTCTGCAATTCGTACAATTTAATTCTCGGACATGCGCATAAGACTTTAAGTACGATAGAAAGAGACAGAATCTCCGCGATACTTCCACTTACGGACTCTAGCAATATGTATGGAGTATTATATACATATTAGATGTATATGTATTTAATAACTGACACAAAACTTTGTTATTGCCACAATCCACACAACAAGGTATGTTTGATCTCCTAGTAAAAATACTAAAAATCACTGCAACACTGCACTTCATACGATGGCGGCCATTTTTGTTGTTTACAATTCTGGTGCTTTGGGTTTGTACAGATTAATAATCGTTTTAAACGTTGTGTTTCTTACAGAGAGACTTGCAAGCCTTAAAAGAGACCTGAAAGTGGTAAGAACAATCATTTTACTCCTCTTTTGTAAAAAATAAACCTTATTCTATCAGGGCTGTCAAATTTTAATTTGAAGGTTAATTTGAGGTTATTTTATAAGACACAAATTAACCTTCAAATTGACATTTGATTGAATAAGGTTTATTTTTTACAAAAGAGGAGTAAAATGATTGTTCTTACCACTCTCTTGCTTGCAAGTCTGTCTGTAAGAAACACAACGTTTAAAACGATTATTAATCTGTACAAACCCAAAGCACAACAACAAAAATGGCCGCCATCGTATGAAGTGCAGTGTTGCAGTGATTTTTAGTATTTTTACTACGAGATCGAACAGACCTTGTTGTGCGGATTGTGGATATTGTTATGAATTTAGACGAGGCAGCTGAGGTTAACATGATTGCCAGATGTATACGCTAAAGAAGTATCGGGTTTTCGCAACCCGCGCGCCATCTGGTGGACTTCAAAAGCATTGCGTGAATTTAAGAATTGTCAACAATACATTTAAAGCGTACGAACATCATTTTAAATAAATAGGTAGTTTTTTCACAAAAGAGAGGAAGGCAGAAGTCTTACTCGACAAATTTTGTTCAATTGACAGCTAAATCGCGCACGATATTTGTGTTTTACGTTGCAAGGAAAAAACTAAAAAACTGGTTTAGTACTCGATTTCGATTGATTATTCTTTATATCATTGATTAAGAAACTCAACGCAAGGATCATGGTGAATTATTGTGTTTTTAATTGTAAATTATTTTAGTTATAATATAATATAATTTATATTTAAGTTTGGACATTTTTAAGAAATTAGTAAAAAATAATTTTTGCACAAACATAACCTTAAAATCAACCATTTTTATTTTTGAGTTATCTAAAAAACACCGACAACTGCATTTTAAACAACAAAAAATATATATTATACCTACCTACGAATTCATGGCAACATAATATTATATATAATCCATAATGGTATTTTACCGTTGAGTGGAGACTTAAAAGAATTCTTAATCAACGCTTTTAGACGAATTTAGAGGACTTATTTGTTTGACGATTTTTACTGAATTGAAATGTTTGCACTTTTCACGTTAATCATTACTAAAATGTGTATTTATTCTATCTAATAGATACAATTTATATTTACAGGGACTGTATGAAATTTATTTCTTCATTCGGATTAACACTGTTTATTGGAAAACCGATAAAACTCAACCCAGGATTTCCTCTCGAAATACACCCAACAACACAACAAATCGTGCCACGGTTTTTTTTTTCGATATTTTTTAACATTTTCCGGCTTTATTCTCAAAAACACTCGTTTGTAACACACGCGTTTGAGAGCTGATTATCAAAAGTTGTACTTTTGTTACGATGATAACAGCTGAGTGGTGGCGCTACTAGCGATACTTCTCACATACTTCCACAATACCAAAGTATGTGATACTTCTTTAGCGTATTTTCTGACAGATTGTGTCAAAAAAACAAAACTTTTTATTTTAGAATCATCATAAGAAAATAGTCTTAAAATATAAATATTGCAATATAATTTTAATAACTAGTGAATGGCGTCAGCATTTTCTGGACAACTAATGACACGACCAAATATTTTGTATACTTACAGATAAATTTTGACTTAATAATAAATTTTGGTTTAACCCCATTATCCAAAGCATTAATAATTTTAACCTCCTCTTTTTGTTTCTCACTGACTTGAAGTATTTGTTTTGCTGATTTCTTGACAATGTATTTGCGTTTTTTTACACAAATTCGCGTTAAAGGAATTTTAATAGTTTTTTTGTCTAGATTTCTTTTAATGCATTTGGAAAGAATAAGTCTTAATTTGGATTTTAAGTGGACTTTTGTCTTGAATTTTGCGAAAGCGGTAACATTATTTTTAATGCCTTGTTCATTTCCAAGAAGAGGCATATCTCTTCCTGATTTTGTGATTGGCTGTGATTGTGTTGCTAACTTATTTGATCCACTGACTGGATCTTCTTCAATACTACTATTTGAAAAATTGATTTTGAAGGTTTTTGGTAAAACTTCTGTAATATTAAGAAGCAATTGATGTATATGCAGAAAATAAAATGATATAATTGGATTAATTTTAATAAAGGCAACAGATTTTTTTGATAATTTTTTTGTTTTTTTAATAAAAAAAATATATAAAAGTTTTACAATATAAATAAACCAAATTAAACAAAAATAACAAAAAATTAACTATTGTCTAAATTCAAATAAAATAAAAATATAAACAAACATTTCTTACCAAGTTTAACATTTTCATTGGATGTGTCTAAAACGTCATCATTGCCATCCAGTTGTGGGATCAAAGTGGTGTCTAAAGTCTCGTTCCACATGTCATCGTCACTTTCGTTGGCCTCCTTTTCATCAACGGATATTTTAATTGGCGTTGCTGGCTGCATGGGCCAATTTAAATCCATGGAATCTTCCTCCTGATTGTCATCAACAACCTGAGATAAAATACTGTCTTCTTGCAAGGAATTTTCCGGGTTTTCATTTAAATCTTCCAGAATATCAAGAAAATTCCCATCAAGAGTGTTATTCATTTCAAGATCATTTGAAGGAGTTAATGTTGTGTCCAAAGATGAGGAATCCAAAGAAAAACTATTGTTTGATGACTGTGAATGATTTTCGATAAAAGAAGCATTCTGAACAGATAAACTTGAAGGAGTTTCAGCTGGATACACTGAAGTATCCAAACATTTACTCTTAACATCAGCATTATCAGTTGATAGGGCAGCTAATCTATCCAACAATAATCTTTTGTAAACTATTTGAGAATTAGTTGGTTTTGCTTCCATGTTTTTTAATGTCAAGCAAGACTCAATCTGGGATTCTTCATTTTTATTTCTTCGCCTCTGTTTTTCATCTTCCCATAAAGCTTTAATGCCAGGGTTGACTGCCAAGTTGCCTGTAGCAATTTCCAATCTGTTAATAATATTAGTAGCTAAAACATCAGCTTCAAGTTCACAAGTTGATATTCTGTTTATATTATCAGGTAGATATAAATCGTTATCTTCTTCGATGACCAAACCAGCTGGTCTTCTTATTTTCATATCAGAAACTTGCATAGTGCTCATTCCATGCAGATTATAATCGATCATAAATTGTAACACAAAAGATAAATGAGATTCATGAGGTTGATATACTTTTCCTAATATGGCATCAGTTTGTAATAAGCCACTTAGTTTTCGAATCAAAGAGGGATTGTATAAATAAATCTTTAAAAACTGATGTTGTTTAGCATGATACCCATAGAAAGGACTAAAAATGTTTTCATTTAATATTTATTTAATCTTTCAACACAAACTACTTACTAAGCAGAAACCAGTGATATTTTATAAACATGCTGGTTGTTTGAAGATGCCTGATTCATGGAAATATTTAAAGCTTTATCAATGTGAATTGCAATTTTGTATATTTGTGCATTTATATCATTTTCTCCGCTGTATGGAATGTAAATATATGGAAAAACCCCATGGACATGAGTACAAATCTTTTCTCCTAAACAAAAGAACATTAATTTATTAAAATGAATTTTACATATTGTGACATTTCTATCGGAATTGAATAACCAATCAGAGTGCAGCATTCTCCAAGGCACACTAGATTGCGATATGCATTGCTCTGATTGGCTCATTGATTTCTTTAGAATTTAAATTCGAAAATTTCAAGATTTTTTGATCCCAGAAACACAGTAAAGTGCCAGTACGGGTATAGCAGCAAATTTTGCCTGGCCCATTACCGGTGCCGTACGACATTCTGCTACTGAAACCGTGCCGACACTTTGCCTGTGTTTGTTGGAACGATAAGATTACAATAAAAATTTGTTTTCATAGTGGTTGCCATAAATATTATACCTATCATCCAAATAACTTAAATTTTTTATTATTATTATTAACCCTTAATATTTGAGAAGTTTATAAAGGTTATCGTTACCTGTGTTTGGTAACACTATAAAACCCAAGTCTTATTTGTATAGGCATTAAATTTCAGGAAAGTTCCCGACCAAAAATTACAAAATACCCGAATTTGCCCGCAAGAATAAAAAATAGTTATTTTTATAAATATTTTAGAAAAATTAATTCAATTTTGAACTAAACTAACAAGAAGAATGGCAACAGGATAGAATAAAATAATTATGTATATTTAGTAAATGTACAATATTATTCACTGAAAATTTCTTTAGTTGGTATTATGATCAAAATTTGCAAAATACCCGCTTTAATATTTTACCCGCAAGCATGACGAAAATACCCTATTTCTGGGTAAAATATCTATTTTATATAAAAAACAATCATTGCGAATATAAATATATATTGCTTATGGTAATTTTATATAACCTAAGGTGTTGGTTAAGTTAAATTTTAATAATTAAATTATTGTAGTATCAATTTTGATACTCTTATATATATATATATATATTAGGGTGTTTAAAAAAAAATAACAATTTTTTTTCCAATAGTGTTGAAAATTTAATAGTACCTACATTCAAAAACAAAAATGTTGCCGCCTATTTGAGCCCTTAATATTAATATTAAGGTTTGCCTCAATTCATTTGTTGTTTTTCCATTTCAATAACACAGGAATTTTAATTTTTTTTATTTTGAATTCTTATAACTTTGGAATGGTTAGTTTTCGCAACACCCAATCGAGAGGAGTTATAGACAATTTCACGCTCTACAAAAAACATCTGAGGGTCAAAGTTCTTCAGATCAACCGTTTCAAAGATATCAGCGATCAAAATTAACACCTGGATGTCACACAGTGGTTATAAAATGAGATCAAGAATGTTTACTAGGAATTATATCAATGATAGCATAAGTTAACATCTTTAAGACAGCCTAACTAGCTTATGTAAGCCTTACATTGACTTTCTTAAGGCATGGATCCATGCTGCTGTGCTAAGCTAAACCCCAGTATCTGCATCTGCAATATTAAATAATAAAGGGCCAAAGATCATTTTCATTGTTAAAAACAATAAAAACTATCTTTTGTCCTGCATTATTTAATATTGCAAATACAGGGGTTTAGCTTAGCAAGGCAGCATGGTTCTAAGGTTCATTTTAATGACAGTTGCAGTTTACTTATTTATTAATATAAACTAGGTATAGTTTTGGAGGTAGATATGCATATATGGTTTATACTTTAAAAATAAATATTAACAAGTTGGCATATACCTGTTTCTGTAGATCCAAAAACCCTTATAACAGGAACTTGATTAATAAATATTCCCCTAAAATCGGAATACATAACATCAAGTCCATTAAGAGGAGATGCCATGTAAAAGTCCACATCCACAATTCTTATAGAGTTTTGAAACCGCATAGTTAAAATAAAGGTTTAATAATAGTATATAGGTACAACACAACTAATCAGCAATAATGAAGAAAACACATTATAAATAAAAAAAAACAGGCACATTAAAATTTTGAATAAAACATGGTTAAAAACATAGGTTGGAATTTTAGCAGTTTGACCTACTACCCATAATTAAATAAACCTACTACCACTCAAAATACACTGTGCACAATCCACACTGGATTGTGACACTGTGTATCACTGTGTTCTTTGTAGTGACCACACAGTGTACTTCACAGGGCCTATTACCGAAAGAAGAAGAAGAAGCTTTTATTTTTATTTAAATAAATTAATAATAATAATATAAAAAGCATATTTTAAAAGGTTAATGCTAAAATAAAATCACTGTTTAACCTTGAGTCAATAAAACTTTAACTAATGGTTTAAGATAATGAAACTATTGCAAAAAACAAAAAATAAGTAGAGCCGGCAACACTGGTGGTATTAGTTGGCAACATATGATTTTAGTTGTCGAATCTGCCACATTCAAATTCAATTTCTGTAACGGTTTTTGCTCTCTGCATTCCATCATTTCACCATATCTAATCTATGGTTCATTCTTTTTTCGTTTTCTGACTGTTAACGTAAAAAATACATGTGATTTTAAGAAGTGTACTGTGATTATTAGGTTAAAATGGCTCAATTTAAATTCTGGAACGACGTAAACAGTCTTTTGAACGTTGATGGACCGTTAACAAAAGGCCCAGCACCAAGATGGGAAAGAAAAAAAGGCAGTTGTGCCTCTTCAAACTCGAGTATGAAATCAATATCTTCATCTATGGCAAACTCGTCGACTAGAACGCCTTCAAAGCACTCTGAAGGCTCTAAAACCCCCTCAAAAACGCCAAGAATGAAATCCAAAACTCCAACACCAAGCAAGTCAAAAACACCAACAGCTGATCGATTTATTCCTTTAAGAAGCGCATGTAACTTTGAACTGGCTCACTACAAACTTAATCAGGATGAAAACTTATCTGACAGCCCCACGCAAAGAGAATTGCAGAAAGTTATGTGCGATAATTTGCACGGCGGCGACATCAGCAAACAAAAGATTTTGTCATATCAAAAAAAGGCGCCTTCCGCACCTGAAGGCTTTCAGAATCCGATGAGGGTTATTTATACTCAATCAAAAACCCCAGCATCTGTTAAAAATTCAACAAGGTATATTCCACAAGCCCCTGACAGAATCTTGGATGCACCTGACATTGTTGATGATTATTATTTGAATTTGGTTGATTGGAATAGTAATAATATTTTAGCTGCTGCTTTGGGTGCCCATGTCTATCTATGGGATGCAGGTAATATTATATATAATAATACTCTTTATTTGATCCTTAAAATTACATACATATATAATACCCATAGAGTGTAGATCATATCATAAATTATAGACAATAAAAGCAATACATTTAATAGACAAAAACTTTAGTATACCAACACTACAAATCTGGAAAAATGTTTTCATCTAAAAACTCTGCCATATTACAATAAGACCTCTGATATAGAAATATTTTAAATCTCAGTTTTATTGTGTTTTTTGTTAACAATCTATAGGGACTGGACAATTTATTCCATGCCCTGATAACATTGTACATGACATTTTTCTGGACAAAAGTATAATTTGGCTTATCAGTAGAAAGAAGATGCTTATGCCTGGTATCATATAGGTGGTTTGTTTTGGAATTCTTAAATGAATCAAAATTTTCAGTAACAAACTTCACACAATTATTATACAACACTACTTTAAAAAATAATAATAGCTGGAAATATTTACAGGGGCTGTCTATAAATCTTGTGATGCTGAAGGAGGGAGGGAGGTTTTAAAGGACTCACAATTTGTCTTGTCTAAGGGGGAAAGATTTTTAAAAACGTCACATGACAATGTAAATGAAATGTTTTTAGTCAGATTATTATTATATATATTATTATCTAGTCAGATTATTCAAAAAAAAATCACAAGGGAGGAGGAATTTTGAACATTTTTGGTGTCACAAGTTTTGGGGACAGCCCCGTGGTGCACCACGTTTTTATGAAACCTACACTGAAAAAGGTTTTCATGTAAAATTCTGGTAATTGGAATTGGTTATTTTGATGCCTTGTTGGTATCCGAAAAATTACATTTAAATGTAATTTTACAAGCAAAATATACAACTAGATTTAATATGTAAAATACTTCAATTTTTCAGGTAAATTAACACTTTATATGTAATCTATGTCCATTTGAAATGTTTTTTTACTTTTTAAATGAACATTACATTTGGATGAAATTATTTTGAATGTAGTTTCTATATGTTTGGAATGTAATAAATCTTTTCAATTTAAATGTAATAATCCATACTATTGTATTTTTACATTTTTATTGTATATCTTATACAAGTTAATAATTTGAAATTATAAGGGTCTTTTAAGACGAAGCTGACAAACGAAAACAGACTGTTTTAAACAGTTGTAGAAAATGTTATTCTGCACAAAATAATAAATATAGATAATTTTATTTAAAAGGAAAAAAAAATATTAGATTGTCATAGATATTTTGCATTTAAGAAAAATTCAATTATTTTTATCATATAAAGAAATGATAAAAATATTTTTTTATTTCTTAATCGAAATATTAAATTTATATTGACTTGACATATGCTTTTAACATTTTTATTAAATGCAGATAAATATCATGGTAATCCAATATTTGAGTTCAAAATCTTTTTAAATGTAATATCTCGATAACAAAAAAAATCGGATGTGGGTTATATGTACATATTTTTGTACTGAGAATACTATTTTTGTTTTACACCTTTAAATACATAAATCAGTGTTGTGACTGAATTATTTTATTAAATTTGTAGTTTTTAGAATTCATATGTTATTTTACATGTTAAACAAAATTAAACCATATTTATACTGGTAATAATACATTATAATGTAATTTTCAACTAAAACGAGTATGAAATATTATATTGAAATGTAAAATTTTCTTTCAGTGTAGCTAAATCAATTTTTTGCTCATTTTTACATTAAACATGTTTAAACCCTTTTGCTCAAGAATTATTTATAACACACAAAACAATGTAATTATTTGCTATTTTTTGGTACCTCAAATTTTTTTTTTCTCTGCTGGTTTTTTTTACAAGGTATGCTAAAATTAGGACATGAGAACGTGAGAAAATGGATAAAAATTAGATACAAAAAATTGTAGAAAACGACGTACTAAATTTACTACGCCATAAGTGAAAGGGTTAATATGCAAAACAATTGAGGAGCATCCGTGCAAATCCGGCTATATCCACTTTAATAAAATGTTGGGAAAATGGCAATAACTCTCGGTTTCCTGGCCTTTACAGATAAAAAAAAGAAAACTTGAGTTTTGTGGGCTTTATGGTACTTGATTTATAAGACATACTTTCATTTTCAAACCTTTATATTAAGGCCAAAATTTCAAAAAATGTTTTGTATATAGCCGGTTTTGCTCAAAAACCTACAAATAAAATATGAAAAAACCTTTATTATTCAAAAATATTAACAAAATAAATTTAGTGAAAACATGAAAAAACAGAACAAATTTTAGTAGTAGTATCAACATATCCAAGCCACATGCTTATCATTATTATTTATTGGATATAGCCGGGTTTGCTATAAAAACGTGGATTTGGCCGGTTTTGCTCCTAAAGCTACCTTTTAAATGTGATTTTAACATGGATATAGTCGGATTTAAACCGAATTATCTTGGTTGTCGATAGAAATTAACCCAAAGATGCGAAATAAAAAAAAAACAAAAACTGAATAAAATGGATTTAGCCGGTTTTGCACGGATGCTCCTCAATTATAGACCTAGGTACCTATTATAATATATTATAATAATAAAACCATTGAGTAAAGTTACTCAATGATAAAACATTATGGTTTAAATCAACATGAATGTACCTTATGCAATTAGGTATGTGTTTTTTTTTAAATACTTTACTTTAAAAACAAAATCATGGTCAGTGACTAGAAACCAAATAAATTAAACCAAATATCCCCAGATAATCACGTATTCGTATTTCAGTGTAATTCTAGACGTAAATGACAGATTTTCGTTGGACACAGTCATAATTATCGTTTATTATTGCAAAACTAGGCGGTAAAAGTAAACAAAAATTTATGGCACTTCTACAGGTATAGGTGCATAATATGCACTGCATATGAAAAAAAAAATCAGAGGTAGAGGCAAGAACGTATCGGCAAGAGATGACCATCTTTCATCTTTTCTTACCTCAACCGCTACTCCAGCCAATCACACGGCAGTTTTCAGTTGGCAGTCTTCCCTTGTAAGTTTAGTGTTTATGCGAGGGGTAACGAGACTTGATAAATTGTCAAAAATCTCATTCGTGTGTATTTAAAGAACTGCTCTTTATCAGTCAGTTTATTTTTTTTAATACTGGAAATAGCTTTTCTTAGCTCGTTCCTGATTTATTTCCCTCGTTTTATAGCGACGTACTTGACTACCCCCATAACGTACTTGAAACCCTGCAATACAACATATGTTGTATTGCAGGTTTTTTTTTATATAATATTCCGCACAACGCCATATGGCCCAGAAGCACAGCATTGTCCTTCCAATCCATGTTTTCGTAGAAAACACTCCAAAATAATCCAGGAAACCTTTTGCTATCAAATTTTACAAACAAAAAATACAATCTGCGAACTTTACGCATTTTTGCAATCTTTAATGTATCAAGTACAAATATAAGTACATTTAAATTAAAGTACTCGGGACTGAATACCGAGTACACTGAAAGTACTTGGAGTACAGTGTTTGAGTACATGTACTCGAGTACCGCACAGCTCTGACCACAGCACGATAAAATTTGATTTTTTTCCCTCCCATGATAAATTCCTAGAGATTTTGAAAATAGACTTAAAAAAATGATACCCGTGTCTCGGAGTTTTTTCAGATCACGTAATTTTTTTTTTTAAATTGGATCCAATAAAATGTTATCAACGATATTCGGCACATAATATAACAGCTTCGATAACAGCTAGACTGTATATTTTTATGAAAAATTTATTCACTGAATAAATGGACAACCATTAAAATTATTTTTTTATTTTAAAATTATTTTAATTATATTCAGGGTGTTGCACAACTTTTTTATTTTAAATAGAACACCCCATATATTTTTACATTTTTAACTTCAACATAAAATTCTGAGTAAAATTACTGTACCATGTCCTATACCTAAAGTAAAGTAAATAGTTTATCGTTAAAATTTTAAAAATGCGCGTCAATTAAAAATAGCCTATAATTTTTTGCTATTAGGTTTGCGGAAATGGGGTGACATTTTTGGAATCTTAAAACATTTTTTAAATGTCAATTCTTTAACGTTTTATAACAAATTACCCAAGAAAACCCAGGGCAAATTAGGCTAACTTAAAACGTCAATAACTTTTTCTTTTAAATAAAACACCCTATATGTTACCGTACCGGGTGGAATTTACATGGAATCTTTTAAACAATGTTTTAAGATTCCAAACATTTTACCTCCATATCCGTAAATCTAATAGTAAACTTCTAGAAAACTATTCACTTTAGGTATAGGACATGGTAATTTTACTTAGAATTTTAAAATGTAAAAATATATGAGGTGTTCTATTTGAAACAACAAAGTTGATGTCACTTCCGGTCAAACCGAAATTGGCATTTTGTTCAAAATATTCTTAAAAATAGACTTAAATGATTCATCTAAAATGAACAATAAACGCTTTTAAATTTCAAATTAATATCTTTTTCCGTTCCCCTAAAATTTCCAATGCACCACAAATGTGAAACACCCTGTAAATTAAGTGGTGTTTTTTAGGTTGTGATGTATAATCGTCAAACTAAAAGATCAAGATTTGTTTCCCACATATATTTATTATAAGATAAATACAAATCTGTTTTATTAAAAAAATTAACACAAGAAATAGTTTTTTTTTTCTTAAAAAAAATTATTATTTTCTTAAAGTTTAATTTTTGTAGTATGTAAAAACATACAAAATTTAAAGAAAAAAAATGATATATAAATGTTGTGTGTTTAAATTTTTTATGGAGGAAATCGTGTTGAACTGTGCACAGAATTACAAAAAAATTATTGCACACAAAATATATCCCAACATAATTAAATTCTATTTTTTATATTCAGGTACTGGAAACATTGAACAACTCTTGGAGCTGGAAGGAGGAAACGATTACATTTGCTCTTTGGCATGGATACAAGATGGAGATACTTTGGCTATAGGCACCACAACTGGAACGGTGGAATTATGGAACACGACAATAAGAAAAAGGCTTCGCGTTATGGAAGGCCACTCGGCCCGCGTCGGGTCTCTATCGTGGAACTCGTACGTTTGTTCGAGCGGCTGTCGAAGCGGCCAAATCATCCACCACGACGTTAGACAAAGAGATCACGTGATTTCCACTTTATCTGGTCACAATCAGGAGGTGTGCGGCTTGAAATGGTCTACCGATGGAAAATATTTAGCCAGCGGCGGAAACGATAACGTTTTGAACATATGGCAGGCCCAACAGGCAAATCCCATCTCGGAAAGTCAAGCTCTATACTCTTTTACCGCACATCAAGCAGCCGTGAAGGCTCTGGCCTGGTGTCCATGGCAACCACATATCCTCGCGAGTGGTGGGGGTACCGCCGATCGCCATATTCGTTTCTGGAATTGCTACAATGGCATCCCCTTGAACGCCATAGACACCAAATCGCAAGTATGCTCGCTTTTGTGGTCCACAAACTACAAAGAGATCATTTCCGGACACGGTTTCGCTAATAACGAGCTGATTATCTGGAAATACCCCAACATGAATAAGGTGGCTGAGCTTACCGGCCACACCGCCAGAGTTTTGCACTTGGCCATGTCGCCAGATGGCACCACCGTTCTTTCAGCAGGCGCTGACGAGACTTTGAGGTTATGGAAGTGCTTTACTAAGACGATTGTAAAAGCAAAGGAAGTGACTAAGCGCGCCCAACCCAGCGCGCTTAAACAATGTATTAGATAATTATGTAGGTTTTAATGTTTATGTTTAGATTATTTCTCTGTATCAATGACAATTATATTTAATAAATAATTATTTTTAACACTTCAATAATTGAAACAGGGCTACAATGACTGATATAAGAATTTGACTAGGTTTAAGGCACCATCATTATACATTTTAATTTTACTCTAACCTGTTTAATTTTAATAAATATTTTTTATAAAATTTTATTTTTTTTATTGAGCAACCCTTTTAAATCCTAATATTAAAAATTTAACAATTATTTAAAAATATATATATATACAGTGTGTCGCACTTAAGATGAAGACACCCCCATATTTTCGCTATTTGAAGGAATAAAGGTTTGAATTTTTTCACATTCATACATGTTGATGGGTCACATTTTTTAAGCTACTCAACTGAAATCTGAACTTTAAACTTGGCCTACTACAAATTCACAAACAGGGCCAGTTCTGGATATTTTGCTTCGCGTTAGAGATATCGAAAAAAGTTATTGGAAAAAGTTGTTTAGAATATTATTCTAACCCCATATACCAATTTTTATAACAAAATTCGCATTTTTAATTTTTTTTTATTTTGGTCCACACAAAATTATTACAAGTTCATTTTTTAGTTTGATAATAAGGGAGCCATGGAAAATAATAATTTGATACTAACTAGTGTTTATGACCGTTAAATAAATAATTAAAACAATTTTTGGAAATTACAAATCAATTATAATTTATTAAATTAAGGAAATGGTATAAAACAATAATAAAACTAATAAAAATAAATAAATTAGAAATGCGAATTTTGCTATGAAAATCGGTATACGAGGTTAGAATAATATTTTGAACAACTTTTTCCAATAATTTTTTTCGATATTTCTAACGCGAAGCAAAATATCGACAACTGGCCCCGATTGTGAATTCGTAGTAGGTCAAGTTTAAAGTTCAGATTTGAGTTGATCAGATACTCGAGTATCTTAAAAAATGTGACCCACCAACATGTATGAACCCACACGGAACAATTACATCCAATGGATATCCAATGGATTTCTTTTATGGATATCCAGGATATACATAGGATATCCGGGATATCCAATGGATAACCATTGGATATATAAATGTCCGACCCTCCTGGACATAGTGTGGATATCCAATGGATACCCAGTGGATATAGTATTGTATGCAATAAGGTTGTAATCTGTATTCAATATGGAGATTGTATGGATATCCAATGGTTAACCATTGGATATATAAATGTCCGACCCTCCTGGACATAGTGTGGTATAATCTGTGGGATATCCAATGGATACCCAGTGGATATAGTATTGTATGCAATATGGTTGTCATCTGTATTGGATATGGTGAATCAATAAATAACATTGGGTTTTAAAATAAAAGTCTTATTCTTTAATTTAAATATTTATTTTTATGAAAACATAAAATAAAACAGAAAACTACATATAACTAAAGAAGTTGTTTGTTAAAAAATGCCAAGGTTTTACTACTACGCCAGTAGTTAGGCAACCAAAATGACAAATATTACACAAGCCGACAAATCTCTCCACCGTGCCTGGCCCGAAACGCATCTCTCGGGTTGACATGGCACAATGACTAATGTACCATGCCCAGTGGGCATTGCCCACCACAGATTATACAACACTGACAGACAGACTGTTTCGACCTGTTGGGTCTCATCAGTGTCAGGCAGTTGGTGCCGAGAGACACGCTTCAAGCCAAGCAACCGCCCACCTATATACTAGTTGGGCGACCTGGACAGCGGCGAGATGCAGCGGCAAGGTAATATGGTGACATCTACCGTCTATAAAAAGACGTGGCCTCACTGTGCGGCGGTGCAAATGTATGCACACGAGACACACTCAGTGGTAGGTTTTATCCAACCATACAACGGCCCAAAAGAGTCGATTAGCTTACCGAGCTATGCGGAAAGTGTAAAAAATGCCATTTGTTACCCTCGACCCCAAAGATATTCACAATAATAAAATGTTTTATGGTTTTAATTAAAATAAACACATATTTACTTACCACTAGAGACCTCAAACAAATAATCACAAAACAATAAACTTTATGACAAACATATAACAATCTGTCGCAGGGTGGAATGAATCATATTTAACCGACGCTACCATAGAAAAAGGACGCTTCTTTATCTTCTGTGTTCGCCGGCAGTGTTGTCAGACGTTTAAATAATTTCAGAAAGCTCATCAAAATGGCGGTTATATTATTAAATCTTTAATACTTAATTAATTAGTATACCTAGTATACCTATTTGACATAAATGTGGTGAATAATTATTTTAAACTTATTTAATTTATTTATTAAAACTTAATAAAGTACGGAAATATATTTCGTTTAGTTATTTTGCTTATAACCGGCAACACTGAAGATTCTCAAATTCAGCGCGTGCGTAGTACATATATGAAATACAATAATAAACAAAAAGGACTTTTTTAAGTAATTTTTTTTGTATTGCAGACTGTCATAGTCATATTATTAACAGAAATAATATTATTAATATATAAATATTATTATCTGGGTAAAGTGAACATTTCAAAATTAAAAATTTCGTAGCTCTTGGCAAAAAATCAATTTAACGTAAAGTCGTTTTTTTTACATATGCTAGTTTAAACCATCACAAAATCCCACATGTATACATACAAGTATATTTACAAGATATCCATATCAGTTATCCACCGGATATCCAGTGGATATCCAGTGGATATACATTAGATGTACAGTGGATATACTTTGGACATACATTAGTTATCCATTGGATATATATTAGAGATACTTTGTTGAAATTGGGTTAATAACGATTTAAATCATATTTATTAATCATTACATAAATTTATCCTATAAGGGGCTATTTTAAAAAAGAAAAAAATATTTTTAATGTTTTTGTTTTTTTTTTGAACATCCAGTATGGATATCCATCGGATATCCAGTGGATATCCAGTGGATATACATTAGATGTACAGTGGATATACTTTGGACATACATTAGTTATCCATTGGATATATATTAGAGATACTTTGTTGAAATTGGGTTAATAACGATTTAAATCATATTTATTAATCATTACATAAATTTATCCTATAAGGGGCTATTTTAAAAAAGAAAAAAATATTTTTAATGTTTTTGTTTTTTTTTGAACATCCAGTATGGATATCCATTGGATATCCAATGGATATCGTAAAAGGCATGGATGTTATATGGACATTGGGATAGCCATTGGATATCCATTGGATAGCGTGTTCTGTGTGGGAATGTGAAAAAATTCAAATCTCTATTCATTGAAATAGCGAAAATATGGGGGTGTCTTCATCTTAAATGCGACACACTGTATATATAATATAATATATATATATATATATTATAATTCCGTTTAAACCACACATTTGTGGTTTAAACCAATTTTTTTGCGAGAATATATTCAACTATAAAAAGTACTAAATTTTGCTAAAGCGTACTAACGTACTAAAAAATTAATTTTAGGACTAGATCTAGTACAGAAGTACTAACAGTGGTAACACTGATCATAACTAGTCAAGTTGATTGTTTCATATAGATGCGAAATACGAAAAATGTTTTCATTGGTCCATTTGATTTGGCGGGAAAAGCGTTTTGACGTTTCGACATATCCTGCGAATACGCAAGATTTGAAATATGGGGGGCAGGAAATGATTCAATATTTTGCGAAAATTGCACGAATTTGTCGTGATGCGCATGCCCTTTAATTAATTCTGTCTTCGTTTCAACCACAATCCACACATGGATTGTGGTTTCAACAATAAATAAGTCCCTAATATACCATGGCAAATATCACCTAGTGAGAAAAAAATAGTTCGCATCTACAGGGTGTCCGGGAAAAGAAGGTCAATCCGTTAACCATATATTCCTTGAGTTAAAACAATAAGACTTTCATAATACCATTTTTCAATTTAGAGCTTCATGTTCGTTATACAGGGCGACAAAGTTTGAAATTTAAAACTGATTTTTTTTAATAATTCGAGTAATTGATAAGATATTAAGTTTAAATTCGGTACACTACTTCAACATAAATAGTTACATTTTTTGAGACCAACAAAACAAAAAACAATTGTCAAATAATCAAAATAGGGGGTCCAGTACTCACTGACTCACCCTATTTTTTAGTACGTGCGCCATGGCGCCATTGCAATGACCTCCAAACGGTATTTTTTCAGGTAATCAATTATTGTTAAAAAAAAATTGTCTCTTATAAAATTTTGATAACATGATTTGTTTTAGAGATAATTTGTAAAGTATGGGTCAGTCCATATCAAATCAACTAAAAGGTTCTTCCCCCACCATCTCCGATTTTGATAATTTTTGGTAAATTTGTTTACCTCACTTAAAAACTCAAAAATTCCATATATGAATTTTTTTCGATAGGTGGTTTTTCTTTTATTGATTTTTGAAAATCAAAAAATTTGGGTCTTGCAAGTACTTACAAAAATAGCGATATCTCGTAAACTATTAAAAGTAGAAAGGTGAGTTATGGCTTATTTTAAAGGCCTATTAGGGACCTTTTTTATGATATATCACATGACCTAAATTTAAAAAAAAAAATTAAATTTCGAAAATTTGAAATGGACTGACCCATACTTTACCAATTATCTCTAAAACAAATCATTTTATCAAAATTTTATAGGAGACAAAAAATGTTCAACAATAATTGATTACCTGAAACAATACCGTTTGGAAATCATTGGCGCACGTACTAAAAAATAGGGGGAGTCGGTGAGTACTGGACCCCCCTATTTTGATTATTTGACAATTGTTTTTTGTTTTGTTGGTCTCAAAAAATGTAACTATTTATGTTGAAGTAGTGTACCGAATTTAAACTTAATATCTTATCAATTACTCGAATTATTAAAAAAAATCAGTTTTAAATTTCAAACTTTGTCGCCCTGTATAACGAACATGAAGCTCTAAATTGAAAAATGGTATTATGAAAGTCTTATTGTTTTAACTCAAGGAATATATGGTTAACGGATTGACCTCCTTTTCCCGGACACCCTGTATATGAAATAGGAGTTGCGAAATGCGAATATTCGTATTTCGCATTTATATATTTTTATATTTAAATATTGTTTTACATTAACATAGGTATTTTTTTATTTAAAATTATGGCACAAACGGCGCCTCATAGTGAACCCTGCATAATCTTCGAAAACTACATTTTCATTAAAATTAGTACGTTTTTTTTCAATCAGTCATAGAAAACAGTACAGTACAGATTTTTTTCGTGGTCTTGCAACGCTGATATCAGATAAAACTAATGGTTCAGAATTATATAAGTCGAACAAACCTTTATGTAAATAAATTAGGTGTTCTTTGGTTGGCGTTCTGTATGTCATCTAAATTTCTAACCTGCAAATTGTTTACGCATCTTTTCTGTATCGTTTACGAAAAATATTAAAAAGAATTTATAGAAATGGGTTCCAAAAAGAAAAACAAATCAGATTCCTCTGACAGTTCATCGGAAAGCAGTGATTCCGATTCGTCTTACGAGCGCAGAAAGTCGAAAAAATCGAAAAAACAAGCCAAGAGCAGCTCTGAAGAGCGTTCACCCAGAGAAAATTCTAAGAAATCTTTGAAAAAAAAGAACGATAGGGACTCTAGTGCCGACAGGTAATTAAAGTTTGATTTATAACCCATAATAATTTTTATTGTATATATGCTCAATTAAACCATATTTCAGATATAGATATTATCAAGGTTAATATTTTCAGAAAAGAAAGTGAATCTAAAGACAGAAGCAACAAGAAAAGCAGACCTGTATCTTCTGGACATAAAAGCGAAAGACATGAAGTAAAATATGATCGAGAAAAACCTGAAAGTAGCAAAAATTCTAGGGATTACAGGGATAGAAAAGATAACAGAGACAGCTATAGACATAAGGATAGGAGGGATGATGAAAATAGAGATCATGGTAGTCACAATAGGGATAGGGATTCTTATAATAGAGATAGGGATCATGATAATCACCATAGAAATAGGGATTTTGATAATCGCAACAGAAATAGAAATGATGACAATGACAACAGAGATAGGGATAGGGATTACAATAATAGGGATAGAGATTTTAACACCAGGGACAGAAGGGATAATAGAAATAATGACAGGAGAGGACCAAGGTAAGTTTTTTACGGTTTTCTGAAAAACCTTATTTAAAAAAATAACTTAATTTACATCCATGCTAATTCCAGTTTTGCTAGTTTTTTTGTTAAAAAGTAGTATTGTGATGGTGTAACAGGCATGTTCTGACTTTGTATATACTATATGGTTAATACCAAATTGAATACACCTTGAATTTACCCAACCCAAGGTATGTACTAGTGCTGTCAAAAGTTAAAATTTTTCCCGGTTAACCGGTCATGGAATATTAACCGGTTAAGTAAATAACCGGTTACTGAATATGTTGCATAACCGGTCATTAATCGATCATGGTCACGGTTAAATGGTCATTATTAACCAGTTGACCATAACCATTTAACCGTGGCCATGATCGATTAATATTTATAACCGAATTTAATTAATATAATTAATCGATCATGGTCTAAATAAAATAAAACACCACAAATACAAAAATCATCAAAAGATCATGAGAATTGGAGTAAAGCAATGGGGAACAACAATAAAACATTTAAAGAAGTAATTATAATTGTTTAATACATGCTCAAACGTTTATTTTAAATTATTGTGTTTTGTTTACTTTATCTTTAGTTTATTTAAGGTTCATACATAATTCATGTTATGCACCCATTCAACAAAAATATTACAAAAGATCGTTACTATCTGAAATGCGCTCGAATGATTCGTCTCTGTAAAAGTCTGCCGTCAGCGAAATCTCTGTTTACTCTACCGGGTGCAACACCATTTACATCTGGGACTTCTTCATAGACGAGGTCAGCGTACATGCCTAGGTCTAGGTCTTCTTCATAGTTGTCGTCATCGGGCTCCGGTACATTGAAGGTAGGGTTGCCAACTGTCCAGAATTTGGGTGGACGTCCACCTTTTCGGCTCATTTGTCCAGCGTCCAGTCAATACCTTTGGCTTGACGTAAAATGTTCATAATTTTCACGTTGGCACATTTTTCAATTTTTTCCACAATCCGACAACGTTGTACCAGCCATGCCTCGTGCCGCCAGAATTTAAATATTCGTGCCTGCCTCGTGCGCGCTCGACTTTTTCTGTAGGCGTTGCGTGAAAGGCTGAAACCATGCTTCTTTTCTTTCTCACTCACACTCCTTTCTTACACATAAGGCAGGAGGTAATAATCCAGTCCTGTCTTATAAGTAACTTACGACTGTTGTCTTAAGATAATTATCGATTTGTTTAATTAATCGTTTGATTGTGACAATTAACGTGCGGAATACGTATTCCGCAGTACTGCGGAACTGCTGCTGCTGACCTATTTAGTTTTCTTAAAAGGTAAGACTATTTTTTGTATAATTTATTAGAACGTTTTATATTAGTTGTTTGATATAATTTTAGTATAAAATAGGACAGTACCTACTTAGTTACTATGTCATTCACAACGTTGCAACGTGGATCCAGTGTTGCCAACTGCTTGAAGTAGCTATGCACTATATAGCAATAAAAAATGCACTAGAAAAGCACCAAATTCACTTTGGTGTAAGTCCACCCGATCAGTAATCTATGCAGTAGTCTGAATTTCACTCTAGATGAACACAATGTATGAATGAGCAACCATGAAATAATTTCAAAATTAAACTTTATTTTAAGCATAGGCATTTCCACACTGGTAAGCCATTGCTTTAGGGCAGGGTCCTTTAGCCACACTGCTCGACATTGTTGCTGGTTCCGGCATCTAAATGTATAAACACAATAAAGCGCTGATAATTAATCACTATAGAACTAGACCATACCATAGAAAAGAATATACTATTCCACAGAATAAGAATATACCACACTAGAATTTTTTTGTTTTTTGAAACAAACATAGAAAAATAATACATCGAAACAGAGGTTCTGTGAAAGAATTCAACAATCAAGCCAATCGCAGAGCAGCGGCAGCGCAGTACTACATTTATAATCTGTGATACTACCCTAAACCAAGTTTAGGGGTACTACCACCACAGGTATGCTACCAACACAACGGCCGTCAGCATGGTGGACTGTTGGACAGGGGCGTATTCAGATTTTCTGAAGGAAATGTGGGCTGTGGCTGAGTTGTATGATTGAAAAATTATGAAAATAAAACCATTGTATAAACGCCTTTTCATTGTTATTTACCAAATTTGGTTAATGATCGATGATGCACTAAATTTTGCACTAGCGCACCAAAATCGAATTCCGGGCACTAGATGGAGGTTCAATCCACCAGATCTAGTGCAATATGCACCGACTTGGCAACACTGCGTGGATCATCCAACTACTCTCATGCAACTGAAATTAAAACCGTAAACATGTAGGACGGGGATTCACCCGAAACCGGTACAGAAGCGGGCAGAGAAAATCTTTACCTACCGATCGGTCGACCGATTAACCATATGACCAGATAATAACCATAACCGGTTAATCGGTTACCGATTAACTGGTAACCGGTAACCGATTGACCGATAACCGATTATGGTTATACCCTCATTTTCCGGTTATAATAAAATTATGACCGGTTAACCGGTTAATCGATAATCGTTGACAGCACTAGTATGTACCTATATTTCAATATACCAGGTACTTGCCCATCACTGGTCACAACTGTTTCATATACAAAGTCAGTATATGGCATATACCCAGTATTTACCGGTAGGTAAATAGCAAAGTATTGCCAATTTGTTAATTTAAGGTAGTTTAACAAGTTGTAGTTAAATTAAGACTAAAAAGTAATTGAATTAATCGAAATAAAATGAAAACTAATGAACAAATAGATTTTAATTGAAACAAAATGAATACAAAAACAAAACAAAAATATGATTTTTATAATTTTTAAATTAAAAAATATGTTTATATTAATTATATGTAATTTTTGCCTGGGTATATCCTCGGGATTATTTTTGCAAAAAAGGAATACCCTGTAAAAATACCTAATATTAATATAATATTAACATTTTATTAGTTTTTGAACTTTTGGTACCTAAAATTTTTTTTCGATTCCAGTATTTCCTAAATTAAGTATGTAAATGGGTCACCTTATGTGGACGACTTTGTAAATTTACTATTTAAGTAATAAGTAGTTAATATGCAACAAATTAAATAATTATAACACTTTTCAATCAGCGCGCTAAACCACAAAATTGTCTTTTTTCCATTTTAGGAGTAAATTTACCACAAACATAAGAAACGAGTGGGAAGAATGAACACATTGGTATAACATTTTGTGTATTTAGAATTAATTTTAATAACCTAACTATGGTTTATTATAATAATAGTATTAATTTGACTAACCAGACTCTTCGTTAATAATATTATTACCTACAAAGCAGAAGCGACACAAATAGTTGAACTGTAAAGCCTGATTTATAGATTGCCTTCCTTCCTCCCTTCCTTCTTTCCTTCCTCCCAAAGAAGATGAACAATACAAAAACCGTTGTGCTGTTTAAAGATTCCCGTACCGGAAACTATAAATGGCACTACGATTTTAGTATTATTAAACTTTTACGGGAGGAAGGAAGAAAGTAAATCTATGAATCAGGCTTTTCACTTCCAAACCACAAATTAACCTCACAACTCGTGTCTAATGGAATATTTCGAGAAATAATATTCCATCTCGAAGCGGAAATACGACCGCACGATTTAGGGAAATACCCTAATTTTATAATAGAATTTCTCAACAAGTTATCGACAATAACCGAATGGTAAATGCCTATATACCGGGTATATATCCAATGTTCCCCAATAGGTATATACCCACATGCCCATCCTGTCTGTATATACCAGGATTTGACTAACCAGACTCTTCGTTAATAATATTATTACCTACAAAGCAGAAGCGACACAAATAGTTGAACTGTAAAGCCTGATTTATAGATTGCCTTCCTTCCTCCCTTCCTTCTTTCCTTCCTCCCAAAGAAGATGAACAATACAAAAACCGTTGTGCTGTTTAAAGATTCCCGTACCGGAAACTATAAATGGCACTACGATTTTAGTATTATTAAACTTTTACGGGAGGAAGGAAGAAAGTAAATCTATGAATCAGGCTTTTCACTTCCAAACCACAAATTAACCTCACAACTCGTGTCTATTGGAATATTTCGAGAAATAATATTCCATCTCGAAGCGGAAATACGACCGCACGATTTAGGGAAATACCCTAATTTTATAATAGAATTTCTCAACAAGTTATCGACAATAACCGAATGGTAAATGCCTATATACCGGGTATATATCCAATGTTCCCCAATAGGTATATACCCACATGCCCATCCTGTCTGTATATACCAGGATATACCCAAACTTAATTTACCCACCGCCCTTTACTGCTTGTGACTCATAAATGAAGTATTTTTAGTTAAAAAGAAATTATGTAGTTAAATATTCAACACTTAGACCTTATTAAACTGGATGCGTAAACAAAAACGACTTAAAACAATACAAAACACTGACCAGATGTCAAAGCACATCTTAATTCAAGATTCTTGAAGCAATGAACACAACCATTACTTTACACAGTTTTAACTTTTTATCTTATTTCTTAATTCTTATTCTTATTTATTATTTTAAGTGAGCATAAACACTCCTCAAATCGTTCGAAAATCGCGGTAAAGTACATACTAAAGATTTAAAATTTAAAACATACATTAACAAGTAAAAAGGTTAAATTGGTTATGTTCGTATTTTTATCTTTGCACATAGGTACCTACTCTTATGTAAGTCTTGACAAGACTGTTAAATCAATAGTATTCTAACGTCACAAGCTCTATCCAAGGTCATCGAAGCGTTTAAAATCCTAAATTTTTCAGAATGCTGTAGCATTACACCCGTATACGGGTATGAGTAGATTCCAAACCTATTTCTGATAGTAACGCTCATGATGTTTATGTCGTGCTCTTAAATCGCGAGTAATTATTATGTTTTGAGCCAAAACGAAAAAATACCGAAGCATTCATATTTTTGTAATAATTATCGGCGATATATCCTGATACTCCCATTTTTAATGATAATAAAACCATGT